AATGGCGACTGGTAGATGGTACCGCCTTCGCGAGTGCGCGAGCTCCTATCAGAAATTCGTTGCGCCACCCTTGGGGGCAAAAAACGGTGAAAGCTAACGTACGAAATCAGAGGGCAGTACAGGGTGCGATCGCGCGATCCTGCCCGTGAGCAATCTCCCAACTCATCTCTGGTTTGAATTGTATTAAGAATTTGAAGCGTTATTTTAGGAATGCAGTAAGGCCGTCATGGCGCCTACAGAAATAAAATATATTTGTAAAGAGAAAATGCCGTATCAGCTGAGTATTCGTATCGTACTCAATTCATGTGTTTTAATAAATTCGTTTATTACGAATGAACCGCGTACACGTTTTCGACCAATTACACGCTTGCTCTCACTGCGAGTTAAAAGTAAGACTTTTACTTCGAATGATTTCAATAATCGTTATTTAATCTATATTATTTAGAATAATATGCTTTATAATACGTATCTTAGCCTATTCTTTGTTGCGATTTTATTAGGTGGGATAAATCAAGAGTGAATTTGACTAGCATATTCCTATCCGGCAATCACTGGCCGGGCGAAAGAAACTGTCATGGCCTTTTCCTGTTCACGCTTTTGGTGAAGAAGACGTGAGTATTCTTCATTCAATTACAGTTCATACATTTTAATTTTTTTGTAGAAAATTGTAGGCCAGTGATGAACAATTGTATAATCGATCTAGAAAAAATAACGAGTGATTGATACACTTCCCCTTCCGTATCATTCAGCATCTGTACTTGTGACCACATGGTCTCATGTTTTCATCGGCGTTTAACAAAATCACATGAAATTAAGATATTGTCGAAAATACGATACTTTTGCATCAATGTTAACATTGTTATAACTACGATTAGTAGAATCACGTCATCATATTTTTAGTAGTCTCCTGAAGACACCGCTTATAACCTTTAATAATCAGACTTTGTTTCTTTTCGTATGTTACACCATGAAAACTGTGAAGATGCACTAGTCTGCACTATTATATGTGTGAAATGTACGACTGTAAAATCGAAATTGTCTAAATCCTTAGTTTTTTATTTTGTGGAATCATATAATTTGCTTATCATAATAATGTGATACAAGTGATATTATTGTACTGTTTCTTCAGGTGAACCATGGCGGACATAGAATCATTTGACGATGTAGTGCCTACTGTGGATACATTGCCAGTGGCACTGTCTGCTGAGTTACCAGAGATTAAACTGTTTGGAAGGTGGAACTGTGATGATGTACAAGTCAACGACATGTCACTTCAGGATTACATTGCTGTAAAAGAGAAAAATGCCAAGTATTTGCCACACTCGGCAGGCCGCTATGCAGCTAAGCGGTTTCGTAAAGCGCAATGTCCCATCGTCGAACGCCTTACGAACTCCTTGATGATGCATGGGCGAAATAATGGCAAAAAGTTAATGGCTGTTCGTATTGTCAAACATGCGTTCGAGATAATCCATTTGCTGACTGGGGACAATCCTCTTCAGGTAATGCATTATATTAAGTTCAGGAAGAATAAATCTTGATAATTTTGAAATAAAAAATAAGAGAATATTTTAATTTACAGGTTCTTGTCACCGCCATCATTAATTCGGGTCCACGTGAAGATTCAACTCGTATTGGTCGTGCGGGTACCGTACGTCGTCAAGCAGTAGATGTTTCTCCACTGCGTCGTGTTAACCAAGCTATTTGGTTACTCTGCACAGGTGCACGAGAAGCTGCATTCCGTAATATCAAAACAATTGCTGAATGTTTAGCCGATGAACTTATTAATGCTGCCAAAGGTTCATCAAATTCGTATGCAATCAAGAAAAAGGATGAGTTAGAACGTGTTGCAAAGTCTAACCGATAAGCACATCTGATCGTTACAATAAATAAACATTCTACTTTAAAGTACCAAAATTGTTGTTTTTTATATGCAGCTAGTACTGTTTCAATGTCACTTTATAGGATAATGAGCTTCATATTTTTATCTGTATTCATAATTTTTATATTATTTATAATTGCAATCGATAGGAGCGAGTGAAAAACAAAGTAATATAGCTATTTCAATTACTTTGGAAGTAACAATTTATACATACTCTACTCTACTCGTTCTACAAAATACATATACATATTTTTTGAAGTTGATATATTCAATTAAAAGTTACTGGATGAAACGTATAAATAAGAAAAAGAGTAAATAAATTTTCTCGTACCTAAAGAGAAAGTTGTTTTATATAGAAAAGTGAATTCCTAGAATGAAATCTTTACTGACTTTTACGAACATTAATTAGAAATGTGGGACTCTAGACCAATGACAGACAATGTTTTGCTTAATGTCACTATGGTTACCACACTTGCTGCCATTCTATGCTGTAGTCAGTTTGGTCTAGACCAAGTGTACAAAATCTTCTATCTAATTAGGAATTGTCTGTAACTATTTGACCACTGTTTAAAATTGTTCCAACTGTCGTATAACATGACCACCAAAGAAGACAGTGCTTGGGTATTTGATTCTTTAGTAGGATTCTTACAAGGTCCTATATGGTCAGCACCATTGCTGACATTCATCGAAGAAAAATCATTAAGTATGGATATTTTATTTACAAAATTTGTATCAAACAGTGTATATTTTATTCAACGAGTTTTTTGTTCTCCTTTTTAGTTTTCGAAGCAGGTACAATGGATGGTCCAGAATATCGCGAAGTATATCAGGATTACAAAAATCTGGTGGATTTACTTCTTAGATGCTATATGGAAGATATGGGAATAACTCCTGAACAATTTGAACATGCTTGCAGTGTTAATAAGAATACAAAAATGCCAGTTCCCTTCAATCAGGTACACATGATTTATTTTTCAGTTCAATGTTAAACAATCATAAAACAATTTCATTATCGTTTATTGAATAATTTACGCCTTTCCTTTTCGTTATAAAATCGCGAATAATAAACGATAGATTTGGGTTTATTCAAATTAAATAGTATATCATTTCAGAGTCTATTTGAACAAATATGGGCTGCAAATGAATATGAAATATTTAAAAGAATGATGATTCAAAAAAATTTGGAACTTCAACTGCAAGCATTGAACTTGATTGAACAGACATATGGATTAACTCCAGCATCTTTAACGTACGAACCAAATTCAACTCAAGACGATGAACTTGTAATGGAAGAATTGCTGCGGTGAGTCCTGCATCTAGAACATCATTGAAGTGATGAAATTAACCAAATTTAAATCAAAAAAGAAAAACAATTAAACTATGATTATAATTTATACAGTGAACGTGCCTTGGAAGATCATGTCGAAACTAGTTCAGACTTAGAGGTAGAAACTGTGTTTCTCAAGGAACATGAACGTCTGACTAACGAGTACCGGAATGAAAAGGCATTACTTGAACAAGCTATACGTATATCAACAGAAACTCCCAAAAATATACCTCCAGTCTTAGAACATGAAACGCAAACTACATCAAGTGAAACAGACTCCGTTCCAAATGTAACAATTCCAGAAATGACGCCGGAACCCCTTGACTCAACTGCTGGCAAGAAAAAAATTAATAATACTGTAAGTATTGAAATTATAAATAAAACTTTGCAATGTGAAGGTATTATATAATATGGAACAATCTAGTAAGACAATAGGGATTCAATTTAATTGTAACCTTATATAAAAGAACATCACTGGACCTCGATTCATTTCTCTAAAATGGTTCTAATGGGTGTTTTCAGGCAAATGAGGAAGAAATAAGAAAAAGGCAAGTTTACTTGAAAGCACGGCGAGATAAGTTGGTAGCATTAAAAAAGCAAGCTCGAAGTCAGCGTTTAGGAGAAACGACTGGCGACCGGCCTAGTTCTGCGAGAGTTGTTGCCGAAGCAACTGTCAATGGAAAACAAGATTTAGAAGTGCCTCAATCAATGGAACCTTCTACTTTACAAGTTCGGAAGGCACTTGCAGCACGCCTAAAGGCTGAAGTCGTACGCAAATAGTTTTGCATAAAATAATGGGACTTACTGTTATTACTACGGATTTATTAATATATTAATGATCTTTTATGTAACACTTAACCAAACAATTTAACATTTTTACTTTGAAATAATTTTGAATAACAAGGCTGGACAAATTCCTTGAATTTATTCATCCTTTGAACAGGTGCTATTATTTGCTATTACCTATTTAAATAATGTATTAAAGTTGTGTTTTTATTCTAACAATTTAAGGGTTTAATTGGTATAACTGTGAAGTTATTTTAATTGATAATTGATTGACAGGATTAAATCCCCACTTATAGACACAAGCATGCAATATTAAATTGTTCGCTTGTCTCAGTTATCGAAATATTGATATATCAACTATAAAGGCAAAGGTTTAGAGTGAAACTTGATCAATTCTTGGTTCTAAAATTGAATCTTGATTATAATTACAGGATAAGTTTTGAAAATATACCAGTATAATAATGTGTATATAGATGTACCAAAAATATAATATATAAACCACTTTTGCGTATTACATCATAAGCCAACGTAAAAAGTGTAAACGTGCGCACTTGGTGGGAAAAATAAATATCTATTATACACAGGTGAATGTATAAAAATTCCAGATTATTTATCTTCCATGATAAGATAAATTATAGTAATTCTTATCGACGTCAAATAATTACATAAATCAAGGACGAAAGTGTATATGTTATATAATTAATTGTTTGAAATACGAGTACGAATAACAAGTAATATGGATGACCTTTTGATGGTAACGATGGCTTTTTTACTTCTTTTATTGAAAGTACGCAGTCGATCGACTGTAAATAAGATTCTTGTAAAAACGAAGACGAGGACGTATTGGAATTTCGTTAATTAGCCAATTACTCTAATTTTATCTTTTATTTAATTAAATATTCTTCGCACTTCTACAACACACTTGTATTCGAATAACATTCATTCGTCATTCCGTACATTGAACCGTCGAATTAGCGTTTAACGAGGTGGATTCGTAGCAGAAAACGAACGACAGTCAAACGTTTATCGATATTTCCCGTAATTCCGAACCGAACTGTCTATCATACGTACTTACCCGCTTTAAGCTACAGAGGCCTGAATTAATAAATATATTCCCCATATCGCGTATTTTTATTATTACTTCGTTTTCTTTAAAATTTATAGTACAATAATTTAATTCTGCTCCGGGGAAACATTTTGCATCGCAGGAAATTATGTTCAAATATTTTATGCACAATATAAATATATCGAAAACAAATCAATAATAATCCCGGCATAACGAAAGAGTTCCTTTATACATACTTTCGGAATTAAACTTGGCACGGTATTACTGCCTTAAAAAGCTAGATCCACGTCGATGTTGCCGCACGGGCTATTGTTGGTAGTTTTGTGCTACCGATCCAATTCGTTTGATTTTGCGTATCGATTTACTTTCATCGATCCCTCTTTGAAATAAAGTTCATATCATTTCCTGGTTGATTCTATCCCCCACCCTTCCTATTGCCCCTCGATTCGGAATATCTTTTGTTCGTAGTCCTTCGTGAAAATGTTTATTATAAAATGGTGCACGTTGGAGAAAAACGTCGCGCTTTGTTGGTATATAAAGTAAAATGCATAATATTGTTATAACACGTGACATTGTACACAGTATGCAAGACTTTGTTAATCCTTTAATTGATATATTTATATCAATGTGACGGTTGTAAAATTTCAGGTATCAGCCTCCGTGCCGATTCTCCTACGGAATGCTCTAAAACATTCAAAGATTCAGTATCATTTTGGACATGTTTTAGGCAGTGTCAAAATTGTCACCTTTTTAAATAAATTATCACGTATATCTTATTTACTTTTCGTTTCATAATAAATTTTGAATACAGACGCGATCACACATATATCTCTCTCTCCAATATTTAATCTGAATTTAATATTATAATAGAATTAATTCGTGAGCAACGGTAATCCGGAAGGACAAGGTCTATCGATCGAACCGATCCTGTACGAAGTCAAATTTTGCGCCTTAACCAGGAAAGGTGTACGAGTACGATGACGGGCCGTTCAAAAACTGAATTGTAATTATTTCCTAAAGTAATCGATAGGAAACTTTTGTACTGTTATTGATGCTTCCATTGCGTATCAATATTGTTGTTTGGTTTAGAATTGCTCTTATCACGTTACCTCTGTAATAGATGCTCGTATTATCATGTAGAAAAGTACACTTTCTACGAAATTGCACGATCGACTCGATTATGATTGAACACAGATCAGATGTATAATGCTAATGATTCTTTCCTTGCCGAGTCGAACGGGCGAGCGTTTCAAGTATTCAGCAAATGATCGATAGTGACAAAGCCTAAAACACCCTGTACAAAAATACATCCGATACACTCGATGTAGCACTCGATCGTACTTTAACTTCGTCGCACCCGATACATAATGCTCCAGCCTTAGAGTAGTAAGATTTTTCCTTATTACTGAATAAGTTGTAAATAAAGTAAAACACATGGGAACAACCATTACTCGTTACCTGGTCGATTAACTAAACGGTCTTAATCTTTCTTACACTTTCTGCGGACAGTTCGTGGGCGCTTATTTTTGTTTTCTTTTTCTTATGTACACGAGCGCTAGGCTTTAGCGCGCCTTGGCGATAACGTTTACTAAATCTCGCGATTAAAGTAACACGAAAATTTCTCTTTCTGTCCTGTAAAACACTGCCAATATTCCTGGTCAATTCATTAGTAACGACGCACTTATTTTATACCAGCCGTGCATACCAATGGATGAGTAATGAATTAATGAAGATGTTAATGGCGCTAAGTGTTATGTGCAAGAAGCAGAGTTGCATGTACAATTTTACAGCAATGGTACCGACAAACATTTCGGTGCTAATTATGTTTATAAGTTCCATTCGGTGATTCGGGATGCCTTACAAAAATTTACCTCGCCCGACAATCCAACGCGTACAATCGTACCGCGCCTAATCACGTATACATATCGCTACATTCGATTCGTTCTAATTAAAAATATCACAATGTAAATCAAAATTTGGATTCGATCAATAGGTCCTCTATGTAACGAAGGAACGATTTGGGTCTATGGCAGAATCTAAACGCGAAACAACAAATAAACACCCTTCCTTCGAATTTATCGAGACCGCGAAATTTGCATTAACTAACGAGAAAGCGCGAAAATAAACGCTGACATTTACTAGCGAGATCGACTGCTCGGTAAGAAAATAACTATGGCAAAATAAGAACACTTGAGCCATATCGGAGTCTCTGTTGACGATTCTTTGAGTACGTATGTTCGTGAAATTGTACTAGCGCTTAACTTGACATTCGAAGTCGAAATCCAGTCTCTCGAGCCACGTGTCACTTCCTGTCAAAGTTTAATCCGACTCGACGGCAAGTTAAGTTCCGAGCTCACGAGCCTGGAGCCTTACTCTTAAACCGCTAGGCGGAGCTAGAGCTTCGGATTCCATCGAGGAGTTCGCGTGTTTCGTTTAGCGTGTGAGGCGTTTCAAACCATTGGAATGAACTACGGTTTTCCTTCAAATTTACTATCTCTTTACATAACATAGTCGTACAGCGGCGTGTAAATTCTTATCATTTACCTTATTAAGAAAGTTTAAAGTTCCTTTGTTTTACAAATCCATCAGCATATCTGTACCTCCTGTTGCTGTGCATGCCTCTCTTTCTGTACACTGTTCAACGCGGACAGGCGTGTAAACGTCCACCACACGCGTACACACTAAGAGTAAATCCCTCCGTTGTGCTTTTCCATCGAGAGATAAATCGGCTCCCGATCTCCTTCGGACACGACACGACTCATTGGAAGCAGCTCCTGTCGTCTCGACGGCACGAGAGGGTTTGGGCCACGACCGTCACGATCAATCATCACGACGCGAATGTTGCTCTGCTATAGTTTTCCTACAATGAGATTCGCTGTCGCTTCGGCGAAGGAGTTAGGTCCGAGTCCTCGTCATCTTCATCCGAATCGGCCTCGTAATCGACCAAGCCCTTAAACATTTTCGAATGTTAATGTCTAGCTGTTAATACATTTAGTACATACAGTATACCTACCAATAGCAATTAAAAAGTGTACTCAATAAAAAGTTGGGTTTATTATGGGTCTACGATAAGAAATTATACCACAGGTGCCTACCTTTTTAAATATAGTGGCCCCCGTCTTTTCAACAGCATTGACAGTAGAACTGGGATTAACTTCTGTAGAAAGTGAAGAGTCATTTGCCGCCGGTGCACCGTTGTTTACTTGAGATTGTTGCGTTGACGTATTGTTATTGGCCGTATTGTTGTTTAAGACTGTCTGTTGTAATTGCTGTTGCTGTTGACTCTTGGAATCAGCCGCAGGGGAGTTTGGCGCAGAGTTTGCGGATGGAGGTTGTTTCTTTGCGGAAGCTGGAGGCACGAGATCTGCAGCAGCGGCGGGCACCACCGCTTCGCCTTCGTCAAAATCTTCCTCTTCGTTAAACCACATTTCCTCTTCCTCGTCGAGCTGTCGTTGATCTCGTCGATACCGACTGCTTCTTAATATCGAAGGTACACTGTAGATAAAGATTCACATATAAATAAACTTGTTTTGCAAAGTCTACATACAGTCATGCAGATGATATTCCTTAGATTATTAAATATACCTATCAAGAGTAGCTCGGTCTCGATCTTTCAATTTATCTTGATGTTGTTCGTACCTCAACTTTAACGCTTTAAATGTTTGAACGTAGTCAATTGCTTCCAACTCCTTAGAGAAGTTTTCGACTACGTGCGAACAGAGTAATTTGATATCCTCCTAAAACAAATATTAATCATTGTTTGTAGTCGAACTAGGAATTAAGACAATCGTAACTACTGAAAATGTTTAGAATAAAAACGAACCAATTTTATGAACTCAAACATTTCCAAGATTGCAGAATCCAAAAGGTTGTATCTACCATTGTTCCTTACGAACGCATCGAACACTGGTGCAAATAAATTTCCTTTAATTATATATCTGTTGTAAAACTCGTCCTTCAGAGCTATGATCTTTCTCATAAACCTTAATGCACATAATACTAAAAAAGTGTGCGTTGACTTCATTAAAACCAATATTCTTCTGAGCAAATCCTTGTTTAAAATGCAATTTTTTATGTGGTACGTGTGATGTTCCACACAGAACGAAAGCAACTCCAAAATTAATCCCAAAAGCTGAACCGTTCTATAGTCTTCCCTTGCTGGTCGATCTCCAATTGTATTGGCCAATAAGGGTGTGATCAGTGTACCAATGCTATTTTTGTAAAAATAAGTCAAGAAATCAGTCTTCTCCGCTTTGTTATTCGAAGCCAACATGTTTTCCGGATCTAAGAGTAGACGCAGAACACCAGCTAGTTGAACTGCACCACCTAGTTCGGGATCACCGTCTCCTACTAGCTGTGCCACAACCACGTTTACCAACATCTGATCTTGTTCCGTGTTATTTATCTGTTGCAGGGTATATTCTCTAACAACACTTGGAGAAAATTCAACGATGTATGTTAATATATCTATACTAGCTGTCTTGGTTTGAGCGTCGTTTATCGCGAGCGTAATTTCGAGCGCTGGTAAAATGCCGAGGGTGTTCAAGGTTCTGTAGAATACTTCTTTTCCTGCAGGTTGCAAATTTTGAGAAAAATTGCAAAATTCTTTTAGAAACAGAACTAAATCACGCCGTTTCGTATCTGACGTGGTTTCATCCGTTAATTGACGAAATAACTCTGTAAGAAATTTCTCGTCATCTTGTATTAAAGTCACTATTTCAACTTTGTTAAAAAATATAAAGCTACTCAATGTGTTGAGCATATTTTCTTCGAACACACTGGGGGTCGGCAAAACAACATCCTGAATATATTGTACACGATAAGTTTGATGAATCTTTGCTAATAATTCAGTGTTGGTGATAGGAATCGCTTGTTTAAATCTGGCTAACTGACGAAGGTATTCCCTATGCCTTTTCGGCTTAGGTGACGTCGGTTCGTACTCTAAACATCCCACAACGTCAAAAATAGTGTCATCGCTAAACATAACCTCAAAAAGTGGATTCCTGTTAAGTAGAAAAATGTTCTTGAATATGTCATACAAGTGATGCAGCCCTTCAATGTTTTCCAAATCTTCACAGGTGTGGAACAAGTTTAAAAGTTTCTTGATATAACCTTCGGATTCTAAGGCCACAGCTATTTTTTCTTTCGTTCCCTGGGTCGTTAAACAGTTTCCTATAAGCTCATTAATATCTTCCAATCGACTGAGCTCGCATGGAGGTAATTCTATCGGTGGCACCGAATCCGACATCTCATCGAATCTTTCATCTTCGGATTCTTCCACAATGTCCTGTGTAATTTCAACGGAAGGGTCCTTCCCTTGCACCTGACAAATTCTCTCCCAAATTTCATCGCAACCTGCCTTTTCTTGAAAACTTAAAGCCAAGTCAAAATTATCTCCTTCCGACCATACGATCAAGGTGTCCTGGAAAAATTACCATGAAACAAGATCATAAGCCAACGACGGTAACAATAGAATTATGTTTCATTGATAAAATATAATTTCGAATGTGCATATAATCATAGTTACCTGCTGTTTCTGATACGCCGTGTCTGGATGTATTCTGCTTTCTAGCAAAAGAGATCCATCGCTCTCGGCCCTAACTAGAAGAGAAATTCCCTTCAATCTATCCACATAGGATGAAGAAACATGCCCTGTACCACGATCATCCCATTGTCTATCCGCATTCAGGGCATATAACTTGACTCTTCTCCGCGTGTCCGTCATGATGTATGAATAGGTCACGCCGGATCTCACCTTACCTCCAACTAATTCGCATCCCTTCTATGTACCGTTTGTAACTTCCCAAGGTCTTATGTGATTGCACGTTATTTTGTCACAATATATATTCCCCGTGAAATTATGTACACCTTCTACCGTATTTCATACCATAAATACTAATTACACCTATGTAAAATCTGAATGCGTTCGGTACCGTTTTCTTTATACAGAAGACATTAGCATCTACGTTATTCGTGTCGATCCATGGATCTCTGCGATAACTCTAAGATATGCAGCATATCGAGAATGGAACCACGGACCAGCAGTTGTTCTTTACAGAAGCTTCCCTTATTCTCTTCCTCTCTTCGTTCCTGTACCCGAGAGCTCCGTCACTCGTCGTACATATCTATAGGAAACTATCGGGCAACTCGAACAGCCAACCAAGCACCGTGGCACTTCTTCCAAGAGCACCGTCCACCTCTGTTTCCAGCCAGAATCTAGTAACTCCCTGGAGCGCAAAGAAGCTCGTCGTGCCTCGAATGAACTTGTCCGACAATGGCCCGAATCTGGCGTGTCTTGATCGGCGTGGAGTCGCGTGACAGACGGAGCGTGCTCGTACTCGCGGTGTGCAGTCGTGACGCGCGTCGATGCGCTCAGAGGATAAAGCGAGGATCGTCCTCTGGTATTGTTTACTGTCGGGGGTGTTTACGCGGTCGTTGCATAAGCCAGATTGAAGTGCGACAGGGAGTTCGGGTGCGCGCGGGAAACGGGCGTCGATCACTCCAAGAAGATCACCCGTGTTCACGGAAACACGTGGACGGGACCGCGACTGTGACTCGGCAAGGACGCGACGACAATTCTTGTCCTGGTTAAGGTCATTAAATCCTCCGGGCGAATACCCCCGCGAAGAACCCCTGAACGGGCTATGCTCCGTCGTGAAGACGATTCCCGACGATGCCTGGACTCCCCAACGCTCACTTCTCGGCTTCGCTGGTTCGCCGCCTCGTCTCTGCGGGTTCCCTCGTTTACTTCCCACCGGCTTTCAAACTCGAGCCAACGACCAGCATCGTTCCTTTCGCGTCCCCTGTGCTCGATATCCCACTAAAATTGACGTAGACACCGAACAGCCACAACACTACATTCCGCCATGTTAGATCACAACAACGCTCCACGGGGTCCACCGCGCTCACTTCACGGACCTGCGCGCCAAATTCAAAATTCTCCACGCCGGCCCGAAATATTTACCGAATATATGACAAATAACGCCCCCTTGCCTCTCCCGGGTGCACGGTGGCCTTTTAAACCAATTTCCGGTCACTCCCTTGTTAATGTGCCGATCTAGTGCGATTTTTATCAACGGAAAGGCTCGCGAAGATGTAATTATCTCTCGGCCGATCAATAGACGTCAGCAGACGACGGCTAATCAAGATCACTTCTCTTCGCGGTTTCAGATCGCACCGGGGAGAGACCTTTCAATCGGCGAACGTCATTGAAGAAGGGTAGATGCGAGCGTGTCGTGAGGAAAGAGCCTGTACAGAATGTTTCATGTGATACGCGATATCGCGTAAATGAGTGGGATATCGCTTGCATATAAGACAATATGTAGTTTTTTTTTTAGTTATATCGCCAGACGGTACCCGTTATGAAGACTTTCACGAGAATCGGAGTATCGTTCGGAGAATCGTCTTGGGTTTTAACTTATTACCTGACATTTGGAAATATTATTTAACGGTAATGAAATGGTAGTTCTAGTTGTCTTTCTCGGTAATATCCGAAAATATGTTTGCAAAACCAATAGGAGAAACACTCCATAAAATGTTGATCAAATGTAATGTTTGACAAAGGTCAAGTAATTTGTACCGTGGAAACAATTTCTTAATTAATAACTATGATGTATATACTAAGCTTAGCATAATTCGTAAAACAGTTCATTCTATGTCGTAAATATTAATCTTGCATTGTGAATTACACCTGTGGTTGCCAATAACAAGGAATAGGCTTTCCAGTACTTCTAGGATTAATTAAACAAATACATGTATCTATTGTTGAAATGTTTGAGTACAATTCCTAGCAATAACTTTAACCTAGTTAGAATGATGAACATAACATACATTACTAGTGATTGAAATAAAGCTGTTTATTAAGGCATTTATGCACCATGAGAAAATATCGAAATCGTTTTATCAAGGACAATGAATACGAAAGAGAATTATATGTTGTTTAACAGCATTGATAGATATTAAAGGCAATTTAACAGGTTTTAAAGAGAACAGGAACATACATATCATTTTCAACTAAAATAAAATTTATTTATTTTGTGCCTTAGCAGAAAAAAAAATGGTTGCACAAGAATTTCTTAAGAAACGAGGATCGTTATGATGTTATATGATCTGTGCATCATATTGGTGAAAAGATTAATAAAATCGTAAAATTATGTTTTACTAAGCCTAGACTTCTCAACTATACATATATATTTGTTATAACCTTATGTTATACATTTAAATAGCTCGAAAAAATATGAATCATTTTCTAGGTACATTATCTGGTAGGAAACTAGAATGGAATAGGTAAATGTTGAAAATCAATTAAAAAGTAGTCATTTCAAATACAGAGCACAACCGAAATTATTTATGCCTTGAATAGTTGTACGATAGTATTGAAAGGTAGTCCTGAAAAAGTCAAATGTTAATAACCTCCTTGAATTTTATTCTTTCAACGATGACGCATACATTTTAAAAGGCCGTAGGCGTCGTCCTCAGTGTTTGGTTGACAATCTTTAATAATTTATGAAGATTTACCAAAAATCAAATAGACAAATTCCTTTAATACATTCCGGAGCTGTAAAGAAGAATGACTATCATACATTAACTATTGTGACCTAAGTTATTTTAAACCTGCTTTCTCGTCTTTTGGAAAAGAATGCATCTATTCGTTCGTGTAATCGAGCGTACGACATTTGTAAGATCTGTACAGCATTTATGTCAATATATGCGAAAAAGAATTATCTTTACAATTGACAGACACTCGTAAGAAAATGATGAATTGCCAAGAAATGAGTTTTGGAGAGATATATTCAGGCCAGTCATTGGGAAATTCCGATCAGATAATCTTGTAAAATACCTCATCTCCGAACGTCAAATTAATGTGCTTCAAATTACTAACGCTGGAAGTACTTTGAAAACAGACCTTCACACAGCTCAAAACTTATGTACAATATACTTTTAATGATTTTTAATGTAGAGAAACGTGCCAGCTGTTACGTCGCGAACTATACGTGGTAACGGTAGTTCCCGAATCGTCATGTGACAGTGTCTAAAAAACTCCTACCTGATAAAACTTTGCGATTTACAATTTTATTTCCCGTCTCAAAGTTCTATCAATATCTATTTGAATCAGTCAGTAATCGATACCCAATTCTTCGTCACCCGAAGGATCTTTCGACGGCCGAAGAATTGAGGTAGGACTTTAGCCATTGGCTATTCTTTATTACACATTTATCACAAAATTCGACGAGCGTTTATTCCGTGGTCGGTTGCGCAATAAATTTCTGTAATCTTCGCCTTCTCAACATTTCCTGGTCGTCTGTCGATTCGACTTCACTTCTAGATGATGATGGTGTAGCACCATTACTGCTTGTGCTAGTTTTTAATAATGTGCTTTCAATGGATGTATTCGTGGTAGGAGATTCAACGAATGCATTATTCTGATTGATCTCGTTACTGTTCGTAGGTGTCGATTCTTTCACATTTGAGGCTTCTGCCTTCTTTGTTTCAGGAACTTCAGTTGCATTTGTAGCTGTCGGCACTTGAACGCTGTAACAATTGAATTACATATATTTTTTACGAATACAATAAAAAATGTAGTTGGTTAGGAAATGTTTGCAGAACATTTGATGACTCACTTTGCTGTGGCAGCTGCTGTGTGGTACTGATTCATCATAGCATTGGCAGCATCCAAGAGCAATTGCACCCTCCTTAATGTTTGGATTCGGGCTTCAACTGCTTGCCGCAAGTTACCTTCCATTGCTGCAAGTTCCTCTTCGCTGAGTGCAGACAAGTTTGGTGGAGGTGTTGGTACTGGTGGAAGAGGTACTATTGGTGGTGGAAACGGAGGAGCAAACAGTGGTACACTTCCTGGTGCAACAGGTTGAAAAGGTGGAAAAAGAACATTCGTATTATTTTGCCCTTGTGTCGGTGGTGCTTGCGCTTGTAAACCAGCCCAAAATGATGGTATCTGGAAGCCCTGACCTGTAACAAATATTTTGATAGTTTTCCATTAAGTTCATTGTCAATAAATTCAGAGTATTTCGATTTTTTACCATGTTGATTGGCGCCAGGTACTGGAGCAGGTTGGGGTATCTGAGGCCCTCCTTGTGGTTGATTTGGAGGCCTCGTAGTGGAATTACTTGATGGGGGTCTCAAAATATTTAATCGACATGTCGGACAAGTTTGTTGTCGTTGGAACCATGAACGGAGACATGAAGTATGGAAAATGTGATTACAAGGCAATTTTTTACTTGCAGACATCATCTCCTCTCTGGAATAGTATAAATATATATTATAATTTACTAACCATTGTTTTAAACTGTAAAAATATAATTGCTTCTTAATAAAGAAATAATATTATACCTGCAAATAATGCAGACATTGTCTACTGCTGCTAACTCTTCTGGTGTTGCATCAGGATATAGTGTATTCATATTTCTAATAGCTCTTCGAGACATAACAATATCATGGAATGCCTTTTTAAAGTTCCGCATTGTATAATACATTGGTCGCAAAGCAAATAGAGGTAGAGTATATATTTTAACCATTATTGTTACAAAAGCAATGTATAGAATAACCTGAAAATTTCAAAATTGTTTAAACTTTAATAACATTGTACATACATTTATAATACAACGATAAATTAATACTGAATATATTTACCTTAAGGAGTCCAATAATTAATTCAGTATATAGTAGAAAGACTGGCTTATTGTCCCATGGATTTTCATTTTGCAAATCGATGGTATGTAATATATATTTGATGGTGATATTGAAGACAACAGTCAGCAAAATTGCATACTCAAAACCAAATACTAATTGTACCGAAGCACCCTTAATGAGGGTAGAATTGTAGGCATAATGTATCATTGTTAAATTTGACGCAAACAATAGAGCCAGAAGTGTAGTTACTCGAAGATGGAATAACCATGTGATAACAGGGCTTCTCTCCATCTACAATGATTATAAACAATTTCATTGTTCAAAATAAGATGACTCGTAAGTACGAAGAAAATTTTGGAATGATCAAATAATTAAAAATAAGACACTTCACTTACATAATCTACACGATCCTCGGCTAACCAATGGAAAGATTTCAGGAATAATAAAAGTGTAAACAGTGCTATAAATTTTGGACTGAAATCATCTCGAAAAACAGTAAATGCCAAGCAGGTTTCCGTTACCGCATACCATGCCTTTTCAACCAAGTGCTGCAAACAATTTTCTTTTAATTTAATTCATATCTCTTGGAATATACAAAATCTATCGTTAATAATCGCCAAAGTCTTACATACTTCAAGTTCAGCAGCTCGTAAATTTCCAAAGAATATCTTCCTGAGGAAAGTATTCATTAAAAAGACGAGAATGAATCCCTGTACATAAATGACCTGGAAGAAAACGACAAAAATAAAACTTCGATGCTACACAAGTGTCATTGAAAGTACGTTGTACAAAAGGTAACCTTCCGTAGAACGAAAGTAAAATCATTGACAAAATAATCTCTGTCGATCCCTAGGTGCAAGATTCTGTAACGTGGTAAATTTCAGTGTACTCAAAATCAATTCGTCGTGTGTCCCGGTCATAAACAAAGGGCATTGCTAATCATCACGGTACCGCTTAATATTGTTAATAAACTAGAGTTACCGAATCGTGTACACGCCAATAAATCCGTCAAACTTACAGCCATACTCGGGTTCGACTTGGTTATGTAGACCACGGATGGATAGAATTGTTTCTTCTGGTAATAGGCATTTCCTACAACGGCACACGTGAGTGCGATGCTGATCATAATCACTGCCGCTCTCATCTTCTTATCTTGTGATGTTTCCCGTTACGTTCTTCCTCGGATGTTTCCCTTGACACTTAACACACCAAGAATTTAGCTTTTGACTACTTTTGACAACTGCGAGAAGGCGCTGTTATCTTGCGGCATTTCGAGAAACTACGCGACACATACGTGTCGTCTGGCCCGGACCCCGTGGGACTCCCCTCTACGACCACCAACGTGGGCCAATCGCAATCCATAGCGGTCCGATTGCGCAACTAATTTTCCCTTATCAGTTATTTACATTAACCAAATCAACGGGCACAGCGACTTCTCCAATTTTCAGCCTCTCCTCGAAACCTCTTGAACCGTCTTGAAAATTCTCAACGGTTCAAATTGAATCCAACTTTCCTTTCAAGCGTATTTACCGCTTCTCTTGAATAAGCGAAACTCCTATTGGTGGATAAAGACAGGCGGTGCAACGTGATTGGTCGATACACCGCACGCGATTTGCCCGCGTCACCGAGTTAATTTAAATGTATCATGCTAAATTCACGATAGTTATTTGTTCTCGCCAGTTTCTTAATTGTAGCATTCCTTTCTTTTGTAAGCACCTCGATATTAATTAGAAGCGTCGCGGATCTCGAATAAATGCCAACGGAAAGTCTTCTCTGTGAATATAGTACTGCCAATGTAAGAATGGAAGGGATTCATGTCCGCTACACTGAGAAAAAAAAGTTAGTTGACACAATAAAATATGCATTGCGGCAACAAAATCCTGCGATCAAATACGTCCAAAGGAATGTCAGATTGAGTAAACAACATTTGTTTAAGTCAACAATTAGTTTAATTCAACGACATCAGTTTTTCTTCTCGACAAAGTAATTGTTTCTTGAAATCATGTATGAGTCAGGCAACAATACATACGTCAATACTTATTTGTTTCGGTCAATTAATGTTTTTTCTCAGTATAGTATATAGTTAACTCTATTTTCGGAGAAATCGAAATATCATTGAAGGTTGAGTAAACACTGCGTCAAAATGGCCAAATTGATTAAAGTTAGTTAATACATTTTCGCAGATTTGAAAATATGGAAAGCGGAAGGCAAAGTACTAGCTTTACGGGGTCATTGAACCCTGTTCATAATCCAGGAGTTTCAATAAGAAAAGAGGATGTAAAGAATTTTTTTAGAATAATTGGTAAATCATTGTTTTCATCGCATGTTTTATTTTTTAAAGTGCCGATGTTTCATTTACCTTTTATTGTAGATGAAGAGATGGACGTCTTTCTACAGGAGGACACATGTTTCAAACTTGCTGATAATTACCTAATAGCTATGGCATTCATATACTTTTTAAGAGCTGCTTTACTACCAGAAGAGTATACAGGTCAAAACTTCTTAATCGCCCTGTAAGAAAGCAATTCAATATAATAAATAATGATCAGTTATGAAAAATGCAGTGAGTTAATGAATCTAATTGTCAGCAGTAACCTTCATTGATTGGGTGTGATTTCTTATTTTTGCAATTCTCTGGGAATTTCAGAGAGTTTACTTTATTTAGTACGGATAGATTTCTAAAAACATTACAAAACAATTATATTAAATTCGGCATTACTAATATATTTAAAAACGTTCACATATATATTTTATTTAAATTTATATCCTACAGAAATATTGAATTTACCCCAGTGAATAAAATTAACTTTCTCAATGAAGAAATGTTGCTGAGTTTTATTTGTGGTTTGTTCTAATTTCTTCATTCGTTTCAGATATTTAGCACATGATATGGAGGAAGACGAAGAAAATTATCGTCTTGAATTACGTCAATGGGCAAGTCGTATAAGCGATTGCTGGGATTCAGAGTCGATATATTTTATAAAAATGCGTGACAGGCTTTTCCACAGAATGAAATATCGAGGAGTCGTATCTCGTTTCTGTTGCCAAACTGTAATGCGCCTGGCAAAACCTTCGCACAAAGTATGGCAAAGGTGGAGACACGCTAATCACTCTGGAGCAGCTTGCGAATTTAAAAGGTAAAATGATTGCATGCATTACGTACAGCAAATGTATGCTGATATAAGAGGAATATAAATGCTTTAATATGTAACAATAATTAACTAAGTGGGGTAAATAACTATTACGAAATATTTAACCACTAAAAATGTCCAAGTATATTTTTGATTTTTTACTTATACAAAACCTATTTTTTTCAGGCTAAGAGAAGTTTGTCCTAAATGTGCGAGGCGTTCTCTTTCTCATTCGTCCAATTCATCATCAGACTTTTCAGAAGATGTTACTTCAGCATTTGAAAGTACAATGTACGTAGAAGAATAATTTGAATTTGTTCAGTTTAAACTGACCAAAAGAGTTCGTTCCGGAATCATATATGAAAATTGAACTGTTTTCCTGTTACTGAAATGTGCGATAAAATTTCATTTGATGTATAATCCGTTAATGAAATAATCTGGGTTTATTAATATTGATGACAAAGTACAAAAATCCGTATAAATATTTCTATAGTGTTTTAGGATTAGAATTATTAAATCTTAATTCATTATCACACATTAAGTTATTATGTTATATTAATTTATTGCGTACATACGGTAAAAATACAATAACTCTTAAAAGTCATACAGATAATTTTCTTAACACGGTACAATAGAACAAAAATACTGAACAAATTATAAACAGACAAATCATTTAATTGTATGTCCAATATTCCTTTAACAGGTTGTTATAAGTCGCAGTACATATTAAGAATAGTAAACGATATTTGTGTTGTGTAAATGTCACATATAAAATTATTAATTAATAAGGAATCAGCATTAAATGTCAAATTCGTTTTATCATTGGACGCGGCGTTGTGCATAGTTTCATATTTATAGTTATATTTAATTTATTTAGTTTGATTTATACTAATTGTCTAGATAAATGCCTTGATTTAAGGACGCTTTTAGGACTGGGGCGTTTATTTACACTCAGTGGTGCTGTTGCTTTTAAAGGTGTTCGTCTAGTATCAATGGGTGGTCTTCGTACTAAAGATTTAGAACTTTTTGGAGTTTTTACACTTAATGGTCTCTTAATATGTGGAGTTCTGCAGAGAGCATTATCAGGGGTGTCAAATATATGAACACCGGATTCCTGTAATAACGTGTTGACTGACATCTTCTTAATAATTCCAGGAGGAGTCATGGTTCTATTCTCTTTTTCAGTTATCCTTTGTTTACTTTTACTTAACTCTGGAGTCTGATCAAGTTTCTGAGAGTTACGTTTACACAAATATTTCTCCGTCGTTTGTTGATTACGAGATGGTAAAATGGTCAATTCCATTTTAATAAGTGGCGATGTCTCGGGAGACTGTGCAAGTTTCAATTTGACACTGTTAGATTTTGGAGTTCTACTGTGCTTTCTACGTGGACCGATTCCTTTCCGTATATTGGACAATGACGTGTCTAAATCCACACTCTTGACTTCTTTAATTCTACCCGCTTTGGCTGTATGTCGGACATTTGCATCTTTCTGATCGACATTTTTCACTGTAAATTCGTGCGAGGTGTTGGAGCGTTTTGTTGAGTTATCATCAAATAATTTTGCCTTAGCTAATACCATTCCAGCATTTTGCGTACGTAGTTTAGCTACCGAGGCCCGACCTGTTTGAGGTAAGGGCGTACAATTTTGTCTATTGGTTACAAAGTATTTATCTGCTTGTCTCCAAGTAATAATTTCATTATCAGTTTTTGGTGATTTATTTACCTCGGATGTGAGATCTTTATATACTAACATGTTTTGTTGACTATTGGTTTTCTTTAACTCTTTAACTTTTTGATTAAAATACTGCGAATTGTCTATAATTTCATTACCATGGAAAGACGATGCTCTCCGTTTAGTACTGCAATGCAATTCTTTCTCATCCACTTCAAACACTTCATCGTTCATTGTACTTATTTCATTGTTACTTAGTGAATATCTTGTATGTTCAGCAGTATGGGTTATGAGTGTATGTAATTGTTGTTGTAAGTAATCCAATCTAGAATTGGTTTCATCGCTGCAGAAAGTTTGAGGCTCTTTTTTCAAGAGTGAGTTCATTTGCATTGATCCTGTTTGATCAATAATTTGCTCCCGGTCTAAATTACATTTTGTATAAAAGTTGTTCAATATTAAATTATCTTGTACAATATGCTGTAAATCTGATTGGTGAGAACTATGCCAAGAAGCAGTGCGACTGATACGTTTGCTGAAAGGAAAATTTAACTTTTATTATATGTAGTTAACAAAGATTGGTAATAATAATTAAAAAGTAAAACATCTGATTTAAATATAACACAATGAATAAAAAATTGTGTACCAACCTGCCAGGTTTTTCTTGAGATCGTCGTCGTAAATTACCTATTTTACGAGCACTTGGGGATCTTATAATTTTTTTCTCACCCGATCTTCTAATTTTTAACTCTTTACCTAATCTTCTTGCTAGATGATCTGCAGTAGTAATACTATCGATGCCAGCTTCTTCTAGAGTTTTTTCGTACTGACTTTGAACTTTGCTGACGGAGTTATTAGTATCATTGGAAATACTTGCAAACTCCTGTGAAATGCACGATTCTATGGCAGAAACTCTGTTTTTAATTTCTTCATACTCACTACGAGACACTTTCACATAATCTTCATTTTCATCGTTACAAGTTTCAGAAACATTTTTCAATTGATTATCCATGCAATCATCAAAGAATATTTTAGATTGCTTCTGCTCAGACAACGATTGAGTACTGTATTCTGGTCCGGGTGTTTCTATGAAGACAGTGTCTAAAGATTTTCTGCTTGTGCTTATTCGTAAGCGCTTGGCTCGATTGGTCTGTAATTCCACTTTTTCTTGCGAGACCTGCTCGTTGCTGTCATCTGATAAGTTGACATCAGCTTCCATAAATAATTGGTCATAATTTTTTTGAACGGGTGTTAAGTCGCGTTTCAATGACGGAATATGCAAATGTCCAACACTTTGCGTCCTCCTTTTCTTTTTGGACCCGGAAGAAGTATTAGCTAAGCTCCAGCGTCGCTCCATGCATGGTGTAAAAGTTTGTTTACAAACATCAATATCTGCTTCATCAATCTTCTGCAAATTGTATATTGTTCAATTATGTAAATTTTATTATTAGATGAGATATTAATTATTCATGTGACGATTTTTTCAATAATTTTTGCACAATTTAGTATTGTACAGAAAAATGTTTATCTTACCTGTTTGTTTTTAGTAACAAATCGATCCAAACTCAGTCGAATTTTTTTGGACTTATCTAATTTGTCATTGATCCTCCTAAAATTAATACAACATTTTCAACTTTGAATATTTATAATGTATTACTAAAATAATGTAACGATATTAAATAAAAGAAAAAGTATAATCTTACACATCTGAGTGAACTTTGTGTGTTAAATATTTTCTCATCCTGGATTTTTGAACTGGACTTTTTTCCTTTACCACACTGCAGATATTATAAGTTATTTTAAGATATAACTAGCTGAAATTAATCGCACATATGCACCTAAATTATATACATACCTTGCTCGGGTAGAAACTGGAGAACCTAATTGTTGAAGATGGATGGAAGTGTTATCAGGTACCGCATCTATCAAGTCACGCCTATAAAAAATAGTAACACTTTTTCAGATACTAACAGAAATAAGTTGTATATAATATTTTATGTAAAGCCTGCATTTTTTTAAATTCACTTTTAATTTCATGAATTCACTTTATTTATGTTAGAAGAAAGAGTATATGTTTAAGTTCATAACATACTTTTTCTTTGTGGTCAATTGATTGTCTGTCTCCATAACTTTACGTTTTTTACCAATTTTTGTGGAACTTCCATCAACAGAGCAAAGATCAGCAGAAGGTATCCCAGTGCAGGTGGGCCCAGAATTTGTTGGCGAGCTGTTTTTACCCACAATTTTCTTTAACCCATTAAGCATTCCTTTGAAAATAAATAATATAGTTTAATTATATTCAAAAAATACTTTAACAAAATTTAGGAGCTTTAAATCTTACGTGTAAGACTACCGCTTCGATGTTTCTTCTTTTTGATCTTGGAACGTAAAAAGGGATCTGAACTGTCCAAATCATTTTCTATGCTTCCAGTTATTTCCACAGAAAGAGCCTCTGCTATGTGCTCAGGTAAAACTCCAATTTCTTCAGCATTGGCAATTAAAATCTAAAATGTACACATATTTTACAATTATTTTGTATAAAAATGTAATTTAAATATTTTACTCAGTAAACTTAACATACCTTAGTAACAAACAGGTGAGCTTCCAATCTTGCTTGAACTGCAGTCATAGTGGTTTCTTGTAAAGGCATTACATTTGGTCCAATAACTTTTGCTAGATTATCAATGTTCATTTTGTTTAGCTTTTCATGCATAGATACTTTCTTTAAAAATTCCATGAAAAATGCTAAAGTATTTAGATGGTGTGGTGGTAGAAGTAAGCAAGCCAGCAGCAAGGCCTCAACACATCGGGCTTTTAATGTAGCACAGCGAACAAATAAGTCATGGTAGTGATAAGGAATCAAAGGCTCGGGTAAATCTCGAAAAAAAGTCTTTAAAGCACTAGCAACATCGATTGCATGATGTTTCTCTCCTAAGGTTCCTCCATTATCAAGACGATTAATTAGTTCTTTTTGCCGAACCTGAGAGCCTGCTTTTCTGAATAAGCCTTCCTGGTTAAGATGTTTTTCTAGATACGAAGTTGCTTGACTGACAAAGATAGGAATGTGTATTATAGCTCCCGATGATAGACTCACAACATCTAAGGGTAAGTACGATAATTGCGTCTTGAAAACCTTCTTCAAAACGCTGGGATTTCTCCCTGCTTTTTCCGTTTTAATAACATTCTTTTTCAAACGAAACTTAACCCCAAAATTTTTTAAATCACTGGTGATAATTTGGTGGACTTTTTCTCTGTGTAACACATCGTATATCAACATCTTCACTTATGATAACGTAATGCCGTGTAATACATTCGCAAAATACTCTTTCACTCATAAATCATAAGATATTTCTCGGTATATAATTCAAACCTACCATCACCTACCATTGCAAATAAACACTGAACCTACACATATCAATTATCATACACAAGCCATAGAAGTCCCGTTCCCATGATGATGCTTGATACTCAATAAATAGTAACCAAATGGGACGCTAGATGACAGCACGGGCGAATTAAAGCGTTACAAAGTGAGAGGAAGAGCATGGGCGGTGTGAGCTACCCTAAGCGGGGGTTCGTCCCCCTCTCCCCTTCACCCGCCACGTCGCGCGACACGGGACAAAAAACAGATTTAGAACCGAGATACCACAGAATGCTCCATAGCTGTTCGCTGAGAGATTGAGGCTTATACTGAATCGCACATTCTTCGCTCATTATATTTTGATATGATATCCTTGAGATGATATGATGATGATGATGTATGACATCTACAATATACAGAAATACCTCTCAATGGCATTCTGTGTTGCAATATTACGTTATTTACGTATAGAAATATACACGTGGTATTTAAATGACCTAACCCGTAGCATGTGAACGCTCGAAACGAAACACGAGACGTCAAGAATAAGAGAATGTCGATAAAAATGAACGCATGGTTAATCCACGTGTGTTACTTAATAGGAGAAAGAAAGACAGACATAAAACGGCGGGAACTTTGTCCGTCAAGGCAAGTACGAAAGGGGATCAGGCGATCTGTAAAAGAAAGAATGCACATGTTAGCCAATGTATCTTAGGTGATGAGAGAAAGAAAGACAGGTACAAAATGTCAGGACTCTGCCCACCGATCGCATACGGAAGGGGGATCAGACGTCTGTAAGAAAGAGAACGCATGTGTCAGCCAACTGTATTCGACACCATGGGAGAAAGAGAGATGTACAGGAGACGGAGTTTCTCCGGAAAGAGTGGGAGAGGTCCGGTAGACAGTGTGAGTAAGACGAAGAGAGAATATGTTTCCATCATAATGAGAGAACATGAGATAGAAAATAGCTGGTGGAGAAGGGGTGGACACGACCGCGGCGCCACCATACAGTTGGCTAACATAACTAAAATGTTAGCCAACTTTTCCAGGCATCGGAGGCCTGTATCCCTCTGAGCTTCTATGGAGACGTCTGTATTCCTTGCTATCAAGATGTCCAATTGTAGTTACACGGAACATAACCTAGTTTTCTACTGTCGATCGGTTTTCATACAGAATGTATAAACGATGTAATGTTTTGTATGGTTGAACTCAATAACGCCCACTGTCAATAGTGGTCACAAAATTAGAGTTCTTTCGATATGGCACCGTGGAAAGACAAATTTGTAAAACGCTTTGTCATAACTGAAACTACACAACATAAAAAAGGGTTTACTGTTTACAAAGTTACATCATTGGTATGTGTATACAGCATGAATATTGAATTATCTTTTTGAGGTATTTAAACGCTCTTTTCAAATTTTACAGTACTGCATATATTACAGGTGTTTATAAAAGACGTGCCAGAAGCAGTGTCAAAAGTATCAGTCTGGAAACGTTACTCAGAGTTTAAAAGACTTCACTCAGCACTTAAATCTCAATATGCAAATCTTAAAATCAAAGAACCCTTTCCATCGTTTCCACAGTCGAAATTTTTTGGCCGCTTTGAAATTGACGTAATAGAAGAAAGAAGAACAAGTGCAGTTAAATTTTTAGAGTTCGTTGCAAGGCATGCTTCGTTATATACTAGTACTGTTTTCATGAAATTCTTTGAGACTAGTCAATCAAAAGATTCAATAACTGACTGCTCACAATCTTTGAGTTCTGATACTTCTGAAGAAGATCATAATACCAGCTTAGATAAATATTCAGATAAAAACAGAACACTTCAACATTTTATACCCCAAAGTATCAATTTCAGTACACCTACAAATTTAATATCACCATTTCTTTCAAAAGACAAAGGAGAATCAGTGGTTTCTAAAAACTCTTATCACTTTAATGGAAGCATTGAACCATATGATGGAAGTGCTCTGGGAAGCTTTAAAGATACTGAAATAGTCACAAATTCAGTTGAAAATCTCATTACAGAAGGCCAATCATCTTTGACAAAACAGGTTGACATTCAAGTTACAGATTCACAGTTAGAATACACTAAACATACTAATGGGATTAGCGATAAACATTGTAGAGATATAAATCCATTGAGTGATAAGCAGTCAATTGTAACACGTGAATGTATTAATGGATTTGTACAAGATGCATCATGTGATGCATCTAACATTGTTATACACGATGGATCTGATTTACCAAATACAACCGAAAATGCTGTACAGTACATATTAATAGCTGCAGCACATATGAGTGCAGCTTTTCGACATGAAGCAATTATTGAATACGAAGAGGCTTTTACTCAGTACAAATTAGGAATTTCCCATTTGTTAAATGGTGTTCAAACTGATCCAGATCTTCAAAGACGAATTATAATTAAAGAAAAAATATCAAAATATTTAAACAGAGCCGAAAGACTATACAACAGGCATTTAAATTGCAATATATTAGCACTTAATAAACCTGTATCAGATCTTCAGAATTACAAAGTTTTTCAAGTTGTTGGATCTGCAATGCTTGTAAAAGATATAATTCAAGGGTGTACTAGGGTTATAAAGGTTCAGTAATATATGTTTATTGACATTCTTTTCTTATTTATTGTAAACTTGTACATCTGACATGTGTTTTCATCAAATCATTTCATTTACAGACAATTGAAAAACCGGCGGGTGTGGAAGAAGATATAAGTAATTATATATTACGAGGAAAAGTACCATACATGGTACAATTATATGGATGTATACAAACAGAGACAACCATATTTTTGGTGCTACAATATGTCAGGTAAAATATTACATTGATCTCCAAATATTGTCTTTTTTTCAAAAGAGTTTATACTTTTTCTTAATCAATGTAATATATTTTACAGCAGTGGAAAATTGTGGGAATATATAAAAACTCATTGGACTGGTCACAACATGGCTTTAAAAAAAAATCATACAAGGTCGGTCAGTTGCGATGCTGCAATTTATACTGAATGTGATAAAATAAAAAACTGTAATTGTAATGACTCATCTGAAGAACAAAAATCAGCAAATATAAAACATGATAAATTAAATGAATGTCACCCTTGTGGAAACGTAAATAATGAAGAAAATAGCTTTGACTCGTCAAACTATTTAGAAGATTTTAGAACTGATTCTAAGTCCAGTTTAGACTTACCTACAATAGATCTGTTAAAGAATGCGAAAAAATTGTTACAGTCAGTCAATGCTACACTGAAAAAAAGTAATTCTATTGCGAGTCGACTGAATGAATCTGAACAATTATACAATCGACTCAAACAGAATTCCGATAAATCAGTAAATAATTCAGTGCTTTGTATGACAAATGGACATGATTCCGATATGATGAATTCAGAAAAAAGTCCCAGTAAATCAAAGAATGGATCAACTGAATGGCAGGAACAACAAACAAAACATTTCAGATTCATAGATGATAGTGAAAATACTGAAGAAAGTTATGATACAAGTGAGTTATCAACTAGTGACAGTTTTACTGATATAAGTATTAGTAAAGAAAAAGAACCAAGTGCATCCGCAGACCTGATTGCAGTGCCTAACACATTAACAGAAACTACAGGGAGTTTAGAAGGTAAAAATAACTTTGGTAAACCTCATCTGTATTTCGCAGAAAATAAAATACTTAGTTCAAAGCAGCAATCATTTTATGATGATTGTAATGCAGAAATAATTCAATTGTGGAATGCACCTGAAGATACGGTTAGAGTATGGGCTGCAGAAATTCTGTTAGCATTAGAGACATTACATCAACAAGATATCATAGTGTCCGATCTTACACCCGACAATATACTGATCGATGAGATGAACCATGTTGTCCTAACATACATAGTACCTCAAAAGTGCAAGCAATTATCACGCATTAAGAAACCGTATACAGCGCCCGAATTGTGTTTATTTTCACCATTGGTATCTACTGCTTCATCTGCTGATGTATGGAGTTTTGGGGTTCTACTCTATGAATTACTTACAGGAACTGTATGTAATATGTTACATTTTTCAAATTATCAATGCTTTATCAGTTATTTCTTTCATGTTAATTATTTTTGCAGACATTCCAGTCAAAGCATCCAGGATTGTTCCATTCACATTCCACACTTAATATACCAGAAGACTTGTCAAAAAATGCTAAATCTCTTCTAATAAATGTAAGTTTCACAGCGAAGAAGCAATGAAAAAAAATATATATATATAAATGTATATAATGTCACGTATGATTTTTAGGTACTGAAATACGAGCCCAGTGACCGAATGACAATTCCTGATATAAAGGAGCACCCGTTCTTTGAAAAAATGGATTGGGTAGGCTTATTAGATTATTAACTTGCCCACGTTACTTAATACGTTTATTATAGTATTAAACGGATATATTTAGTTCTTTTAATTGTATTTAGTCTTTCGTATCTTGTACCTGGATATGTATTGGTGCAATTAATACAATCTATGAGAGCGTTAATTCGACAAGTAACATTCGAATCTTGTAACAAAGTATTATAGAATCTGAGAAGAAAATATTTATTATGATATTATAAAATTACATTATTTATGAACTAGTTGTACACAATGTACTGCAGTACTGTTATTTTGATTTTGATCTCTGTGTTCGTAATATTGTCGACATTTCATTAACGGAACGAGTTGTAAATAAAACATCGCGTTATTGAATATACCATCATTTAATGATACAATCATGAATAGCGATTGTTTGAAATGCCGTTGTAACATAGTTCCAATATTTCCGATGTATACCGGATTGTAAATTACCCCTTTATAAACCCAGTATATATCGAGACCCTTGGCCGCGATCCAGCTCCTGGATTGGGCAAGGCCGAGCCGGGCAATGTTAATCTCAGACTTCCTGGATTTTTTTAATGTTCCGTTTTGCCTGTTCTTTTTAACCCTTTCCAGGTTTAGGTGGATCACAACAGAATCCATTTTTTTTAGTCATCATGGGTAGTTCATCGCCGTAAATCTTGCTGGACATGTTGGTAAGAGATGTTAAAAGATGTTTATTATCACAGAGATGAATTGGGAGCAGAGATGAGGAGGATCCCAGAATTGGGCCGCCATGGGGGGTATCAAGTGGCAAGTGCGTTAGCCGTCCACATCCTCCACAGGGGGACAGCACAGAATGTGATCGCGCGACTCTACTCATGAGCAATCTCCCAACTCATAGAGATGATACAGAGGTACGATACTGTGAAATGGAAAATAAAATGATTGATTTGTCTATCGAATAATGTTTTCCCGATTTTTATTTTTGCCTACTCTTTATTAAGACCAATGCACCTAGTATTAAAATATAGAGAAAACAATTGTTCGTAATTCTGTGTACCAGATGTACTATAATTTGTTACCTCATTCAAAAGTTATGATACAAATGAGTTGGGTAATAAATTAAGGAACAATACATTAAAAATATATACAGAGATGAGTCGGGAGATTGCTCACGGGCAGGGTCGTGCGATCGCATCCTGTGCTGCCCTCTGGTTTCATACGTTAGCTTTCACCGTTTTTTGCCCCCAAGGGCGGCACAACGAATTTCTGGCAGGGGCTCGCGCACTCGGGATGACGGTGCCACCTACTAGTAGCCATTGGCGGCTTACGTACTCGTGATGGCTTACCTACGCTTACCGACCCTGCTCGCTTTTGATGATAAGGGAAGAGCACTCGTGGCGCCCTCTTTGACTTTACCCTTCACTTACCTTATTTAAATTACGGGAAGGTGAAAAATGTTATCTTAATTAAATTCTACTTCACAGCTAGTTCCCGAATCGGTGTCATCCCATAAGGGTGGTACCGATCCCCCAGGTCCCGCCACGAGGAGGCCGCTGTGATTGGGACCCGCCTAAGCATAGGCACCTGGTTCCGTTGAGTTCCTGGCGTCCCAGGAACTCGCAGAACCAGGATTTCGTAACCCATACAGCACACCACTCGCATACCATACGTATCCGTCCATAGCTTAGCTACGACGTACTAAGTGCCGACGGAAGCTGCCGGATACACTAAAGGTACGGCAATGCCGTACCTGCAAAAATCTACTTCGGTTAGCACGCAAATCCGAAATTACTACCTGCATGGAAAGGTACTCGACAACGTCCTGTCCGCAATTTACAATTACGCACGCACGCAATGAGTGCTTCCACTTTTAACTACGTTTAGCTACTGTCATACAAAGAAAAAACACACGCTAAATGGAACCACTCGCGCAGCTATTTGCGAATCGGTGGTTTCGAACAATAGTTGGTAACCACCGATCCCTCAGGCTCACCACGTGGAGGTTGCTGCGCACCGAAGCCCTTTACAAACGTAATAAATTAAGTTATATATATTAAGAAAGGGAACGGAAGGGAGGGGGGATGTCTCCCATAAGGCCCGGTTTCACAACCCACGTTAACCGAAGTTTGATTTTTAACCGTTAGGTTAAACTGTAGGTTAAAACTGGAGTTAACCGTTAGGTTTAATCGTAGGTTAAAACTGCGGTTAACCGTTAGATTTAACCGTAGGTTAAAACTGGGGTTAACCGTTAGATTTAACCGTAGGTTAAAACTGGGGTTAACCGTTCGGTTTAACCATAGCTTAAAGCTGGGGTTAACCGTTAGGTTTAACTGTAGGTTAAAACTGGGGTTAACCGTTAGGTTTAACCGTAGGTTGAAACTGGGTTTAAACCAGTTACGGTAGAAGCAGGTAAACCGATGTTTACCCTTCGGAAGACCGAAGGGTAATGGTGCTTCGAGCGCGCGCTCGGCCTTATATAGGGTCCCCGACCCCGGCATGCGCATGCGCAGTTCCTTATCACACCTTTGTATATTCCAATTTTGGAATTTCTTTATAATGACGGAATTTCATGTCTACGGAACCCTTTTTTAGAGTCATTATACTCACGTTATAAAATTTCAAACGATTAGGTACACCTAGTTTTGTGAAAAATTTTCTTATCAACCGACCTCTCAGTTGCCTCTTTCTCGTCACCTTAACGGAAAATTCGTAATTATAAGATGATGCAATGGGAGTACAAGGGTACCTTTTTCAGGTATCTGCGGTCAGGTGTCGACCGGGAGAAGCGACGGTGCGGTAATTGAGGACTCCCGATTATCACAAAATCCTAATCATCATAAAATCCCCAAATTCTAATAATTAATTTTGAAATTTATTAGTCAACTATGTATTAGACATTTTGTCGATCATACGTCAAAAATGTCTAATACATAGTTGATTAATAAATTTTAATAAAATCCTAATCATCATAAAATCCCCAAATTCTAATAATCAATTTTGAAATATATTAATGAACTATGTATTAGACATTTTTGACGTATGATCGTCAAAAATACCGTAGAAAGTAGACCGTAGAAAATCTTTAGAAAACGGTTAAGGTAAATTTATAGTGATTTTTAAAAACTAAGCAATTACACAAGATTGAAGGTACTCATAAAACTTTAATTCTCTTTCTTAACATTATGATATTTTTGGGGCTTGTTTGTCCATTTTTCTATGTTTCTCTGCTTCTTCTTTATCACTGAAATATTCATATACTTCATCAGATGTCTCAATACCAACTGGAACTTTATTTGGAAAATGTGAAGATGTATCATCATTTGCTGTATCCCGTGGAAGTATGTGCTTGTAAATTGACATAGCCTAAAATCATAATTCCAAATTATATTATTTTGTTATGAGTAATGACACTGTACTAAATTTATACATTGATACATTAAAAACATACCTGTGTTACAAAATTTGGTACATCCCCAGCATTGCTAGGTAATATCAATGTATTATTTGTTTTTGCTAATTTATTAAATGCTTGGACATACTGCTCTGCAATACTCAAAGCTGCAGCATTTTTACCATCTCGTAAACCTAAAGAACTAGAGATTACTTGTAAACCTTTTGCACGTGCTTCCGCCACTGCTAACATGGCTGCAGCTTCACCTGATGCTTTGTTAATCTGTTCTTGCTTCTCAGCCTCTACAAATACAATATTTATAAAGAATAAATTTCTTTTACAATTTCACTTAATGATAATTTTTTGCCATAATAAAGTATCATACCTGAAGCAAGAATTCTAGCTGTACGTTTTCCTTCTGCAACATTTATATCAGCTTCACGTATTCCTTCAGATTCTAGGATAGCAGCTCTTTTCTTTCTTTCAGCTTCAACCTGCATCTGCATGGCTTCTTGAACCCTAGGTGGCAGTCTTATGTCACCTAATAAATATTAATTGTAATCAATACTAAATATATTAAATGTTTAATTAATTGGGGATTACATTGACATATTAATGAAAAGTGCAAGTAAACTCTGTTCATCATAATTTCGAAATTGGCCAAATACTTACGAATTTCATATCGAAGAGAAGTAATTCCCCATGCTTCACTAGCTTTATTAATGCTTTCAACAATTCCAACATTAAGACCTTCTCGTTCTCGAAAAACCTTATCCAATGAAATTTTTCCTAATTCTGATCTCATGGTGGTTTGGGCTAATTGAATTATGGCAAATTCAGGATCTTCTACTCCATATGAAGCCTTGTATGGATCATTTATCCGCAGATATAAGACACCATCGATATTAAGAGTAACATTATCTATATTAAACAAGTTTTTCATTCTTAGTTATAATTCTGTTATAAATTGTTAAATATGGGAGTGTCCATTACCTGATGTAACTGCACTTTGTTTTGGTACATCAATGGCAATCTCTTTTAAACTTTGAACATATCTGATACGATCGACGATAGGAATGAGTATATTAAATCCAGGTTCTAGTATTTTATAAAATCTTCCCATTCTTTCTACTATCCATGCCTATGGTTTAACGATGGATGTCAAGTTTTCAGTTAATTTTATCTAACATATTTACAAACTAAAGTAGCAAAGTACATATGTACTGTGGTATTAAATTTATTAGTATATAACCATAATTGTCAAACCTCTTGTTGTGGGACAAATAGAATGCACGTGTTAATTGGTGTATCAGACTTTAACCGAACTTGCATAGAATTAAATGGGTATGTACATGTTCCATCCTGCAAATGTTCAGCGCAAGGATACGCACAATTCTGTAACATTAAAGTAATGTAACATCATAGATAAAGTAACAGTCGATTTGAACTTCTTTACTCTTTTTTTAATTTCCTGAGACTTACCCTTGCGCTTAAATTGCGTGTCAATAATCTCGTTCTACTGAGCATATCGTTTCTTTGGGATTAAATACTCAATAAACAACAAATGATCAGTGAACGTTTAATTTGTTGGTTATGCTACACGCCGTTCCGGTTATTCTTGAACGTAGAATTACTTCTGCGCATGCGTCACACACGTGTCGATTTCTTATCTAACCGCGTTCCAATTTGATCAAAATTGCTTTTAGTCATATGTATGTAAGTACGCAATACATGCGTATATACAAATGATCATCTAGGTGTCAGTTTTTGTAGATACATTTCTGTTTCATTTTTCCAGCAGAGATGATATTGGCTGCAAAATAGATTATTTTCTAAACCTACAATTCCTTTATCGCGCCGAAAAATGATGGCAGAAATGTCAACCAATCAGAATTTCAGGAGTTGCTGTAGAGGGAGTGAATGTGCTAGAAAAACCAATCATCTGTTCGCTCTTCGTATAACCTCTGTAAGATGAAACTTTTCCCGCTAAATTTTAGCGTTTGCCGAGAATTAACTGTTGTCAGTAGCTTCAGTAGTCAACCACTGTAGTGAAGAGTGAATTGTTTGATGGTTATAAATTATGGAAGGCTTTGATGATCCAGGAATATACTTTTCCGATAATTTCTCGGAGCGCACTGATCAAGTGAACTTAAAAAGTTCTAAGAAAAAGTTTAAAGAGTTCATACGACAGTTCCACGAGGGAAATTTTAACCATAAATATAGGTATGGTGATAGTTCGTCATACCATAGTCATTTTGTTGTTTCGTATTTGATAATCATTATTAAATGAACATTTTATAGAGATGCGTTAAAACGTAATTATAATCTCGGTCAATACTGGATCGAGGTAAATCTTGAAGATTTGGGTGCATTTGATGAATCTCTTGCTGAGAAGCTGTACAAGCAGCCAACGGAATATTTACCAATTTTTGAAGAAGCCACTAAGGAGGTTGCAGATGAATTAACAGCTCCACGACCGGAAGGTGAAGAGAATGTAGAAGACATTCAAGTACTGTTAACTTCCGATGGACATCCAAGCTCACTTAGAGGCATGAAAGTAATTTTTTGCATATACCTTTATTTTAATCTTGTAATTAGTAATATCCATTAATGGTGTGTTTTATTTTTGATTATTTTAGCCTGACATTGTGTCCAAATTGATTAAAATTCCTGGCATTGTAGTTTCTGCCTCAGGAATCAGATCAAAAGCAACAACAATTGCAATACAATGTCGTTCATGCCGAGTGGTTCAGGCAGGTATCGCAATAAAACCAGGACTTGAAGGATATGCTTTACCCAGAAAATGTAACACGTGTGTATTCAGAAATACATTTTTTCATTTATTTGCTTATGTAAAGGAATTATTAATAATATTGTTATAATACACATAACAGAGAACAAGCAGGACGTCCAAAATGTCCATTAGATCCATTCTTCATCATGCCAGATAAATGCCGCTGTGTTGATTTTCAAGTTTTAAAATTACAAGAACTTCCTGATCATATTCCTCAGGGAGAAATGCCTCGACATCTTCAATTATATTGCGAACGTTACTTATGTGATAGAATTGTACCAGGAAATAGAGTCCTGATTTTAGGAATATTCTCAATTAAGAAAGTTGCTAAAACTGGTGGGCGGTCAGGTGGCAGAGAAAAACCACTTGTTGGCGTTCGTGCACCTTATATTCGGGTTGTGGGTATATCCATTGATGGCCAAAATACTGGCAGTGGTAAGATGTACAATTAATAGATCCTTTATAATTTCTTAATATTTTAGCGAAAGTAAAATAAGATTATGTTATTTAGTATATTTTTTATCTAGGGATGAATCCTCCAGTGACAACAGAGGAAGAAGATATGTTTCGACAATTGGGAGCAGATCCAGACATTTATAATAGAATAGCGAAAAGCATAGCACCTAGTATCTTTGGTGCATTAGATATGAAAAAAGCCTTGGCATGTATGTTGTTTGGAGGTTCAAGAAAGAGAATGCCCGATGGTCTTTGTAGAAGAGGAGATATCAATGTTCTTATGTTAGGTGATCCGGGTACTGCTAAATCACAGTTACTTAAATTTGTTGAAAAAGTTGCACCAATAGCTATTTATACTTCTGGAAAAGGTAGCTCCGCGGCTGGTCTCACTGCATCTGTTACCCGAGACCCTGCATCTGTGAGTGAATTTATTTTTAGTGTATTTTCTATTTTGTTATTGAATAGAGTATATTTAATCTTTTTTAATTATTCTTGCAGAGAAATTTTGTGATGGAGGGTGGAGCTATGGTTTTGGCAGATGGTGGCGTAGTTTGCATAGATGAGTTTGATAAAATGAAAGAAAATGATCGAGTGGCTATACATGAGGCTATGGAGCAACAAACAATTTCTATAGCGAAAGCAGGTATTACAACAACATTGAATACTCGCTGCTCAGTTTTAGCAGCAGCAAATTCCATCTTTGGACGTTGGGACGATATTAAAGGAGAAGAAAATATAGATTTTATGCCCACAATTCTATCACGATTTGACATGATATTTATTGTGAAAGATGTACATGAGCAGAACAGAGATGTAGCATTAGCTAAACATGTTATGAACATTCATGCTAGTGCAGGACAAGTTATGGAACAGACGGCAGAGGGTGAACTGCCACTGAATGTTGTTAAAAAATATATTCACTACTGTAGAACGTGGGTTAACTTTTTATTAACTGTTATTTTGTATTTTAGTTAATTATTAATTATATGCATTCGGCTTATACTAATCTTCTAGGCGATGTGGTCCAAGGCTAAATAAGGAAGCGGGTGAAAAATTACAAAATCGTTATGTGATTATGCGAAGTGGAACTCGAGAACACGAAAAAGATTCTGAAAAAAGACTAGCAATACCAATCACTGTCCGTCAACTGGAAGCCATTATTCGAATATCTGAATCCTTAGCTAAAATGAGACTCCAACCATTTGCAACTGAAAGTCATGTCGACGAAGCTCTTAGACTATTTCAAGTTTCTACTCTAGATGCGGCAATGTCTGGTTCATTGTCTGGTAAGGCTTCGTATATACGTGTAAACATTTTCTTTATAATGTAATAATCCTTATATATTAATTGTAAAAGGAGCCGAAGGTTTTACTACCGAAGAAGATCATGAGATGTTGACCCAAATTGAAAAGCAGATCAAACGGCGTTTTGCAGTCGGAACTCAAGTTTCGGAGCAGAACATTGTTAATGATTTTACAAAACAAAAATATCCGGAACGTGCGGTTTATAAAGTAATACATACGATGATTCGACGTGGTGAACTGCAACATCGCATGCAACGTAAAATGTTATACAGACTCTCGTGAAAGGTACAGATAAATTTATCTGATAAGTATGTGCTTATTTAACATGTGCTCTTCCATTTATGCGTGTGTAACAACTAACATCTTTGTAAAATAGTTCGAATTCTATGTAAGGTATATGGGAAATTTTTCGAAGCTAGTTTCGTGCCAACTCGTTCTTAAACGGATAGTAAGGATGGTTTTCAACCCTAAAAGTAAAGTGTCCACATTAGAATTATGAAGAACTTATTAAACAAATTGATTTCACTGTAACATACCCTTTGAAGTACAAAAAGTTGAAGATTCGTCCTTCCACCCCTCTGTCTAAGGAGTCCAAAAGTTTTAGCTCATCTTGTGTCAATTCAAAGTCAAATATATCAATGTTTGATTTAATTCTTGCGGGTGAGGTACTTTTTGGAATTACAATAATGCCTTCTTGAACTAAGTGCCTTAATAGGATTTGTGCCGTCGTTTTATTATACTTCGTAGCAAGTTCCTGAATTGTTGGGTGGCCTAAAAGATCTGAACAGCTTTCAGTAGTATAATTATATTTTGTTTGAAAATGCTTTTTTGCTCCTGGAGATCCCAAAGAACTGTATGCTGTTATTGCAATATTGTGTGAACGGCAAAAGTTACGCAAGTTTGTTTGCTGGTTATATGCATGCAATTCAACCTGTAGATGAAAGCATCAATTCATTGATATTTTTGTTCTCTTGTGTAGTTAGTTCATTTCGGTATCTTTAAAATTTAATATATTTACCTGCAAATTACTTGGTTTAATCTGCGAGTTATTTAATACTTTTTCAATTTGTTCTTCATTGAAATTGCTTAAACCAATTGACTTGGCACGTCCACTTATCACCTGCTTTTCCATTTCCTGCAATATTTTATAAGATTTTATAAAAATAAGGTATAAGATTCAAAATTGATTCATACTTTTAATTTGTTTATTAGACCTGCCAAACCAAAACAGGATCGCTATTAAGATCCAATACGTATGTGCCATCGTCATTGATCGCTGGTGCATATACATTTTCATTTTGGACAAATGCAATAGGCATATGAATTAAGTACATGTCAAGATAATCTAATTCAAGTCTGCTGAGTGAGAGGTTAAGGAATTTTTCTACGTCCTGTGGTCTATTTCCGAAACTAGGTAACTGAAAAGAGTATTGTTGTATCATTTTTTATACAAGTACAAGCGATGAAGTTCTTCATTGTTGGCAAAAACATATATATTACATTATTTTTGTTTATTTATTTTTACCTTTGATGTGATAAAGAGCTCTTCACGTTTACCTCCCTTTTCAAACCATTTTTTCAGACTTTGCCCTATAGCTTCTTCATTATTATAATTAAATGCTGTATCTATGTGTCTATATCCACAGTCTAAAGCAGTTGATACTGCACTTTCAATCTCCTCTGGCTTGGCCTAAAAAGGAAAGAAGTTCTTAGCGTTTGCAGCTTAACGGATAAAATAATTTAGCTATTAAATAATTTCATTAAAACAGTATTTAAAAGAATTTGAATTCAAGATTAACTAATTTTTTATAATAAAGAACATCAAATAATATGTTTCGTCATCATAATTTATTTAAAATTGTTACCTGCCAAGTACCCAGACCAACAATGGGCATGTCATAGCCCGATGACAGATGAACAGTCTGCATGGCAATTCCTCTTTTACAAATCGCTAGTGCAGTCAAGCAGACACTGAAGTCGATAAATGCTCTAAACATATTACACAACCTTGTTATATTTAGATAGGTTTCTAACCTTGAAGCACTAAATTTCAAATTATTCTTAAATGTGGATAGGTAATGGCAGATATGTATAAATTTTGTATACATAGTTTCAGAGAGAACACGGCTGTAAAAAGTACTATTACATAAACGTCAGTTCGAAAGTCTTCCAATAATGTGGAAACATGACAGTGAGAAACTAACATGGAAAGAGAGAGGCAATATCTTATTTTAACAGAGGCAGTTACATTTGTATGAAAACAAAGCGGTATTTAGTCTTAAAACTTATCATTCTACATGTTGAAGATTAGTTCCTTACACCTGGAAATGGTAGAAGATAATTTCGGATACATACAGAAATATTGATCAAAAGTGTCTCCAATGGTGTGCTTTTATTTGTTTAACAAAACGTATGCTATTCGTGACAATTGAACGTATTAACTCCTCGATTGGATAGAACGCTCAAAAACAAAATACGGCAAGAAAGACTAGGAAAGTCACAGCGGAGTCAATGGGACTTAAATAATCTCGCAGTTTCGCAAATAGCCGGCGACGTGAATTTATTGACGAACTGAAGCTACATGCGCGTATAGTTCACACGGAATATAATTTTAAAACGTTAGTTGCAGTGGCGCCTCACAGAGGGCTACGCCGTCCAACCGCATCTATAACTGAAATTCTCAATTTTTTTGACCTGAGAAAGAACCTGACACGCAATTACTTGATTTTTATCGTACTTAAGAGGAATATTCTATTGGTTTCATGTACTAACAAACAGTATTCGCATAATTGTTATTTCGTTTGGGTTCTATGTTTTTTTGACAATTAAAAAGATAGTTATTCAAAAGCTCCACAGAGGGCTACACGATCGCCCGTTTCGCAACATTTCGTGTCCGCTTTAGATCGCTCGTTGCCATAACCTATACTTAAAAGTTAATCTTTTTTTTATTTATAATTAACATTTTCTGCAACATTTTTGGAAGTTATACACAAGCAACATTCAACGTCAATGTAAATGGGTATAAAGTATTGCTTTAACACTTACCGGTGACGCAACATGATTAAAATGTGGTAAATTTGATTCTATACAGACTGGTTAATCGGATCAACCGCTCAGAGTTCGTAGATACGAAGTGTATAAAGTTGAGAGCAAAGAGTCTTTGGTTGAGTGTAGTAGAGCTTTGATATCACTAGTGGTCAACAGAGCTGAACAGATCAGTGTCGGGCAGTGACCTACCCACACAGCTATTCGAACGTCGTACCCGTTTGAAAGAAGAAGCAGGGATGGATTTTATAAGGCGTAATAGATTCTTGATTGTAATGGTACCTTACCTCGGATTTATTCACTGGGCTTGGTACAAGATGCAAGGAAATGAAAAATTTGTGTCCAAGGCTGACAAAGAGAGAGTTGCTTCCACTCCAGTGTATAAAGTTTTGGACAAAGTCTTTGGTAAATGGTCATGATATTGTATGTGGTAGAAAGTGATCAAAGCAATGAAATGAATGTTTTTGTAAGTTAGTTAATTGTCAATTTATTTGGATTGTGGAGTTAATACATTACATTGTGAATGTATTGAATTTTGCTGAACTATATAAAAATAAAGTTCAATGTGGTTGGTCTGATTGCATATACTTTTAATGAGATTTTATTTCCTTTAGAAATTAATATTTACATAGTCGACAGAGATATTACTTTTTAAGGCAGTTATAAAATGATTAAAGGACATTTTTTGTGAAAAGTTTATTTAATTATATAGGAACAGAAAATCTTTAGAAATCATTTAATTTCTAATAATATGAAAGAAATGTGCAAGCCTATAAAAGCATTGATTGTATACATGCACACAAATATGTGTAAGAAAAACAATTATAAATCATTGTAAGTTTAAAAAGCTGTAAAGAAATATATATTACAATAATAAAGAGGATTAGTTGCAGCCTCGTATGGTCGGTAGATGGTCAAAATCTTGCTGTTGTAGCGTTGAACTTTTAGGTTGATGTTCGTTTGAATTATGACTTTGAAAGTTTCCACCAGGCTTATGAAGTTGTGGCAATACCATTTGACTGATGTTTTGATTCTAAAGTATAAAAAGGGCTGATATAACTGAATTGTTAATTATTGAATTTCAATAATTTTGACTTACCCTAGATCTATCACGATATTTTCTGAGTTTTTCAAATTCCTCGTATTCCACCTCTGGCATTTTGAAATGAAAGTTCTCAAAGTAATCATGTTGCAAGAGTTGATCACACGTCCACCGTTCTTGAGGATCTTTGTCCAAGCATTTTTGTAGAAAATCAAGCTGTGTGAAAAATATAAGCTATGAATTAAAAAGATATAAACTCAGTCATTATTATGTACATACTTGTAGAGGAGTGTTAGTTCTATTAGGCAGCGCAGTTTCGAGAGGGGTGAGCGTTTGTGGGGTGGGCAGCGTTACACCCGCAAAGAATTCATTTTGTTGGAAGATAGCCATATGTCTAGGTAAAAGATCCCCTAATGTTCTTCTTATAAGATATAACTGATCGACATCAGATTTTCCAGGCCAGAGAGCTTCACCACGTATCAACTCAGCAAAGACGCAACCGATTGCCCAAACGTCAACCGGTGTTCCGTACTGGGTATCTCCAACCTACTCATAGAACACCATGCACTTTTGAATATAGAATATCTTGTTGACTTAATATCATTTTAAAGGAATTTAATACAATTAGTACCAACCAGTAATTCCGGAGCCCTATACCATCTTGTTGCAACATACTCCGTATAATTTTCACCTGGACTGAGCATTCTGGCAAACCCAAAGTCGCAGAGTTTCACTACACCATCAGCGGTGATAAGAATGTTCTCTGGTTTCACATCCCTGTGAACGCATCCAAGTCGATGACAGTAGGATACCCCTTGGAGGATCTGCCATGTAAGTTGTCTTATTGTTAGTTCTGGACATCCCTTTGGATACTTCTCCATCTCATTGAGCAACGTGTGTTCGCAATATTCAAAGACTAGATGTAGCTTCCTTTTCCGCCTGAACACCTCCAGTAGATTGACCAAATTTGGATGTTTGAGGTTCTATTATAATCATAGCACGTAAGAATACATATTTTAAAATATACTTAATATAACACTGTGCAGAAAAAAATAATGTGACTGCACACTTTTCCCCACATGACATAGTATAAGGTGATTGAGTTCTGGCGTTCGATAATCTATGAGAGCAATTGCGGCAAAGAGCTCTTTCCTGAGGACCTACATAATTTTTAAGGGTGAATTAAAATTCCTTATAAAGTAAGTGTCCTCATTAATATGTACACTCTGTACACTATATTGGATTTCATTAACTGTTAATAAGGTTTCTAGTAAAGCTCGAGGACTATATTTATTATTGCAGGGTCGTGCGTGTCTTTGTCCACTCATTTTTCGTTTGGGTGGTGCATCTTGTCATCAAGCGCTGCAGCGGAACGTAAGGAGTTATTAATAGTGACCATAACTTGGTATTCATGAAGGAAAATCCTTGGAGCGAATGTCAGAGAGGAAAGTGGGAGCAATTTTACACGACATGCATACGTTGGCTGTGATAGTAGTTCTTGATTAGCCGGATAAGGCAAGACGACCGTAAGGTAGAACACGCAAAGATATTGACCGCTACGGTATTGACCAGTGGCTACCCTTTGGTCTTTCGCTGTGGATGAACCACGTTCGCGAGAATTTAATGCCATCCTCGTTCATATACGCTGCCTTGCACGCGATCCTGTCCAGTCTAAACAAAAAACTTTTCTCGATGAAATATGTTCTCCAAAGATCTCTTTGGCGATACGGATCTACTAAGGAGTGAAATTTCGAACGAAAGTTCATAACGTAAGAGTGAAGCCAAGAGTTCCTTGACCTTTTGAATATGGCTGCTCAAGACTACCAGCCACGGCTAGATAAAATATACTAAAATCGATATTTATACTTATAACCGTAGAACCCATTTATTATTTTATTAAATTAATTTCGCAAAGAAAAATACAATAACTCTGATTGCGGATGTAATAATAACATGTCTACATATTTTAGGACTACCATTTGCTGAGCGAGGATGGCAAGAGAAGATCTTAGTAATTAAAAATAGCTTCTAGGATCGCTCTAAAAATGCGCAAGATTATCATATCATTTGTCTAATAGTACTGATGCGGGTATCAGTTTCAGCAGTTTCCAATGAACATTTCAATTAATTTCTTTCTTCTTTTTTTTTTCTTTTTTCATGAACCGTGTTCATCGAATTTTGTAAATGTCGACAATTCTGGGAACGGTTTTACAGGATATCGGTTTTTAATCAGAGTCGAAGGAGCGCATTTGGAGTTCCTCACCTTGAGAAGTCGTATCTCTCTGAGGGCAATCTTTCGTATGAGAGGATCATCTTCCGTTTGTTGGAACTTCTTTACAGCAACCAATCTGCCAGTTTGTCGATCTCTGCATTGGAAGACAACTCCATAACTACCCTCTCCGAGACGTGCCAACCTTTCGTACCTCTCCATAGTCTTGCTTGGCGCACGTGACCTGTACACAAAATGACGATTTTCCTGACATTAACAGATATCTAATTAAAGTATAAGGATACCGGGATTTAATATATAAATTTTTAGAGACATTTCATCCCTTCAAATGCAGCCTTTGTGGAATAAATGACGCCTAGTAGTAATTAATTCCATCACGTTATCCGTAATGCCAGTAAACACCGCGGATGTTAATAATGATCTCAGAGCTATAACTTTTGGTTAATAACGATATCCTCCTTTCTTACACTTTAGTGTTAGGATTGCTCCTCGTTAAAAGTAATTTCTACGCGGTTCTTCAGTTACAGTCGCCTGGGTAATATTGAAAATTTCGGCAGATATTAATGATTCTACCGCTTTGTTATTTACTTTCCTTTTCTTAATGGATATTTGCCGCACTTTATGACATTCTTTTCCACCGATCTAAGTTGCGTGATACGTTTCTTTTAAATTTCTTTTTTATTTAAACCATCTGAGAATCTGTTGAATTAAATGACGAGGTTGAACGTTGAACACACTTTTTATATTTTGCAAGGCATGGCAACGTGAATTGTTGAGCAAATGGCATACTGCTACGTTGAAGGCAACGGAATGAACTGTCTTAGTCCTCGGCATTGACCAAGGGTCAAGCTCCCTTGCAGGTTTACTCTTCACGGTACATCTTGGTCGCATGCGCAATGCTTTTGAGTGTAAATTGGTCTGCATCGACTAACCACTTGATATTTCAGCATTTAATTGCCTCCCAGTAACCTCCGGTACTAACGTGTAATAATGAGGCAAATTGCGTTAAAATTTTACAATAAAAATATAAAAGACAAGTCTTATTAGACTACAACGAAAAACAAAATTCATTGGACCTAAGAAATATATTTCTTTGAATAGTATCGAAGAAACGTTACATCCCATTTATTCGTCTATATTTCAGTAAAATAATTACTCTTTGAATTAAGAAAACATTTCTTTGGTATTATTCAAAAAGATATTTCCCTGGTTTAATGAAAATTTTTTTCTCAGTGTAGCGATAAATATGATCTTTATTTCTTTTATTTATTATTATTTGGACATCGGGAAATGATTATTCCTCTATCCGTTAATATATCGCAGTACAAGTATATAAATTAATTTTGACTTCAGAGCAGAGAAAATTTATTCTGTAACGATTAATTAATTATTGAGCTGTTTTACTAGTCGGGGAAATACGTTGCTCCCGTTTGGTGGAGTACCAGTGCAACAGGTGATTAGTTATCAGTTGATAAGAACAAAATTAAAACTAAATGCACCCCTTGAACTGTATCGAAAGAATCGATCCCTCGCCCATCAGGATCACTCAGAAGTGAGGAATGTGTCATCGAATGACAGCTACGATAGGTGATTGCAGTATTAATTTTTTAATTTACGAGTGTGAATTAATTTAAAGCGCAGCTGTCAAAACCACGTGTCTCGGTTTACTTTACACGTATCGCATATCGCGTAAAGTTGGGAGAACAATGTTGCAAGTGTTCTTGTCTCAGCTAGGGCTCACCATAGTGGGATTCGTTGCTTGTAATTAGCGAGTCGTAGGTCGTTAATCATTTTGTTATCATTTGATCATTATCTCGTGGAAATGGCATAAAGCACGTATCTTTTTGCGGTGAAAAACGCTGCTCTTCCGGATTTATATAATTAGGTTAAGACGAAACCACCTGTCGATGAGGCATGACTCACTGAACAATGAAAATTCACGTGACATGCATGTAACTATTTTACTGATTCTGTCTCGTCATTGGTCTAGGTCGTGAAAAATCCTTTTTACTTACAATCCTTATTTTCGCTCACGACGCATATTTTTTGAGTCCACGAGAGAAGTTTAGAATCGATAAAAGCGTCTATATTTAAAAAGTACGCAGACTAACAGCAGCAAAGTGAATTGATCAATTAGAACTCTATAATTAACTTAAACTGTAAAGTATATACGATGTGAAGTTATTATTTTCAATGTTGTGCAATTATTTATTGAATACGAAGTGCATTTTTTACGCTTTTAAGAGATGATATGAATCGGTAGCTTCGCTAGTATTAAACTACTGTTTGATATATAATGATAGTATGATAACAAAATAAGCGTTTATAAGTAAGTTAAAAACCTGATAGGACCGGTTATACAAAAATGGTACCATTAGTTTAACAATGGCGCAATAAAAATATTACGGCCGTGTCATTGGTTTGAGTCCTAAGAAATATTTTTTTAAATTATTTTGATTAAAGACGCAGTTTTAAGTAAAACACGGTACGTTCACTTCGAGGTTTTGTTAGGTGGTCGAAATTGGTAACATTATATATATTAAAATAATACCAGAATATAACAGCAATAGTGGGATAAAAAAATGACAACCTTATTGTTGGCCTCGGTATTGAGAATCGCCTTTTACTCGATGTCAACCCGTTATTTCCACCGATGGTACAATTTTGTAATAACACGTTTCTGAGAGATGTTAATAATTGATGGTACACTTTGTGGTGAAATAATTTCTGGAGTTTATCAGTAGTGTATAAAGAACATTTAAGTGCTGACGATAGTGACGGGAAAGTTTATCCTCGATTTTAACTTTGATGCAGGGCAAATGATAATTATTTTCTTAAACGGTGAATAGAAATTGTGAGGGAAAATTATACGTACAAGAACCCAAGAATAGCGTTCATTTTGACGTAGAAACACCCTCGCGGGTCCGCGTTCTGACCAGTACTACTTTCGCGAAGTGTTTTACGCTCTGATCTTGATGGAATTCCTTGATTATTGACAATCAATATTTTGCCGCGCCAAAGCGCACGCATTGTATTTATTTTACCCCAGGAGGTATATTTCCTTTTCAATTTCTTAGCGAACACGTTGAGGTGAAAGTTGAGACGGGATGGCATTTACTCATTTACAATTCGGAAGTACATTTCGGCATTAAAGCTTGAATAGTATTAAAATTAGACCTCGGCTTGTCGGAAGTTGGTGGACTTTTGTCTGGAAACATTGTCGTTGCGATCGATAAAGTAAGCGTAAAACATTAATACCCCAATCTTATAACATACGACCTCGACTTTCGGGTGAAAGTCGTTTCATTAACAATAAGTCTCCACGAGTAAAACCATTTCTACTCAATATTTGAAAAGATTAAATCTTTCCACGCGTCTACACATTAAACATCCTGACATTTAAAGCCACATTCCAGATCCATTGCAACCAGTGGATTAATTATACCTGTTGCACTATCTATTTACACCTACACTGAATTTCCTTGCATAAAAACAAAATTTTTTAACTTTGATATCCTTAATACCAAATCTTTCTCTACTCCTCAACTTATTTATTTTAATACTCTGCACAGATTCTAAAATATCATGTTTTTTTATTCATATTATTTCTTTCAACCCTTTCTCCCGTTCAATTTCTTCATTCTTACAATGTCACAACTTACCCGGAAGATAAGTGAAAAATCAAAGAAAAATGAAAGAAGTTGCTTAATTTCCCGAAATAAAAAGAGATTAAAAAGTACAAGGAATTCATATAAGTAGTCATTGTGTCATCAGAGACAAATGTTAGATTTTTCAGGCACGTCTTACCTTCTTGGCAGCAAGGGTAGCGTGCTGCCAAAAAGCCAGAGCTTTCTATCCTGAAGCCATTTGTCCATACGAGAGCCTTCTCGCTGCAATCTGTCAAAAGTTACGTCTCTACATGCCGTTCACTTTAATTCGGGCGCTTATCTGGACGCGGCAATGCTCGCAATTAAACGGACATTATTGACAGGAAGGATATTGCCGAGGCACTGACGAGGGTCAAGACGTACTCGTTGCTCTCGCTCGTGGATTCGTGACTGAGGACACGTCATTGTTAGCCGCCGCAAACGTCACAAAAGATCGATAGGTCTGGAGTAATGATCAACCTCTTGTACCGGCCACAATACCGCGAAGACACTTACTTGCATTTCGCTAGTCCTTCGGGGAAATCCGCAAAAGGAAACGCTAATGAAGAATCGCCGATTCTCGTACCGCTGGGAAAGCTGTAAAAGCGCGAAACCAGCTGGTAATGTCGGCTGATCGATTGAATGCCCGGTGACGATAGGATGTGACTTCGTGATTCGACTATGGACGCATTGTACTGCTTATTGATTTATCGATTGTTTCTTTATTACGGAGTTACATCGGCGAACCCTCCATTGCACGTGCATTTGCGACGCTTCTTTTTACACTGCAAGGCTTTCGGTGGCGGTCGCAATGACGCGTGCTCGGATTCGGTTCAAGGTTACTAAGCGACGGGGATGTACATACACGTATATATCACAATTACTTAGCTAACTAGTGGTTCCTCGGCAATTGTCGAGTCTTACATTGCTGCAAGGGCATCGACTCCGTTCACGCGTTTCGTTATTCCTTCTGCCGCTTTTAAGGTAACGCAGTCGTGGGTTACAGCGAATGGCGAACGACTTACAAAGGCGCACTTTGGTTTTTCTCTTTTTTTTTTTTATCGAATTTCTTTAATCGGCAGTTTTAGTTCCTCAGGGAGCAGAGCGATCCGTTGTGCGGAAACAAGATATATCCTAACTTTTTATACGACTTTTTACTTCCTTTCTTGAAGACACATTTGGTATCGTGTTTTTAATTTCGGGTTTGATTACGTGATACAAAACCACAGGTGAAACTATCCTTAAAAGGATAGTTTCTAGACACTCTTTGCGTTTCTTTGTGCGTCGAAAGTGGATTTGGGCTTGTCGGAATCTTGAGCTTCGCCTCGAACTGTGAATGTCACGAAATATCGCTTGGTCCGGTCCAGCCTCTCGGCAGGAAGTGCGATCACCTGTTTTTCTTCACCGTGTGTTACCTCGACCTGAATAAAAAGGGAAAGGTGACACTTTTAGTACGCTTATAATATTTATAGATCTTATTACACGTGGCCAAAAGTTCTGGTTAAGGGGATGTGAAAGTGGCATCCGAAAGGTCAATCGTTCATGAAACTTTTTTACCGACTGGTTGTACCAAATCGTTTCAAACTTTATAACGGGAATATGAAAGTTCTAATTTAGGTCCTGAAACTCATCAAATTTCATTTTTAAAACAAAAATTCAGAAACAAACGAATTTTTTTTTATTTAAATTTCATGGGTGTCAGGACCTTCTTCATAGTTCCCATATCCATATTGGAAAGTTTGATACGATTAGGTACACGCATTTCGAAGATAAGATTCATAAACGAGACCTCTTTGACGTCACTCTCACGTCCCCTTAAAGCTACAGTAATTGTAATGATCCTTTAATTTAATTTTCAACAGAAAACTCTACCAATGTGGTTTAATTCTACATGCGGGATACGATACTTTTCTTTTCGCACATTAGAAATATATTTTACTTAGCGAATAAGTATGAAGATCTCACAAAATTTCAAGTCAAACTAAATATCTTCTATTTTACTACCGTCATTTGCCCCCGACCCCGACTCTCTATCTTCGGAAGACGACCTGCTCGTTCTGGGGCGCCTCCACCAACTGCAATTATAATCTATTATCAAACTACATAATCCGATTCCCTGCGTGTATTGTTGAAGAATAAAATAAAAAAAAAAAGTTCGAGCGCAATTCCCATCGGACACGTCGTGAAGTCGCGACATGGAAACACAGAGACCCTTCCCAAATTAAAATGGTTGGTCTGAGATAAATCGTCATCCACATTTAATCGATGTCGATTTCAGGTTTTAGAACAATCGATCAATTTAAAGAAAAAGATTACATTTTTGAGAGGCATGAAAAGATCAAATTTTAGCATTTAGTAAAATGCTTTATCTTAATGAATTTATCGACCAAAAATAATTGATACTTAAGCTGCCCATCAAAACGTATGACCATAAGATTTCTCCAAATATCAATATTTATTACATCGTATATTTAGATAATCCCAACAATCATCATTTAGATACGATTTGTTTTCCAAGAAATCAGGTCTCAATGGAATTGCCTGATTGAGATCATCAGAAATATTATATATTGTACGTATATTTTAATGAACTTTATGTAGACTTTAGTATAGATATCCAGGGAAAAAATGTACTCAGATTGACACGAAAAGATTCTGACAACCTACGGTAGGTATAGACTGGTACTGCCGTATAAGCACTGGTAGCATGATGGCACCGATGAGTCTTTTGAGTGCATTGTTTGGCCTCGGTGCACCAGTCAGGGGTCGCTGGTCGTCGCTGAAGACGTCTTAATTGTTCATATAAAAAGGTTTCGAAGTGTCTGCGAGGAAGGAGATTCAATTTATGAGATTTTTAATTTAAACTCAAGCCGGAGAAACAAAAAGCGTACCGGAAGGTGTACGGTTGGTCGTACTTGGTGACACCCAACATGGGACCGGCTGTACCGGCTTTATGGAAAACGTCTACCTAGGAAAAGGAAAAAAAAGAAGTACAACATGAAGACCGACTGTTTCTGGTGTACATTAAAAAGAGACTTGCCTGTCTTTTCACCAGAACTTGTTCATTGGCCCTGCCGTGGCGAATTTGCAGTCTCTTCAGCTCCATCAGCTGAAAGAAGATCTTCCTTTCTAGATGATAGCGTCTTAGACTAACTTGCACGTCCCTAGTGACATTATCCATGTTCAGAGCTTGCTGTCTTTCCGTGATAGGGCAACATTTAGGAGTTCTCCTTGGTATCCTGGAGATTCTTGGACTTGGCTCGATTCCGCTATCTCTGCCACCACTGTCTCTTCGTTGTTTTCCTCTTATTCTATGGCGATCGTTACGAGGACTTTGGGCACCAAGCAGTCTAGCCCGTGGTCTTGCATGTACCTGTAACCCAACAGAGTAATGGAAATTACACAGCTAATATCATAATTAAATCACAAGAGTAAATTGTACCTAATAGGTTTAGATAGAATTCTGTACGTGGATATTACCAAATAGAAATAGTTTTTAATATTTCACCTGAGGGAGAGATTCTATTCCGGAAGTCCTGGAGAATTCGACTCCTGTGCGAGGTGTTTCCTCTTCACTAGTGCTTGGCAATACTCTTATTATTCCCATTTCATTATCTTCGGGTTCTGAATCACGTTCGACGTCTTCGTCGATGACTTTCTGTATTTCCTTGCTAACTTCGTCATCGTCGTCCTCCCATTCCGGGCTATCAATGACCGCCACGATAGCTTTTCGATCCGGGGAACGATCAATTTTGTGAGCCTTTAAAGACGATTTTCCGGCAGTTTTGTGTTTTCCAGTAGTTGGTCTCGCACGTCCACTCGGTTTTGCAGATTTCGGCGAGCTTGGGATACTTTCGTCTATATATGGAAAGTTTTCGGTGCCTGGTATTGATTTACTTTCTTCTGGAATTTCTTTACCATTTTTTCTAGTGTCGGATTCAGTTTTCAGGGCGGATTTTTTAATTTCTTTAAGATCTTCGGTTTTTTCCATTTTACTGCCAATTTTGCCTCCCTCAGGTTCTTTAGATTCAATTTCAATCTTCGCTCCGGATGCTTTCGATGTTCTGGCGGAAGCAACGGATTCCTCTTTATCTTTTGATTTGCCTATACTTTTTGATTCATCTTTCGTATCTTCGTCAAGAATTTTCGGGGATGAGTTGTCAGGAGACGTCCCTAAGATCTCTTTTGTACGTAATTCTGATTTTTCCTTTTCGTCTTCGAAAGAAATCGTTCTGACCTTTACACTCTTTGCTTCTTCTTTTACTTCTTCTTCAGGATCCGATGGTACAACGTCTTCTACTGCAGTTCGTGGAGTATCAACCCCTTCTCTCTGTATCTCTTGTTTATGTTCTTTTGATGGCTGTTCAGCTTCAGTCGACTCTGAGTGAGGTGTTTCACTTTTCTGCCCTTCATCTTCCTTCGATGTTTTTATACTGTCTTTGTCTGTCGCTTCTTTCAATGAATCTTGTTCGGTTTTCTCGCTGGAACGCTCGTCTGTTCTACTGTGTAATCTTGAATATCCCATTTGCGAATCCTCGGAAGTACTTTCCGACTCGGATTCTTCAAGACTGTCAATTTCTCTACTTTTGGTCCGGTCATCTTCCTTGTCAACCTTTTCTTCCTCCCCGGAGCCGTCACTCGTGCGATTACGTTTACCGTCAAATTCTTTCTTAAGATCTGCCGCCTTCGTTATCAAAGCTTTATGCATCTCGTCGGCCTTTTCAAGGATTTCATCAATCTTATTGGAAGTCGTAGGTGTTCGCATTTTTTCCGATAACGATGTTCTTCCTGACGTTGGTGTCGTTCCTTCTTGTCTAGTCGGCGTTTCAGTTTTATGTGTTACTTCTTCGTGGGCTTGCGTCTGATTTTCTTCCACGGACCTCTTAGCTGTCAAAGATGGACTGTCAGGAGCCTGGTCTCTGTGAACCATGGCAGTCACCGTCACTCTTTCCACAGTCTCTTGACTGGTACTATCCGTGACGTCCTTTTGGTACCGAAACCTGTCTTTCATACTTGTCGCATCTCGAATTTTGGAGTTAAGACCACTCGATTTCTTCCCCAGATCTGGCGCTTCAGTCTTGAGATCATCATCCGATCCTTCGATCGATCCTTTTCTTTTCGTCGATTTTCCTCGTCGACAACTTTTCCTTGCTTCTTTCAAGCTTCCCCTCGGTGTTTTCGATTTCGTCCCTGCAACCATTTTTTCAGTCTTCTCAGAGGATTTTTTAACGACGACAACCTCGAGGCTGTCATCGCTTAAACTGTCAATCGCATCCTCGTCTTTTCCATCAACGTCCTTTTTCATATCACTACTCGATACTTTTCCATCTTTTTCGCTTCCTCTTTTCTCTCGATTTTGGTCTCTCTGATCATCCGAAGGACTCGAAAATTCACTGTATTCGTGCTTCCTTTTCGTAGACCTCTTTTTACTTTTCCTTCGTCTAGGTTTTTCTTCGCTGTCGTCGCCGCTTTCGTACCGCGCGGATTCGCTCCGAGTTCTTCTTTCGTGGTTCCTTTTTGAGGTTTTTGACAGTCTTATTTCTTCTTCGCTAAAACTTTTACTATCTCTTCTAGCTACTTTTCTGGTACTTCCTCTCTTTCTGATCCTTCTTTCAATCCATCTCTCCTCGTAGTAGAGCTCGGGTTCAGCTAGACCTCGACGATGTTGCTTAGGACTACCTTCGCTCTCGGAGCTGCTCTCAACTCTCTTCATGTGCAATTTCGCCGCAAAAACTGCAACATAAAATACAACCTGGTGATACCCAGAAAACCTGGAAGTGCACAATCCTGACTTAGATCAACAACCTTTACTAGGCGCCGTTTTCTGTGTTCGTAGGTGCTGAGCAGTGCTACCACCATGCATTTGTATCAATTTAGCACAGTCCCGATGCCCTCTGAACAGAGCGGCATCCAAAGCCGTCATAAAGACTCCTTTGCTAGTCCTTAAGACTGCGTTGATCCTGGCACCGTGATCTAGCAGCACTTTACACATGTCCAAATAACCATGAAGAGCAGCTACGTGAAGAGGGGTCCTGCCGTCATGAGTCGCTACGTCCAGGATACCAGGACGCTTTTTGGCCAACCATTTAACTAACTCTATTCTCCCTGATGCCACAGCCTCATGGGCAACTCCTGTACCACGCACTGTTCTTGCGTGTAAAGATCCCCCATGTTGGGCAAGGATTTTCAGGGTCTCCAATTGTCCTTTCGCGGCTGCACATAGCGCTGGTCTGAAAAAGAGAACGTACTGTAATTTACACTATTAATTCACTGAAAAGTAACGTTCCCACCACTGCACAACTATTTTTCTTTTAGTAATTCTGAGAAGAAACGTCTTGCTACATCCAGCATTTTTTGAAGTATTAGAAACAGCAATAGAAATTCAGGGAATATTGGAATCAGCGACAGAAATCTGCAATGATTTTAAACTGTTTAAAATTTTAGATGATACAGGCAAAACGAAGAATTTTGCCCGAAGCATGCTCATGACGAGCATCTGAAGAGGTGGAATTTTCAAGGACGCACGGACTTACGTTCTACCCTTTCGATCCTGCCGATTAGGGTCAGCGCCTAATTTCAAAAGCAAGGCCGTTGCATCTGCATGGCCCAAAGTGGCAGCATAGTGCAGCGCCGAGCATCCGTTGTCATCTACGTGATCAGGTTGAGATCCGCAGAAGTTAACTAGAGCTTCGATGCATCTTGCATGGCCCCTGGAAGCTGCACAATGCAGAGCCGTCAAGCCATCTTTGTCGGAAGCACCAACAGCGGCTGCACCTCCAGCCCTGAATTACCATTAAGAATGATTATGAACCATTATTATTAAGTATACTATGCGAAGAAATGACTATTAATTGCTAATTACCTGGCCAGAGCGAGCACAGCCTCCGCGCTACCGGCACTGGCTGCCCAAAGGATAGGTTGACGACCATCCTCGTCTTTCGCATTCACATCCGCTCCAAACTCCAGCAGAGTCTGCAAAACCTTTAAACCGACTTTTCGTGGAACTGACAATTCGGCAGTTGCAGCTGCTCCGCAACACTGGGCTGCATAGTGAAGTGGTGAACCGCCTCGTAAATCAGGAGTTGATGGACGAGCTCCCGATGCTAGGATCAATCGGACGCACTCGGCTTCCCCGCAAACTGAAATCAAAGGGCACTGATATACCTAATCTTATGAAGTCATTGTACTTAATTTAAGGGCATTGAAGTTTGAGATGTAAATATAATAAGTGCATTTTATATTTAACACTTCCATTTTCAGAAAGGAGCTGATACTCCTACCTAACGGAGTCCGAATCGGATCAGGATTGATCTTGGAGCAGGTGAAGTTTACACGGTGACCCATTAAAATTCTAGGGCAAGAAGTTGTTGGATAAGTTTCTAGAACGCACGCGTCTCCCCTAGCCAGAGAGGAATTTATTTACAGTTTTATCAGGGAAAGAGACACGATATTTCTAGGTAGCCTTCCGGAAGGGGGTGTTATCTCTGAAAATCCAAAGTGTGCTTGGGGGAAGTCAGGCCATCGTGACCAAGACGGCCGGATCGGCTTTCAACGTTGAGCTAGGTAAACGACTCTGGAGTACGCAGGAACGAAGGATCGTAATTTCGAGGCTCATTTGAATAAAGCTGGAGCCGCGCAAAGGCCCTCAATCTCTGGTAGGAATCTGTCGACTACGCGGAATGGCGTGCCAGGGACTCCCTGACCGGAATTACGTCACTCGGCGTGACCCAGTGACCTTACTTGACCATTGGCCAAGCAGGGCTTGCCGAGGAGATCCTCGAACTCGATACCAGTTCGCCGGCCATTTTCCCCATTAGATCCTCGTAACGCGTTGCCAGCCACATTTTTCCCGTTCGTTAAGACCTTGCTTCACGGAGCTGAGCTTCCTGCTCCTCGGAACGGACTTTTGCGATCTTCCGCTTTGTTAAGACTTCCGTTAAATCGCCCCAAGATCGAGGCTGATGAAGAAGTCGGAATAGTTGGCAACATCCGACAGGATAGCGGTGAACATTTTACGTTGAAACGTCCAGGAACCGAGTCGAAATTTTTATCCTACTTAGAATTAGAACCTTAATTGTAGGCCTTGCTATGCCCAACCATGATAAATACCCTATGCATTTTCATGAAACTGGTAAAATCGTATAGGAGAGCTTTAGCTTTCCCTCGAGCCTTGCAATATCACATAAAGTGATATGAAAGTGGCATCTGAAGGGTCAATCGTCCATGAAACTTTTCTCCGAACTGGCTGTACCGAAATTGCTTCAACTTTTACAATACGAATATGGTCGCTACAAGGAAGGCCCCGACTTCCATAAAATTTCATTTTGTGCGAACAATTATTAAAATGTCTATATACGAGTTTTAACAAAATTGAAAATACATGGGTGTCGGGAGTTTTCTGATAGCCTCCGTGTTTACATTGTAAAGTTTGAAACGATTCACTCGACTCAGTTCGGAGGAAAGTTTCATAAATGAGACTCCTTTGACGGCACTGGCATATCACCTTAAAACGTGAAACGGGCCGACGTTTCGCAAACATTGGAGTTCGTCTCATCAGGGCAGACACTGATGAGATGTGAAATGCGAAATTAGGTCAATATTTCAGTGATATCATGGATTGAATAATCGCGAATGCTCACCTGTGGCCCAGTGCAGTACGCTGTGACCCTCGAGGTCCTTGGCGTTGACGTCTGCTCCGTTGGCGAGAAGAACCGCCACCAGTTGGGTGTCGCCAGCAATGACGGCGAGATGAAGAGGCGTGTGCCCCTCGGCATCAGGGGCGTTGACGAGTTCCGGGGCCGCAGCCGCCACGGCACCCCCTGTACCCGCGTCCATGCAGTAATGCAGAGCACTCCTCAGGGTGCGATCTCTATATCCGATGGTCTCCCGTTGTTCCTTCAGCAGCCTCAAAACTCTAGCTCTGTCTGCCTGCTGGCAGGCGTGCATCAAAGGTGTGGCCCCGATGTGCAAAACCCTTCAATAAACCGCGACAAATTAATAATAATTTTCCGGAAGAAACCGAGCAAATGAAGTCGGTAGTATAGATGTACGGAATCTTAAGCCGTATAAAGTTCAGAACAAAACTTAACTATTAAATATCTATTTAGTCATTAGACAGGCTAACTAGATCATCCGTTTAACCCTTAAGACGACACATAACTGAAACTGAAAATAACTGAATCCCGATAGTTAGGTGAAATATGTAACCACGCTATATATACCACGTACGGAGGAAAGTTCGGTGTATCGTGCCGCGATACATGCACGTATATTACCGGATCGTTGGGAAAACTTTTCAAGATCGAGGTTGTACGGTGGTATTAAATACGTTGCACCTGTGCGGCAGTCCATTACGGAAAGCGTTCTCTGCGCGAGTTCGACCACGTGGCACATGCTGTCATGCTCACCTGTACGGTCTTTCGCGTTCCTGATCCAGGGGCCGGGTAACCGGGGGTGGACCACGGGACCAGGTAGTTCCCGGGGTCTTCGATCTCTGCCGATGATTGGGTATCGGCGTCAGGGGTGGCAAGGACACATCGACGCGTTCCTGTCTCTTCGGTTGGGGTCTCTCGTGATGTTTCTGCGGTATCGGCGGGGTCTTAGTGTCCATGCCCGTCTCCGACCCTGGTCCCACCTAGTTGGGCTCCATCTGGAATTCGGTTAAACTGTCAACTCCTGAGCGTTAACTTTTATCTCCGTTCCAGGGATCAGCCAGCGACCCAACGGGCGGAACAAATAGCAGGGATGTTTCTCGACGCTGTGGTTAATTCCGGAAGATTGAACACCGGGAGGAGCCGAACCGGACAGTGGACGACCCACTTCCTCGAAGGATCTGCCCGCGATCTTAGATTCGAATCCAGTGAAGGATCTCGCCCGTTTGACCCAAAAACTCGAGCCCTGACGCTGACCACGTGGCGAATTGACCAGGTCACTCGGTGCCATAGAAACCGGCCACCACAACACCCGCCGTGCCCGATAAAGAATTCTAATGGCAAATCTCACGACAAGGTCGTCACGTGTCGAATTTCTGACTTTAATCATCCACTTGGCTGCGACGTCGGATAAGTGTTCCACGGTCTGACCGAGGGTGATCAGCTGCGGCAACTCGGTCATACGTAATGGGATACGCGATTTCATGTAATAACTACAGACAGATGATAAGAACCGAGCGGGTCTCGTGCACTTCGAATCATCGATTACACATTGTCTGGCCTCAGACGAAAATTAAATGTTTTGTCTACGCCAGACTTCTGTCAAAATCAAAACGTGAGGAAATGTAGAATTTCTTTTTCTTGGAATTAAATCTCAAGAAATGTCTGTATAACTTGAAAGAATAAACGAGATTTGCCGTAAGGCGTAAGTTGAGATGATATGAATGTGACGTATGTATATGAAGAGTCTCGTTTATGAAACTTTTCTCCGGACTGGATGTATCGAATCGGTTGAAATTTTACCTTTTGAGGTATCTGTTAGGGCCTTTATTTTAAACACTGATAAGGCAACTGTGTACTCGTAAAAACTGGATACCTTTCAGTGTACGTGAGTAGAAATTATCATAAAGAATAAATATATAGATTCGGCGTGCATTCCCATGGAATCGGTTCCGATTGTTCGGTGCAAGTCGAGGATCAAATCGACGCAGGTTTTTCCATCAACGCGCGCTTGGAATATCGAACCTCGAATGATCGAAAGCGTTTTCCTTAGGAAGTTATCCCCTGTGTGCAGCAGGTCTGAAGCCGCTCGGTTCCCAACGTCAATTCCGGGCAGATTGTCTGATACATTTTTGCAGAAGAAGGCCTCCGCGTGACCTGCTTCTCGCCGAGCTGCAGGTGTCTTCCCAGTAATTCGAACAGCGCTATACAGTTCTTCAACGGCACTGTCTGCGTTCTTAGACTGCTGCCCATCAGGTGTCACGCTATCCTAAAGCTCGATTAAGCCCGGCTTAAGCCGCTAGGTAACTTATATCTGCTGAGGAAACCATGTTTTTAAGGAGTGCGGTGAAACACCCCCGAGAAACTTTTGCCTTAATCAAGACAATCGTATTTAAGTGCGATATTGCAATGCATCGTCCATAACACGGTTCTCACACCTATTTTCCATTTAGATACTCCGGTTGTATTCTTATTTCAAGCTGTTCGGACATTAGAGTATAACCTATGTTTACATAAATAATAGTAGTCCTTTCTAATTTTGTCCGTTTATATTCCAAAAGGGTTAACATCGTCGCTCGGGAAGAAATGAGACTATCGAGCCCGCCAATCTCGAAGTAAGGCAGCCTTAATCGGGTTTCGCGAGTGAATATTTAATGTCTTATGGATTTTCTCCTCTAGTCGGTAGATTCAACGGCTTTCCATTATTAGAACCTTCCTATTAAGTTGAAATTTCCGCCGACAACATACAGCGGTTCTGACGCCTTATGTTCAATCAGCTGACTGCGGGTTGTCAGGGGAAAAATATGTCTATATATGTATAAAGTAACGATTGCTCGATTCATAAGATTCAGTAACGACCATTTATCCTCAAATTACTTCCTCGAATACTTGCGCCGTACAGAAAGTACTTATGTTTTTCAATATCGTACATATATCCTATTACACGAACAATATACCTTTGGTAATGCATCGCAGTTGTGAGTCTCAGTATTATTTATGCAATTTTTTCTATTTTTAATATATGTATTATGTCTTCAATGGTCGACATGACGTAAAATATCGATTCATTGACTGAGTTATTATGAATTAAGTTAAGGAGCTTTGAAATCTCACAGTGCGATGGGTCCTGATTTTTTACTGATTTTTCTATGATAATATAAGAAAATGGCGTGAACGACATTTTTGTACGACTTTTGTCATACTATGTATGTGTGTACATATCTGCCCTAATTTGGCTCTGTTCAGGAAAGAACGTAATTACGTACTTGAACTCGAGCCCGAAGTGTCTTACGGAAACCTAGCATTTTTCGTTACGGCACTAGTTATAATCAATTATGCTACTGCTCACTTCCGTCGTCCCTTATCACTGTTAGTCCCATCACTGACCATCCAGCTGTCGATCTGATAAGTCAAATCATGTTGGAACCTCGTAAATCCTTATTTCTATATGGAGAAATTTAACTAAACGTGAGTCTTCCTACACATAAACTTGTCTAGAGAAAACAAATTTAGATAGTTTCGCAATAAGTAATTGTAACGCACAGAGATCCGCGAGATAATTTTCTCACTCTTCCCCGAGATTTTTACGTAAAGTCTAAAATCTTTGCTTTCTTATTATTCAAGCCGAAAATGTTCTTTATTAATTGAAGAAATAGCATTAAATCGAAAAAAAAATATTGAAAGCTTATCCCAGTAGCATATAATAATTTCTAAATATTTATTTGTAATCTTTGCCAAATATCTAAAGCGACAGATTTTTTAAGATGTCTTGTAGATTTCATTCGAAGATATCTGAATTATTTGTTGAAAATCTCAGACATATTTAGTTTCAATAGTTTATAAATATATATAGAAATTATATTTTTTAATTTATGAACATATAATAAAAATACATTTTTTATTTCACGATTATTATCGGACACTTCATTTGGTATCAAAAACACGACACATTTTTGTAATATTTTCGTCCCGCTATTTCATTATGGTAGCAAAACGTGTGATTTTGATTTTAAATATTTAAAAAATACTTACATTAAAAAGAAACGAAATGTTTTGTATATCTGTTAGAAAAATATTATGAAAATACATGGAACTAATATTATACAAATATTATAAAGATAATATTCAAAACGAAACGTTTTGCAAATATTTCGAATGTCTGCTAAATACTTACAAAATGTACGATGTTCGTTAAATATATAGAAAATATAGGACAAATAATTTGTACTATTGGGGTAGGATCATGACAGAAACAGATGCAGAAAAATGTTAACTTAAAGTCTTCGCTGAAATGTTAAAAACGCCTTTCCAATACACACGTTATCTTTTATTATCCTTTCACTAATCACAGTCATGTATCATCGTGAGTTTGTCCCGAAAATAATTAACCAGGTGAATTATTACAGGTACTTGTTAAGAATTACAAATGCCTCGATTCATTCTGGCTGTTTCATTTTACCTCTTTATATGTAGAGCGAAGCGGACAATGGCTAGGTGTACGAAAAAGTAAGTGAAACCCTTGCGGTGGTGGACTGCACCTAGAATGGAACACCGACTTGGGACTAACTACCGCGACCTATCGATTTCTCTTATGATAATAAGCCGAGCCGCAGCGTGTCGGTACGTATGCACGTTCGCACGTTATGCACGTGCAATTTCATCGTGGATGGCAACCTCGGATTGCCCGGCATATTTCTGCAAAGGCCTAGAATCTAACCGGGCAACATTTTCTGCGAGTTTCGCGGTTTTCGCGTCAACTGCGAGGAAATTGTCCCCTACAAGACCCCGGCACGGTACTGTATGCAAGTACACGTGCTGATTAGAAGTCGCGTGTGTACACATGGCAATGCATAATTACGGGGTGTCGCCCCTCACATGAGAGCATTTAATGAGCCACAACTTTTCTATCGAATGCGCACATCTTCTGTAAAGAAGGCAAGCCTGTTTTAATATTCCCTTATTGATTCTAGAGCTCATGCTGATGGACTTCCATTCACAAGACACATCGTCAGCTTTGGGAAATAGAGTAATAGGAAAAGTAATCTAGGTCAATTTTCTTCTCGAAGAGAGGAAGAGAAGTTGCAGAGTAATTTTCGGAAATTTCTGTTATGTTTGACTAATCAGTCTCAAGGTCTATGTCGATTTTTTGCGCAATGAGAATTCTCGTTTTTATTGGGAATATTAATTAAGTGAGCATCTTAAAGTGGTTGCCATCTTGTTTTTATTTTGATCACCATTGTTGTTCTGTTATGGATAAGTGATTCAATTTTCGTATTGTTATTTTTTATTTTTGAGAAGCTTAGGTGGTAGATCAAATTGAGAGTGATTTTTTACATGAATTTACGTTTCCTTTCAAGTTTTTCTTGCATACTTCCTCGCGCTCAGCACCACGTGCGTTTTATGGCACGAATATGGCACAGGACTGTCTCTTAACTGGGACATTTAAGAACGGTGGTGGAATAAAATATTTTATTTTTAACGAGCAATCGATTACGTGCAGCCTATCGATGCGACCATTAGGCATTGGAAGAGCTTTTTTCTTTTTCTTAGCTCGAGTATCCGATCGAATCCGATAACGCGGGGAAAGAAAGGAAACTGCTCGTTCCTAACACTATATGGCGGTAAATCTTTGGTATCGTTTGGTAAATACTAATGGTACACGTCACGAATAGCAGGAATATAAACATTCCCTCTATGCTTCATGTAAGTTCGTAAAAGGAAAATTGAAGATATTCTACAGAAATGAATTATTCAAAGTGTTGCCGATTTTTATCAAACCCTGAAAATTAACGCCAATGTGAAAATGTAATATTTAATGTTTACCTCCGTATAGGATTGATGAGCGGAATAACACATTTTTTAATTAATCGCATTCAGATATTTCTTTTAAAATTTGAATTATACATGAATAGTAAAAGTTGTGACACTATTAGGGAGTGAACCTCGTCTCTTGAATATACATTTTCACAAATGAACAAGAAATAGCATGTCATATATTAATTTCAACAATATCTAACAGCTTTCGTCAAAGTCCGTGTAGTTTTCTCGCCAGTGTGAAAGGAAAAAAAAAAAACGTTCCGAAAGCAGAAGCTTTTTGAAGAATTCCATTTTTCACCCATTCCCGCAAGTTTCAATCGAATATTATGCATAATTTGCTTCTTTCAAGTCTCGCGCGGGAACCTCCTACGGTCACTTTATCCAGAGTATTGATAAAATGTTTTATAAATAAAGAATAAAAGCATGTTACATTTTCCAGCCTTTCTATGGCAAAAGAAAGAAAATGTTCTCTCAATGTACCGAATTTGAGAATTTTCTTAACAGGGTCGCCTCAAAAGTGCTAAAGATGGTGCGATTACTTCCTGGTCATACGAGACATAGCGGACTAATTGTCGGAAGTGCGACAGTGCAATTTGGCATGTCTTACTTCGTGAGGCGCCCTGCTGAATTCCGGGTCTCCCTCCATAGCGAAGGGGAATTCCGAAAGTGAAATTTTCGAAATTCCCGAAGGTGAGAGCGCCGCCACGAGTCAGGTGGTTCGGGCCGAGAGGGCGAAACGCTCCCTCCGAGGGTAAAACGCGCACTGGCATCATTCTGTTAGCGTGGGCACTTAATGCAAAGGTTGCCTGGATACCACCCACCTCAGGAACGTACCTACAGCCATGAATTTCAGGATAATGATTCGCGATTAAGATTCCGTTCAACTACGCACTTTTCATTCTTCTTCCCCCCTTGTAACGTTGTACCCTGTTAAAGGTTTCGATATTTCAAAATCTTTCGTTCACAAATATATACGTTTCGAGATGAAATCCGGACAAGTGTGTACTAAATTTCGAACAATTCCGGTTCAAAAAGAGCGGTAAGCATTCGATATTCCACATACTTTCGAATACAATTGTACGTTAAAACCTGAAACAGCGGCATTCGAAATGAAAACCGAACAGATGTATACGACGGTTCGAAGAACACTATTTATACGTAAGAATTTCCTCAAAATAATTACAAATTCCGAACAACACAGTAAAATAAGAAAAGGAATCGGTAGAACTGTTAGTAAATGTCCTACCGCGTGCTTTCGTCAAAATACGTACAATTGCGAACGCGAATGAAGTATTGATATGGCAATAAAAAATCTTGAGTTGCATGGCCGAAAAGAAAAATCTTGGAGTAATGCACGCGAATGATATTTATTAAAATGAGTTTTAGGAATAGTTATAAGACATTTTTGATTTTTAAATAGTGCTCAAAATCTCGTGATTTTCAGCTAATATTAAAAGCATTATATTGGATGGATAAAATCTTGGTATAGTGTTATCAAGTTGTTAGGTTCTTTGTTTTCTTAATTTGTAATAATAAATATTAATATTACACGTATAATAAAACTTAATGTTTTATATACCATGTAATGAAAAACGTTAACAATTGGGGGTATAGCTCAGTGGTAGAGCATTCGACTGCAGATCGAGAGGTCCCCGGTTCAAACCCGGGTGCCCCCTCAAGATATGATTTTTACTTTTTTTTTTTCCCAATAAAAAACATTCTATTAAATATGCAATTTACAATCATAACAAATCCTGTCAAAGTATATCTTCCCATAAGAGTACTGCAGAAAACTTCATTCCTGTCGTCGGATTGATTATATAAAAAGGTAAATATTTTAGCCTTTAAAAATGTTTCCTAAATGTAATTAATTTCTTACTCGATCAAATGTGACAAATATGACGAACACTGCGACGTGATAAACATCGAACGGATCCTTCCAAATTGACGTGCCAGATGTTGGCCATGCTGTGCCCTATTAAAAAAGCATTTGATAAACGTACTTTATCAATTTAACACGTGGAGTGAGTAATACGTCATTATTATTAGATAGGTAGAAAAGAGAGAGAAAAATTCGGGGAAAACATGCAGCTGTCAAAATTCGTCACGCTGGCAAAAGAGACGTCTGTTAATCCCGGTACGAGAGAGGCAGAATGAGAGAAAGAGGTAAAGGGGAACACAGGGGAACAGTGGAGCGAGAGGGAGGACGAGAACTCGCAACGAATGACGGGATATGGCGACGTGTAGCCGAAGTTTTCTCATTTTCACTGTTCTATCGCGTAATCCGGATGTCAGTGAAATTTTGTAAATATTCCTTGGCTGTGTCAACGATTATCTAAGGAGTACGATTAAAACAGATCACCGAAATAATTATGAATTACAACCACTCGGCGGCCCGAAAAGGTAAGTTCGCCATTTCGTTCAAAAGATGCTGTGTCGCACTATTTAGCATAATATTTAGTAGGATGTAATTATTGCTATTAGGGCTTTTTTTGATGAGGTATTCTCTACATTTTGATGATTCTAAATGATAGTTTACGCTCCCCTAGGGAATATTTGGGATTATCGAATAAATAATTGAGGTTAGGTTCATGAAAAATTGTAGCATTGCATTGCATCGAAACGAAGATGCTTAGCTGCAATTTGGATATTTATGAATCTACGAATTCCAAGATGTTTACCAATTTTAAACTGTTTCCAGTATTTTATTCACTTTCCTAATAGATGTGTTTAATAAAGGTATAAAACAGTCCATTGGATGTGACATTAATATTACCGCGAAGGCAATACATGAAATGTTTCGCAAATAGTATAATGTGTGGTAAACCAAGGTATTGTAATTATAAAAGGAATGTTGCTTTGAAATTTTGTCACTTATTATTACTCAATCTACGTGTCTAATGTATAATGATAACCTTACTGTTACATGAATCGTTAGTCATTCTGCATGCTATACCAAGTATTGATTGATATCGTCTAATTACTGTATAATTTGAAACAGAAAAATAAAGTATTAAGAAGTCGATTTAACCCTTTGGGGATGAGACCTTTCCTTTCTAAAGGTTTTTGGGCGGTTAATTGCCAAAACTCGTCCGCAAAGGGTTAAATGGATAGTATGTTTTCATTAATATCTCTATTATCAACAGGAAAACCGAAAAGGATATTAGATCCTACTGCTGGATTATCTACGCCGTCCTCTTCAACCCCACAGAATCCCTACATGTATAACCAGCAGGTTACATTTATTATTATAAAAAGTTCTTAAATGATCAGCATTTTATTCTTCAAATTAATAACAGTAATACTGTTTTTGGCCTTATTAGGTGCCTATGAACAATGGCATGCCACCAGAATATGGTTTTAACATGCCCCCACCTTCGGCATCACCATATGGATTCAGCACACCACATACACAGGCCTATAACCATACCGAGCCACGTCCTGAAGGTTTCTCTACTCCACAGTTTACCACACAGCTTCTGGCTGAACCTGTGGTCACAAACATGGCGATGCAGTATGGAAATGCCTTAGTAGGGTCAGGGAAACAACATTTTGAAAAGTATATCCCAGTGACAGCTTTGAAGTATTATTTTGCTGTTGACACTGATTACGTCGTCAGCAAATTGATTTTGCTGGCTTTTCCATTTACACATAAGGTAAGCTTTACTATATATGCTTTATTAAATGTAACTAATATTTGTTCATGTATATATTAGTAACACAGTCTGGTTAAAATAAATAAAATGTATTTAAAATTCAATAGGACTGGTCTGTCAAATATGAGCAGGATGGGCCTCTGCAGCCCCGTTATGAAAGAAATGCACCGGATTTGTACATTCCAACAATGGCATTTTTGACATATGTGGTCATTGCTGGATTATCTTTGGGGACTCAAGAACGATTTACTCCGGAACAATTAGGTATCTTGGCTAGTTCTGCTCTGGCATGGGGTATCATAGAGCTATTAGTACACACGATAACCTTATATGTGATGAATCTTGACACAAGTTTAAGAACACTAGATTTGTTAGCTTATTGCGGTTACAAGTATGCTGGTATAAATGCAGCACTTTTGGTTTCGTTGATATTCAGAAGGGTAGGTTATTATATTGTTCTCTTGTACACAAGTGCGTCATTAGCATTCTTTCTTATACGGTCCTTAAAATTGAGAGTCATTCCAGAAGGTCATAGTCCTTATACAGCTACTGGAAATAAAAGAAGACTCTACTTTATTTTGTGCTTAGCAGCTGTTCAACCCGTTTTAATGTGGTGGTTATCATATCATTTAATTTCTTCCGATGCCACTTAAACCGAGTACTTTGAGAAGGGTGAAAGATTTGCGTGTATTTATGTAATAATAAACATCTGCTACGCATTTTTTGTAATAAATAATTTTTGAGCCTAAGTAGTACATATATTTGTTCAAATGTGTATCTCCATTACTCCAAAATGACCTTATTATTGTTTTCAGTACTTTAAATTAATGAAATTAAATATTTGGTAAGTATCGTTATTTTCATTCTTTTACCTTAATTCATCTACCGTTAGACATCTAATAAAAGAAATGCATAGTTTTTAAAAATCTGAAACACGTATCAGACAACAGATGCCGCAGTTGTATATTTTCTGTTCATTTCACATATCAAATAAGTTTCATAAATTTTAAATGTAAGATTATGTAAATGATAGCAAATAATATATTTCCTTACATACAACAGGGTAAATGAAGCTACTTAAATAATTATTGTAGTACTTACCGCACGTAACTGGTCTCCAATAAAAATATAGCTGTCTGAAATACGAGTGCTGCCAGTATCGTTTCCAAATTGCTGCTCCCCTAACTCCACCTATTTTCCCCATAACAAAATGTACTATCTCGTTCTTTCTCCGAACTATAATTTTCACATTTTAACTTACAAGCAAATTTCTACGTAATAAAATAAATTGTGTAAAAATATTCGAAAGATAAACGTAAAAACTAATCCTTTTCTTATTATTGATATTTTGTATGTATTTATCCCAGGGAATTTATGTAGACCCATTCAGTTGGCTGAAAAGTTCGTGACGTTTGTTTTTAAAAAATTAGTTTCACAAAATAAAAACAACGGTGTTCAAAAATACATTAGCCTTCACTGTCGACAACTTCCTAAGGTTCGGGTAGTTTTCCGATCGTTATTTAAACAGCGCGAACTTACAGGCCAACCAAATATTAGTTAAGATTGGCGCAGAAACATATGCATATGGCTCTATGATCGTTACTCGGAACGGAGTCACAGACAGCAGGACTGTAATTAAATGCACTAACGAGTATTCGCTCCAGCGTAGAATTAGTTTATTGTAAAATGTGATGGATACACGTGCACGGTGTTTCTGCAGTTTCATCTTTAGGCAATGGATTTTCGAAGTCACACGGCCCACTGACTGAGGTGTGGCGGGTGGTTTGTTGAAATGCTTTGCAGTCCCCATATTGAGTTCATCTCAATCTCCAGCGGTCAAGTCCTCATCCCGTTTGTAATCTATCAAAAAATGACTATTATTATGTGCCAAGTAGACATGAAATCCCACCGTGTAGTGGGGGCGTGTAAACATAAGTATCCGAGAGGTAAGAAATGAGGAATTAGCAAGAAAGTTATCGAAATAGGCCGGCAGTAAATAATTATTGCCCGTGACAATTTCTCACGTGCGTGCATGTGCCAAGCACTTGGCGAACATCTCATGCAGCAAACAATCTCGCGGATTCAAAACAACTCCGTTGTTACGCGGCTCTATACCGGTACCTTATAACAAATTCGTCATCGGTGATTACTTATTAACGGAGGTATATAGAGTACGATCTTGAAGACGCAGTACATATAGAGAGCACGTTTAAGTAAATCGTCACAATGCATATTCATCTCGGCCAATCATACATTAAAATACTTCTTTCCTCGTCACTCGTCGCGTATAACGTTTTACATAAAAACGCTGAAATATCTCCTTTGGCTCTAATTCCATTCCTCCTGGTATAGGACCTTACAAGTACAAGTGCATCGGTATCTACTTACTGATACCCTTGTTTTATTGAATACGGTTACTCGACAATTTCTCCGAACATTTCTAATCAATTTCATCATTCACCAACCGTTCTTTGAGATAATGCACTGTAAATCTCAAGATAAAATTCCGTAAAGGTATTTTTTTTCTAAATGGTAGAAGAATATATACATCGCATTTTCAGTTCTCGTAAAGATGACCTTCGTTTCTGAAAGGAACGCTTCTAGTTAATATTCTATTAAAGTAATTAATCTCCCGTTGAAAAGAAACGCAAGAACGATTACGTTTAAGTGCAAGGCCGCGTTTCAAACTGTAATGTCCCAAGATCTAAATTGTTAAAAAAATACCAAGAATGCCGGAATGGAATTAAAACCAAGGCACGTGTACGCGTTATGATATGATGCGATACGATATATTCCGGTCTCGAAAAGGTCAAGCCCACCCAACAGGTGAACTTCACCTTCGACTGAAATAGGAATGATGATATTGAGAAGTCAACTAGATCTGGATATGTGGAAAAATCGATTTTTGACTTCTACTTTAGAGTCAAGTTCCTGATTAGAAATTAGAACAACACGCAAAATACAAAACTTCAACATAGTAGAAGATCTGCCATTAGCGTAAGGACCATAACTGTGTTTTCTGTTATCTTAGGCAAATTTCCAACTCGATGCATTAAGGTCATATAAAAGTGTGATATATATGTACTAAAAAATCAACATATTTATCAAACTTTTCTCCAAACTGGGTGCACCGAGTTATCTGAAACTTTAACACGTTATTATGGAGGCTTCCTTGGAGCTTCCGTAATCACGTGTTAAAGTTTCAGATAATTCGGTGCACCCAGTTTGGAGAAAAGTTTTATAAATATTTTGACTTTTTGATACGTACATATCACCCTTTCATATCACCTTAATACGTCTAAGACGTTTTGTCGAAGGTGCCTCAAACATCATCTGCTTAAAGCTCCAATAGAAGTGAGTTACCCATACTGAATCGTGACGTCAAGAGTAGGAAATTCCATGAAATTTCCAGCTGATACTCTGCGAAGAAAATGACATTTACTAGTGAAGACCAGGACACGAACTAGGTATTCACGAAATGTGTCAGCCGATCAGTTTGACGGATCGTACCCTATGAAACGTGACATCATTCTTCAAAAATAGATCCTTTGGTAAGCTGGGTTACATTACCAAGGCGAATGATAATAAACACCGTATCATCGCAAACATAGGCTGGCTGACACATTTTACACGTCCAGTGATCATTGCGAAATCTACATTTTGACGAAAAAGTAAAAAATGTACTCTAATACCGGTTAAGAATTGCACGTGATTTCCTTGCTTCTGACGTCAGATTAAAAATTACTGACTCACCTCTACCGTGGTCTTAAGGGGATGTGAAAGTGACATCCGAAGGGTTGATCGTTCATGAAAGTTTTCACCAAACCGAGGGTACCGAATCGTTTCAAAGTTTACAATGTGGATACCGAGACTATACAGAAGGTCCTGACACCCATGAAATTGGATTTTTAATAAATAAAAAAAAAATGCGAAAAATACCCATGAACAAACTTTTAAACAATTCAAATTTCATGGGTATCAGGACCTTCCTTATAGCCACCATATTCAGGTTGTAAACTTTGAAACGACTCGTTACACCCACTTCAGATAAAAGTTTCATAAACGAGTCCTCTGTGTGGTTACTTCCCCACATCACCTTGCCATTACAAAAACTAACAGCAGATTTCCTCGTCGTCTTAAAAGCGAACGAGACGTCGCATTTCTTTGACATCCCTCATAACTATACATTTAAAGATGACATAAAATCTATTTAAATGAAACACGTCAAATTGTAATCCGGATCGACCCACATATCCTGCCAGTGTTATGAAAAAATCGGCACACGCGAAGATCTATATACGTGTATATAGGCCTCGTTGCGCATCGACGTATACGACATACATATCCGTCGAGCCACATAGATGATGTGTTTTTAACGAGTGAAGTATATAGGGCGCACGCGTGTTTTGGACGTACCTTCTGTGTTAAATTCAAAGCTCGCCAGCTTCGAACGCAAACGCAATAGCGGCGCGCTATCCGGTAATCGCAGGATGGTAATTCGGCGGAGTCGCATCTACGGGTGTGACGCATAGAGGCAAAGGTAACCGTCGAATCGCTCACTCCAATTAACACGGAGGGGTTGATACGCCGCCGCAGGTGATATCGCAGGATTCGCAGGTAAAATCCGGGTAACGCACTCGCACCTATACGGGCCAGACGCATTGGCAAACGGACCACTCGTCGCAGACTCTAACTTAGCTGAGCAGGTTTTTAGGCCAGGCCGTTGCTCGACCTAAGTAGACTCTCTTTCTTCTTTCACAATCCCGTTTTCTGTTTCAGCTCGATCCTTAATCCCCGTTTCATCCGACTGGATTGGGTTAGTTCCGAACGTTTCCACGATTACACGGATCTGCATTCTCGGATTCGACAAAATTTAATATACCCAAGGTCTTGTTCGTTACTCCGAAAGAGTACTTCTTTCCACGACCATGTGGCAGGTTTTATGGTATAACCCGGTATTCATGTATATCAAGAGACGGCACCTCGAAGAGGTAAATCCGTTGGATAGCGAAAGTAAAACCCAGGCATCCAATTTTGTTGAATTGCAGATCATTGCGCCGATATTCCGTCGTCGATCCTGTAGCTGGTGGGATTAGGTCGCGTTATGTCTTCGGGGTATCTGTGGCTCTTCTCTCTCGGATAGGACCTTGAAAAAAATCGCGTCAACTCGGAGTACCCCCAAGTCGTTCTTCCAAACAGTGTCATCGTTTTAATATGATGACACGTGATCGTCGAAATCGCTTAGTTTCGGGAATGAACCCGAAACTAAAGAAGCATCCTTGTCGGAGCTGATGTGATTGCTGCTGCGATGCCTAACAAATGCACGGCGCTGTTAGTTTCGTAAGCAGATAAACGGTATTCACTGATCGATCGGCAATTTGATAGCTGCCGATTACAGGAACGCATTTTCGAGTCCATACGAAGTCATCTACGAGCTTCCAACGAGACGTTAAGGCACCTGAAATGAGGCTGTTCTCATCTTGATCAAATATTTCTTAACTTTAAAAACGAGTAAACCACCCTGAGGTATGTCGTTCTTTGTAAATAACCCTGTCATTCGTATACTACTTTTGTACTTCGCCATTTTCTATAGATTTCAATTTGCTTTAAGGTAAAGTATTAATGGATTATATAACTCATAAAGTATTTCTTTTATTAGGGGAAAGGGAAACGGAACATTTTTCATTTGACTAGAAGATGAGTAGAAATTTGGGATAATATGAACTACATGAAATATTTTCTCTCCTGATAGAACCTCTTTTCGCTTATGAATAGATATTCAAGTAATTGCAGAAATAGTATTATTATCCACCTTTTAAGGTAAACAAATTTGGAATAATCAGTCGTTAATACCAGTATCCTACTGATTGTAATATCCAAGCTCTAACATCTTATTAATTATCGTTATATTCATTAAATCATGGACAAAAATTGAGTACGTATGAAATTAAAATTAACACATTTTATAAGTTTTACCGAATTTCTGAAATTTGGACTTTTATTTTCTCAGTTAATTGGTTTGATAAAATGATCCTCTTGAAAGTAAACTTTAGCACAATGTCACTTGAAACTGGGTGTTCACCGAATAGACGAGATGGCGTTTCCACTCCAGAAAATACGCGATGCAAGGTAGAGGACACATTTTTATTTAATTTGATGTAGATACATTAATCATTGACCTAAGCTTGATTTCTTTTGCTTTATTAATGAACATTTAAAACACTTTATGATCTTACATATAAAAGGAAAATCATACAGCATCGTTTTATATCCTATGCCTTCTGTTTCTTGGATTATGCTAGGAAGAGTATTGGAAAGTGTCTAAACCTACACAGATACCGTTGATGCTTATACTAAGGGAAAAAAAAAAAGATTAACCTACACTTTCATTTTTTGACTACTCTATATGGAAAAGAAATGTCAAAGTAACACGTGTATAGGGTTGTTTTCTTTAACAAAATCAACGGTATAAAATTTCAATTCATTTGACAATGCACGCGTCATTCGGCACAGTAGCGTGCAAAAATTGAATTTGCTTCTATTATATTTCTCAGTATATATCCCATCTTTTTGCTACCTTAAACTTTAGGATTAATATAAATTATACACGGTTCAATTATAGAGAACGGACTGTTAGCTTTTCTTTCTCAGACACAGGGTGGTTCAATGATGGCGTAGGTATAATTTTCGCGCACGGATCCCTGCAAGGCAAAAGGTTGCCTTTTTGTGCATGATCTATTATTCGCTTTAGTACTTTTAGTACGTTGGAGGCATCGCATCTGCCGGACCTGGATAGCTAAAAGGTCAAAAATGAAAATCGCAGGATTAGTCGTTTAGACTTGTATCGTAAGAAATTAACAACTGAAAGTATAAGATGTAACACTGGCTTTTTTATGCAATGGATGCTCGCTAATCGGAATTAAATCACCGAGCCGTGACGAAGAAAGTTACGCTCGGACGGTGTAATACAGTCGAATCTCTCATAATGTTACCTATCTCGTGACCAGGTATCTCTCATAATGTCCCCAGAATAATATGAAGATTAATAGATCAAGTTTCGGAAAAGGCAGCATGTAAAACTACAAAACTGTCTCAAGGAATACAAAAGGTTTAGTAATATTCTCGAGCAATCTTAAGTAATTTCAGTATTATGGAGGCAAATACCTATTTCATACAAAATCATATTCCCTTTCTCATAATTATGATACTTATACTATAACCATCATGCGCATGGTAATAAATCCGAAACAAGAACTTATTTGCCATTTAAGCACACATACGTTACGTGGTTAAATAATGAACAGTAATCAACTGAACGAATGTTTAAAGGAATATCTAAATGTTAAAAGTAAAGAAACATAACTTGAATATAATATGTGTAAATTCTGTTGCTAAAATCATTTAGAGTAGGAACAGAGGAACATTAAAAGAAACACTCAAAGGGACAAGACTAGAGGAATATTATGGGAGATTTGACCATAATCGGTGTGCCCTACGCAATTTTTCTCTACGGTGATAGCATGAGCGTCACACGAAAGTGAAATATTGACAAGCACATGACATAATGTCTATTTTTCACAATACTTCAAGTTCAAAATTGCAAATCTGTGATCAAAACATAACACTCGATGATTTGTAATCCAAGTTATTATAACAGGGAACTTGCATATAGGATTCAGAAACTTTTATGAACAATTTTAATGTTTCAAGCTTTTTAACTATTATATGAATACATCAAGCTGAAAACTACCCACAAGTTTCAGGGATTTCCAGAAATCTAGGCAATCAATAAGCTGTTATCATTTTATTGTCAATTATTGTTACTGATGTCATTGTGAGATGACAGTCCTCTTCCCATATTATGTTCCAATTATTATTATTATTATATACGTATAAAAGAAAAAAGAAAAAAAAAAAAAAGAAAACCATTAAATAAAAAATAAAATAAAAAACCAACCCCAGCAAGAAGTTCTCGTCGTCTTCCAGGAGGTGTAAATCAGCAGANCATCGATCGAAGATATGCGTCGAGGAAGACAATGCTCTGCGAAGGGGCGAGTCTTCGGGCGAATTGATCACGACGAGGATAACCCGACCATAAAGGCCCACCCACAAGGAACCGAGAACGAGATCGTGTTCCGCGAACATCCCCTGATGGGTCCAGTGATGGCCCCCTTAAAAGAAAAAAAAAAAAAAGAAAACCATTAATCCATAAAAGTTTCCTCTTACTGCCGTAACAATTGATCTCTGATATACTAGCATAGTAATCGTATTCTCGTGTGACGCTACAACCGTATCGCGAATACAGTGCTTCATTGCCTGTGACTGTCGGATTCGTAACGGCGGTATTTGCGCATCGTCCTAGCGGCTCAATAGAATCATTTCGTCTATTAGTTTACCGCTACGCTGCATTTCCCATTGTTAATAATTATACTTTCCATCCATCGCCGGTATAAATTCGAGACCCGTACGTAAACGGAAGCTGAGAGACTGAAGTGGAAAGTTTGATCTGCCGGTCCCTATGTGAACTCGCACCAAAGGTATCGCAGCGCATTTTTATATTCCGATTTCACGTACGCTTAGAACGCTGATTCGTACCTTAGAATACAAAGCGAATTCACGGACTATAATTTCACGCGGCGCGTTTTCATTGATAAAAGACAAAATGAGATTAAAGTCTTTAGTCAGTTCTCTGAAGTATGCCAAGAAAGTTTACTGGATGGTAATACAGAAATAACGGCACTGCTATCCAGCAAACATACGAAACTTCGGCCCGGGGTACGTAGTGAAAGTGTATAATGTAAGTACTTATAAGCCCGTAAACATCTTATTCAAGACAAAATAACTCTACGATATATTAAGGAATACCACTACAAATGCCAAAACGTTACGGTATGTATCAAATAGTTTAAATATAATTACAATTAAACGATATCATCATTGAAACGTTAGAAATCACTCTACATTGTGACTCTTAACAAAAAGAGCTCTATCATGATTACTGTCGATATATTGTAAAATAGTTTCGATATTTTTGAATTTTGAACCCGAGAGCGAAATAATTAGGGCGTACAAACAGGCTACAGGAAATACGTTATCGAATGTTCAGAAAAATGTTAACGTCCATGTTTACAGGCTTTAAAAGCGTATTTTCAGAAATGGTGAACCTTTCTTGCGTACCTCAGGCCTTATTGACCAACTTCAATAACTTTATCCATTAACGCCTCCGCAAAACATGAGATTTCGTTGACGCGTCTTGTTTAGTCACTGATTTTCGACCGCACGCTAGATTTCCGCATAGAATTTGTTACGGCCTGACATCCCACTGTTTGCCAGTTGCGCAGATTAAGATAGTTTCAATACGCCATATCTTATTCAGTTGTTACACCTTATACTTTTGAGGTAAGTGATTTACGCTTGCCGCTTCATCGATACGTTCGCATCTTCGCGTATCTCAGAGTCGCGTAGCAGCATCGAACAGAACGAAATAAAATAAGATCGTCAAAATGAAAGCGCATTTTGTTCTAATGACTAAGCGCGGGCTAATCCTTTCGCTTTTTGACAATTGACGATGTAATAATCGGAAGGCGATTAGATTGAATGTTAATATAATAAAATGGAACTTACCGCCCGGCACCGCGCGGAGGACCGTACGCATCTGGTCTGTCATAACCCTCGCTGTAGCTGGAACAAATAATCAATCAAATCAATAAAAATTAAATAAAGTGGGAAAAAAAATATATTTTGATACACTAATCACCAATTACAAAGTACCTATCAGTATTTATTGATAAGTAATTACTCTCTACAATAAGAATTCCATCAAAATTAATAGTTTTCAAACAAAATTATTTAATGTGAAGTTCCAACAGTGACTTATTCTCAACATTTTCACTAATTATATATATCGCATCGTTATCGTACATTCTTTAATAATTTGATTAAATAACGATATTTACCCTCCGCCGACAGGTGGATAACCACCACTGGGCACCGTAGTTCCGGGTCTTCTGCTAAACATGTCCGTTTGGGGTCCAGGTCCAGTGCTGTAACTGGGTCCCCCAGGGCCAGTGCTGTAACTCGGTCCCCCACTGATGGGCCTGTCAACGGGAGGCATATAGTTAACAGGGGGACCATCCCACCTGTCATAAGAAATCGGACCTCCCTGACTTACCCCCCCGGGCCCCCCCACCAGACTCATATCCCCAGGCCCGCCCGGATAACCCCTGTCATACATGATCACAAAGTTAGCAAGATCAACTTACATTAATGGGTTTTGTACCCAAATACCAGGTACGTAATACTTGACTTTACTAAATTTTTTCAAAACTCGAAAGTACGATACTAGTTCTTTGTGACGGAAAAACGTTCAAGTGCTGAGGCTCTTAGAATCTATTTTTGATATACTCTAGTATTATCCATAAACGAATAGATAATATATAAGTATATATAAGTCCAGTGGCATTAATTAACGCCATACCCTACATCGCCGTATCCTGTGCCGTATCCTCCTGCTGCCACTCCACCACCTCCGTTTCTCATCGGGCCTGCTGCACCACGATCGTAATCGGTTCTAGGTGCATAGTCCACCGCTCTCCCAGCCCCAAAGTTATCCGTTCGTCCGTAATCTACAGGGCCTGCGGCTGCAAGACCAAAATCACCTTTCAACCCACCCCCATTTATTTAATGCGTGTATTAACAACTTTTAATATACAATATACTAGAAAATAATCCTTACATTATAACAAATTAAAAAAGTAGAGTATACAGCATACATAACGCATAGTACACATGCTCCGTAAGGACTATGCATAAACCGTCAGATATTCAAAGGTGGAAGAAAACAGGTTATAAAAATGTGCAAGTATAAACTACAATGAAATGAATTAGACGAAAACGCTTTTATAAACAAGTAACTCTGACACCATTTAAGGACAGTCCTTAATAATTAACTATATCCTTATATCTATGAAGAAATAATGAAAATTATTATTACCATAATTACCATAATCTGTCCTTGCACCAAACTCTGCGGCACGGCCGTAGTCAGGTGCTCGGTAATCCGCTGTTCCTGTAGGGCCATATCCGCCAACGGCACCACTCGCAGGTCCATAAGCTGTCATGCCAGGAGCAGTCGACGTATAGCCACTCATCGCAGCACCTCCGACGCTTTGGCCATATGCTCCACGGTCGGCATATCCACTGGTGAAGTCTCCTGCTCCACGGCCAGTGTAGTCCCCAGCTCCGCGGTTCCCGTAATCCGTGTAACCGCTGGCAACGCCACCTGTAGCAGATCCATCGTAACCAACGAGTTGGATCGGCAAAACTGAAAAGTATACACATAGTCCAAAATTATATTTTTATCGCGCGCATCCCCAGTAAATTGTTCAACTTAAGATAACAATAGTATTGAATTTATCTTTTGCAACATACCTCTTCGATCATTATATGGTCCCGGGCGACCATCGCGGCCACCATCGCGACCCCCCCTACCACCTCTCATTGGTCCACCTCTGCGATCTCCATCCCGGCGACCACCTCCTCCTGCTCCTCGGGACTTTCCAGTTGACTGTTCCACATTGATCGTTGCTCCTTTGAATGTTGAGTTGTGTAGAGCCTTGATAGCTGCAGCTGCATCTTCCTCTCTCGCCATGTGTACGAATCCATAACGATTCATCACATCACATTCTGTGACTTCGCCAAAGCGCAAGAATAATTGTCGCAATTCGTCATTGCGACAATTTTCTGGTAAACGCCCGACGAAGATTTTGGTCTTCCTCTGAAAAAGTAATTATATTGATCAATAATCCATTTGACAAATTTTTCAAATATTTTCTTTTGTATCTCATATAAATTTTAAAAACATTACTGATGGAATAGTACTTATTTTGTTAGATATTTTCACTTAAATAAAACTAATGATTAACCGAATGTGCCTCTAAATTCGACCATGCTTACTAGAATTGATAAAGTATGGTGTCTGATCGAGACCGCTTTAATTTTGCTCAGTACTTTACTAAACTGCTTTATAAAATATAAAGGCAGCAACAAAGATAAACCGAGCAACTCTTTATAATCTACTATGTAAAATATAATTTTTCATTCTTACCGGGGTGTTCGAGGAGACCATTTCCTACAAACAAAATGAAAGGAAACATTATTTGTTAGTGACAAGTTTCAGAAATAAATAACCTATAACGTTGTTAAATTAATATGAAGCAATTTAAAATATAGTACTTTAACCCTTTTGATATGGACATGCTTTTTGCTGTTATGTTTCCACTGTACGGATACTTGAATTACAAATACAGGGCTATGGGTCAGTTACGATAAAAGCTCACCCTAATTAAAAAGCTGAAAGTAACAAAAATAGTCAAAAAATTCGACCAAAGTTATGAATTAATGCAAAATATTAACAGGTGACTACTGTCACCCAAAGGGTACGGCAAGTGCGCAATCATGTACTATAGTCACCCATACTAACGAAAGGATTAAACACAAATAGCGAGTTAACTCATCGTGGAATAAAGTGCAGAATGTATTTTCGGTAAATAAACTTCCTATGAAACGAAAAATATACTTAAGTTCTTACAGAAATTAGAATTACATTTAATGGAGGTAGTATTTCCATAAGGACGATGCGTCAAAAATACAACTTCACTTCTACGTTTCAATTATTGTATCCGAAACAGCCACTAGAATTTGTTTGTCATATTACACGTGAATTATTTACATTACTTATATAATGTACATTAACGAGGTACTACTCAATTTTCGAATTTGGTGAAATTTTGTCAGAATCTTGATGAAAAGTTTATCACAAATTACCACGCCCTTAAGATATTCTGCGTAGAATGCGAAGTCGCAAGATAATGACTCGGAGAAGCTATGTCCGCCGCGCGGCGCTTGGGAACAAGCGAAGCCATGATAGTTCCGCGAGGGAAATCGCGATTATAAATTCAATTAGGAGTCAAAATAGACAATATATATGCGTTACAATCGTGAAATTATGGTACACATTATGATTTCTTAGTAATTCATACACGAGTCTCGAAAAAACCCGAACTATTAGCTCGTAAATAACGCGAAAGAATCCCGCCTAAAAGCCAGCCGGTTCTTGGCGTGCCCAAACGGGTCAGAAGACGCCTAGCGCTTACTAATAACTCTTTGTTACTTCACGTATAAGTTTATGGACATTTCGTTAAGTTACCGTTGAGGGGAGGATTCAAAAGTTCTACTTACGTGTATTTTCGACGTCTTGGCGAAATTAAATTAAACAAAAGGGGGAAGAAAACAGCGTGACGCTAACTCTGGGACGAAGGGCGAAATGGCGTCAGTCGATTTTGATGAACGGAGAAGCCAGAGGAAGGGAGCGTGGTACCGTGAATGTGTACGGAAGGTCTCTTATTAGCGTGATAAAACCCGGTGGAAGGGGAACACGGTGGAGACCTCTACACTAACCGTGCATAAGAGCATCCTTCTCGCACCCGTTACTATAACGGGTGAGAAAGAGACAGTCTGGTCTCCAGGAAAGCGAAGGAAGAAGGACGCATTGGACTATCCATAGGAAACATGCTTCACGTAGAACGAATATTTCAGAGAACACAACAGCTCATGCTTTGTTATATACATGGATTCAAGAGACATACCGTTAAACCACTGTTCCAGTTCGAATTTGAGTCCATTGTGAGCGTCGAAATGGCAAAATGAATATATAATGCGGAAACAAATACGATGTACACACGTCAGGATATTTATCACAATTATATAACAACTGTGGAAGTTAGAACGCGTCGATTCTAAAGCGGATAATGTTTTGATCTAACATTTGTTGGCACCATTTCTTGAGATCTTGTGAGCTCCCGCTCGTATCCACTCCACGTCGATGATGGCAGTGCCGCCAACTGTTTTTACTTTAGGCATATTCTCAACAAGCGCAGGAAGGTTTCTTCTCCTTTAATTGATCCAAAATATGAATGCTCAAACATTTTTTTCTTACAGTGGAAACGTTCAGTAAATGACTAATTTTTTATCAAGTCTCCACTATCTGTATTTATTCAATATCAGATTGGATAAATCCGGTTTTGAGTGCGTTTCCACCACCTAGTTAGTTCGATTAGGGCGTTTATTACGTTTTTGGATGAGAGCGCTCACTTCTCGCACTTTCACCTCGCGTGGATTTATTCGCATTCACCACAGAGGGCACCACAGGACGTTTGCGCGACCCTGTCCGTGAGCAATCTCCCAACTCATATCTAGTATTACCAGAGATGAGTTGGGAGATTGCTTACGGGCGGGATCGTGAGATCGCATCTTGTACTGCCCTCTGGTTTCGTACGTTAGCTTTCACCGTTTTTTGCCCCCAAGGGCGGCGCAACGAATTTCTGATAGGAGCTCGCGCACTCGCGATGGCGGTACCATCTACCAGTCGCCGTTTGCGGCTCACGTACTCGTGATGGTAATACCATGCGGCAGTTGACGGTGGCGGCTTACCTACGCTTACCAACACTGCTCGCTTTTGATGGTAAGGGAAGAACATTCGTAACGTTCCATTTGACTTTATCTACTTATCTACTACTATTAAGTACATTGTTGCCTCAAAGTCGACGTGCTGCGGAGCTTTGGGGCACGTGTCGGTGTCGCGTACGGAATTCTCATGCAGCGAACCTGCGTGACTGCGATCGCTCCTAGAAATCATCGCGCGTCCCAACCAGCCAAGCGCCAAGCTACGGGTCGAGATGGTGAGTATATGTGCGTTCGGAGCTACACTCGACGAGTATGCGTGAGAGTCGAATTTGCGAAAAATCCTCCCGAGGCTTACCTAACTGCAGATATAAGCCGAGTCATTTCGCGTATGATTTTTACATTTCCCTACTAGCGTTATCGAGCGTTTTTAGACCGTTTTTGAGCGTTACCGAGCGTTTTTCAACCGTTTTCGTGTGTTTTGAGAGTGTTTTCGAGCGTTTTTAGAGTGTTTAGGAGCGTTATCGAGCGTTTTCACGCGTTTTCGAGTGTCTTCGAGCGTTATCGAGCGTTTTCCGAGCGGTTATCGAGCGTTTTCACGCGTCTCTTGAGGGTTTTCGCATGTTTTCGAGTGTTTTCAAGTGTTTTCGAGCGTCTTCGAGCGTTTGTCAAGCGTTTTCGAGCGTTATCGATCGTTTTTCAGGTGTTTTTGAACGTTTTCGAGCGTTTTCGCGCGTATTTCAAGTGTTTCCGAGCCTTATCGCAGGCCGTACAGTGCCGTTGAGCGTTGTTAAGTGCAGTAGAGTGCCGGAGAGTTGCCGCAGAGCGACGGCAAGTGACGGAGAGTGCCCGAGAGTGTCGGAGAGTTGCCGCAGAGTGCCGGAGAGTGCCGTAGAGTTTCCGCAGAGTGCCGGAGAGTGACGGAGAGTGACGGAGAGTATCAGAGAGTTGCCGCAGAGTGCCGGAGACTGCCGGAGAGTGCCGGAGAGTTGCCGCAGATTGCCCGAGAGTGCCGTCGAGTGCCGGAGAGTGCCCGAGAGTGACGGAGAGTATCGGAGAGTTGCCGCAGTGTGCCGGAGTGTGCCGGAGAGTTTCCGCAGAGTGCCGGAGAGGGCCGGAGAGTGTCGAAGAGTTGCGGCAGTGTGCCGGAGAGTGCCGGAGAGTGTCGGAGAGGTACGGCAGAGTGCCGGAGAGTGCCGGAGAGTTTCCGCAGAGTGCCGGCGAGGGCCGGAGAGTGCCCGAGAGTGTCGGAGAGTGGCCGCAGAGTGCCGAAGAGGGCCGGAGAGTGCCGGAGAGTGTCGGAGAGTGGCTGCAGAGTGCCGGAGAGTCCCGAAGTGTCGCAAAGAGTCCCGTAAAGTCCCGTAGAGTCCCATAGAATCCCGTAAATTCCCATAGAGTCCCGCAGAGTGCCCCTAGAGTCCCGTAGGGTCCCGTAGAGTCACGTAGAGTGCACGTAGTGCCAGTAGTGTCCCGTAGAGTCCCGTAGAGTCCCGCACAGTCCCGTACAGTCCCGTAAAGTGCCCGTAGAGTCCCGTAGAGTCCCGTAGAGTCCCGTAGAGTGCCCGTAGAGTGCCCGTAGAGTGCCAGTAGTGTTCCGTAGAGGCCCGGAGAGTGCCCATAGAGTCCCGGCGGGACTCTACTGGCACTCTACCGGACTCTGCGGGAGTCTGCGGGACTCTACGGGACTCTACTGGCACTCTACGGAACTCTACGGGCCTCAACGGGACTCTACAGGACTCTACGGGCACTCTACGGCACTCTACGGGACTCTACGGGACTCTACGGGACTCTACGGGACTCTACGGGACTCTACGGGGCACTACAGGCACTCTACGTGACTCTACGGGGCACTACAGGCACTCTACGGGACTCTACGGGACTCTACGGCAGTCTAGGGCACTCTAGGGTACTCTAGGGTACTGTAGGGAAGTCTAGTGAACTCTAGGGCACGTCTACGGGGCTCTACGGGACTCTGCGGGCACACTACGGTACTCTACGGGACTCTACGGGGCTCTACGGGAATCTACTGGCGCTCCACGGTCACTGTAGGGGACTCTACGGGACTCTACCGGTCTCTACGGGATTCTACGGGACTCTACGGGACTCTACGGCAGTCTAGGGCACTCTAGGGTACTCTAGGGTACTCTAGGGAAGTCTAGTGAACTCTAGGGCACGTCTACGGGGCTCTACGGGACTCTACGTGCACACTACGGTACTCTACGGGACTCTACGGGAATCCACTGGCGCTCCACGGACACTGTAGGGGACTCTACGGGACTCTACGGGTCTCTACGGGACTCTACGGGACTCTACGGGACTTTACGGGAGTCTGCGGGACTCTACGGGACTCTACGGGACTCTACTGGCACTCTACGGAACTCTACGGGACTCTACTGGCACTCTACGGAACTCAAAGGGACTCTACGGGGCTCGACGGGACTCTACGGGAGTCTGCGGGATTCTACGGGACTCTACGGGACTCTACGGGACTCTACTGGCACTGTACGGAACTCAAAGGGACTCTGCGGGACTCTACGCGACTCTACGGGTCTCAACTGGCACTCTACGGGACTCTACGGGACTCTACTGGCACTCTACGGAACTCTACGGGCCTCAACGGGACTCTACGGGACTCTACGGGCACTCTACGGCACTCTACGTGTCTCTACGGGACTCCACGGGACTCTACGGGTCTCTACGGGACTCTATGGGTCTCTACTGGCACTCTACGGGCACTCTACGCGTCTCCACGGGACTCTACGCGACTCTACGGGTCTCTACGGGACTCTACGGGACTCTACGGGACTCTACGGTACTCTACGGGGCTCTACGGGCTCTCTACGGTACTGTACGGTACTCTACGGGACTCTACTGGCACTCTACGGGACTCTACGGGACTCTACTGGCACTGTACGGAACTCAAAGGGACTCTGCGGGACTCTACGGTACTCTACGGGGCTCTACGGGCACTCTACGGTACTGTACGGTACTGTACGGTACTCTACGGGACTCTACTGGCACTCTACGGGACTCTACGGGACTCTACGGGTCTCTACGGGACTCCACGGTACTCTACGGGTCTCTACGGGACTCCACGGGACTATTCGGGACTATTCGGGACTATTCGGGACTATACGGGTCTATACGGGACAATACGGGACTATGCGGGACTATGCGGGACTATGCAGGACTATACGGGACTATGCGGGACTGTGCGGGACTATGCGGGACTATGCGGGACTATACGGGACTATACGGGACTATACAGGACTATACGGGACTATACGGGACTATACGGGACTATACGGGGCTATACGGGTCAGTACGGGACTATACGGGAGTCTACGGGACTCTACTGGCACTCTACAGGTCTCTACGGGACTCTACGGGACTCTACGGGACTCTACGGGACTCGATAACGCTCAAAAACACTCGAAAAATGGTCGATAACGGTCGAAAACGCTCTGAAACGGTCGAAGAATGCTCGATAACGCTAGTAGGTAAATGTAAAAATCATACGCGAAATGGCTCAGCTTATATCCGCGGCTAGGGACGATTTTTCGCTGCATTCGGCTCTCACGCATACTCGTTATGAGTGTAGCGTCGAAAGCACTCATGCTCAACGCCATGCCCCGTAGCTTGGTGTTTGGCTGGTTGGGACGCGCGAAGATTTCTAGGAACGATCGCACTCGTACAGATTCGCTGCATGCGAGTTCCGACGTGTCATCCACGCGTGCCCCAAAGCTCCGTATCACGTCGACTTCGGAGCAACAATGTACTTAGAGTAAAAAGGGCGCCACGAGTGTTCTTCCCTTACCATCAAAAGCGTGCAGTTCGGTAAGCGTAGGTAAGCCACCACCGTCAACTGCCGCATGGTATTACCGTCACGGGTACGTGAGCCGCCAACTATGACTGGTAGATGGCACCGCCATCGCGAGTGCGCGATACCCTACCAGAAATTCGTTGCGCCGCCCTTGGGGGCTAAAAACAGTGACGTACGAAACCAGAGGGCAGCACAGGATGCGATCGCACGATCCTGCCCGTGAGCAATCTTCCAACTCATCTCTGCTGGTATACTGTCGTGTCGCCACCTGTCAACCGTATTTGGTAGTAGATTTAAAATTAAGTTCGTTGGAAAGAAAAACGCTCCAAGAAATTGCTTTGGTCAAATATATGAAAATTTTAATTTGTGATTTTATAATTGTGGCTTTGTTTTTATTTATCCGCGAAGCACAGCAAAAATTTTGCGTAAAACGTCCTAACCTATGGCAAGCTTTCACAAATTGTCTGCCAGTCAGAAGTTGATAAATTGTTTTACCATAAGCTAAATTTTGATCTGTGATGAATGTTTATGGACAGGATCGTTAATTTGATCAGGTAATCTAACAAAATTATTATAATGATCTACTTAACAGTTTTCCTCCCAGTTAACAGTGGTTTATTACAATTAAGTTTGTACTCTATGAAAAGGGTAACGTTATTGCAAGATCACTGTTAAATACAGATTTGATGTCTGTTTGTTTGTAAGTCAACGTAACGAATAGTTCTTCATATAGAATTGTTTACTAATATGTCTCTGGAAAAAATACTAAATGAACAATCAGCTGAGCTTGAAGAGCTTACAATAGCTGCAACACTTGTTCAAGGTAATATATTTTCTTGACATTTCAATCGAATCCTTGTTTGTTACCGACAAGTATAGTAAGTATGGTATTTATTTACAGAAAATAAACACGTGGATGATATGTTAACTCATGTATGTACAAAATTATATGACATGAAAAAAGATGTTGAAAATACGAGAACGGAACTAAATATTATGAAACAAAAAAATTCTGCCTGTACCGTAAGTACTTTATGTAACTGTTTTGGTGAAATGTATGAAAAATTTGTATTTACATATTCTTTAACTGATTAGAAGTTACTCGATCTTCTGCAAACCTTGGAAAATAAAATCATTCGTATGGAAGAAAATATACCAAGGGAACTTGTGATTACATATACAAACTATAACAGTCAGTCAGCAGAGCTAGAGTCAATTATTAATAAAAGTGCAACAGAGAATATGGAAGTAAAATTGCAAACAGTTGTTGACATGGCTGAAAATTGTAATATTGGCAATGCGGATGACATAAAAAGTTGTAAAAGAATCTTATTTAATGAACCGAAGGAACATCCAAGAATAAAATACATAAGTGCGGAAGAATACAATAAAATACCTAAATACATCATGGGTCGTCATTCTTTGGAATCGCTGAATGCTTTAGTATCTGACTTCAATGAAGTATTAAAGTCAAAATATAGACTTCTCTCTATGGGAAAGAATGCAGCAAGAAAGGAAGGATATTTAGAACTTTATTTAAATTTAACAAAACAACAAACAGCATTTTCCAAAGGAAAAGGTTAGTTTCAAGTTAAAATATTAAAGTATGTTCATACCATTAACAATTTAATTGTTACAGAGAAAGTGCATTTTTTCACATCAGAGGATTACCAACGATATACAAAAACAAAATTGGATAAAATAAAATTAAACTTTATAACCGCACTGCGCCATGTGAAACGATTACAACAAGAATATGGAGACTCAAAGACTTTATATTATGTTATCATGGAATAACACATATTTAATATATAATTAAAAAATGTATTATCTTTAATCAAATTATAAATTTACACGAAAATAAAATATAGTAGCAGTGCTACTGTTATTACTTGGCAATTTTATCATTCTGTGATGGTGAAACCATAAATTATTCAATCGGTTACATGATACAAGTAATTCTGTATACTGCATACTATTCAAAGCTTAAAAATATTTTATCCTTCATTTAAGAATTGTCAGACCTTTGTTCTGTTTGCCAATTTGAAGTAAAAGAAAAACAATTGAATGCTACTCGACTGTTCAATGTTGCCTAGCCAACTTGTTTAGAAGAGCTCATTTCTAAAAGAAGCTGGATCTTGGGAGCAACAGAGATTCTCGATTTTAAGAAAATTAAGTTTGCCATGAAAGGATATTTGAAGATTTGACTTTTCCAAGGATAAGGTAATCTGCTCCAAAGTGTACTTAGTCATACGTGTGAAATGTTTACATCAAGCAGAAGTATCTTTTTTATGACTGTAGTTAATGGATTAAGCATCATAATTTAAGGAAATCAACGTGTAAAAAATGTACCTTAATAAAATTCAATTTATTTGATAGTGTGTCAACGATATTGCCTGTACAAATGTTGAAGACAGAATCTCTTAGCACTTTAAGTGAAAGGGAGGATGATATAGATGATTTAGATGGTTCTATCATTTGGTCTCAAGATGATCCTTTATCGTCAAATGAAATACTGGAAACAGAAACACAGTCAGGACCTGGAGGGGATGCAACTCCTGGGAATGTTTCTTTGTGCAGACTTTGTGCTGGAGAAGCGATCAATCCAGTATATATTTATTCTGAATTAGGGGAATCAATGAGGTTGGCGCATAAAATAAACACTTGCTTAAGTATTAAGGTATGCACGTTCTTTATTTGTAATTATTGTTTCTTCTAAAATATAATATATTTATGTACAACAATTGTGTATTAGGTTCGAAGAACCGATCCATTGCCAAAACAGCTTTGCATTACGTGTGTCGAAAAAATGAACTGGTGCGATGAATTTGACACACAGTGCATCAAAGCCGAGGAAACATTATTGATGATGTTAAGAGAGAAACCGTATTCCAACATTCCTGAAGTAATTACTACTGAAATATTGTGCGATCAAAAATCTTGTCCCCTTTGTCTAGAGGGATACATGAAGACAACAAGATCCTGTTTAAATGATCCCAAGAACATGGAACTCTATGACAGCGATATTGTTCTCGAGAGTAGTGACGAGGAGCAAGCATTCAATGAGCTCACCGTTAACAAAGAAATTGGAAGCAACGCAATAATGCTGCAGTGTTTAGGAAGTAGTCAACAGTACTTAAAATGTGGGGCATGCATGAATTTGTACCATACGAAAGAAATGCTCGACGAACATAAATGTAAGCCCAGTATTCAAAACACATCTAAGCCATACAAATGTCTAACATGTAATGCAACATTTACGTTTGAAGAACGACTGAATTTTCATATGCAGTTCCATATGGGTGCTAAGGCATTGTACTGTGAAATTTGTAAAGTCACTTTTGGCAAGGAATTGAAACTGTTTTATCACTATAAGCGATACCACTGTAAAGACACGACTGTATCCTGCTTACAGTGTGGAAAATTATTTGAGAGTCAGGAAGAACTCCGAGTACATGTTTGCATGGACGGTAAAACTCGACCGCACGTGTGCGAAGTATGCAACAAAGGTTTTTCTGATGGATACACATTGAAACGCCATATCGTTACTCACCTTCCTGAAAAGCCTTATAAATGTTCAGAGTGCACAAAAAGTTTCACACAAAAATCCAGATTAAATAAGCATATAGCTGGACATGGTTTCGTCATAGAGAATACACAAACAGCCTGGAAATGTGTGCAATGTGGGGAAGCATTCAACTCCTGTGATGACGCTGACAATCATTACAAGACTCATGAGGACAAAATTACTTTGATCGAAGAACTCTCTACATCTAAGGTATATCACTGTGAATTTTGCAATAGTTATTTTACAGACATGGATAGTCTGAAGTCTCACCAGAATCAGCATATAGTGGAAAAACCTTACACCTGTAATTTATGTAAATCCATATACAAATCCTTTGCCGAGGCAGTTCTCCACTGGAAAGAGCATCCTAGAACGTTTAAGGTTGTCATTGTATTTTTGTGCGATATGTGTAACAAAGATACAAAGGAATTATCTTTGCTATATAAACACAAACAAAAGAGGCATCATCACGTGCCAAGAAAATCTGAAACAGGAGATGCGAAATTTATCTGTGAACTTTGCGGTAGCATTTTTGACAGGAGTGAAGATGTTCGAGATCATGGTCGCGATCAGTGTTCTAAATTTCCCTGTGATATATGTGGCAGCTTGCTACCCACAGCGAATTCTTTGAATGCTCATAAGAGAAGACACAGTGGCTTAAGACCCTATGTTTGTAACATCTGTGGCAAAAGTTATACTCAATCTAGCCACATGTGGACTCATAAAAGATTCCACATGGGTGTAAAGCCCTATGCCTGCGAATACTGTGATCAGAGATTTACAATAAAGCCTGACTTGGCAGATCATACTAGGAAAAAGCATACCAGGGAAAGACCTTTCAAGTGTGACGTTTGTCATAAAGCCTTTCTCACAGGATCTGTCTTTTATCAGCACAGACTAATACACAGGGGCGATCGAAGATATAAGTGCCATTATTGTGAGAAAGCGTTCACCAGAACAGAAGCTTTGAACAACCACATTAAAATACATACAGGAGAAAAGCCGCATGCCTGTGACGTATGCGGACGTTGCTTCAGACAGAAAGGAGACATGAGAAAGCACAGGCGCACTCAACACACTGCCAAGCAAGATATGCAGTGATAAATGTCCTTGCATTCCAATATTTCTACACGTCATGACACATTATTGTTGTACTTCAGTTTGTTTCGGTGCCTACTGGAACTACCGATCCTCATTAATAAAACGTACAAATTCTTAATCTTTTATACACTGATTTTATAAATGTATTAAAATATTGTGGTACCACAATGTAGTCATGCATGAAGACTAGCCAGCAGTGTTGCCACTGTCGCGATTCAGTAGAAATTGAGAATTAACATTTTTGCAACAAAGTGAATAAAAGGTTCTGATTGGCTAAAGAAAAACACCAGATTGGGAGAACTTCTGTTGTACGTTTTCTGTGGCCAATAAAAATTTCTCTTCGGATTTCTTTAATGATTTGAAGAAGCATGTAACAAGTATTTGCAGGTTTTACTTTTATAGTGTAGTAATCAAATTCAAAATACATATTTGTCGAAATATAAGATTTATTATTTGTACAACTATTCCTTGAAATCCGGTAAAAAAAGATGTTTTTCCTTTTTTGTAAAATTAATCTTATATTTTCGTTGCATACTTTGTAACAATTTCTCTATAAAAATCAAATACATATTGGCTGGCTTGTTTACATTTATGTAGGGAATCTGTGAATTCCAAATCTGTAAAATTACCAGTTGTATGACAAGTAATTAAATTCTTTTTTGTGCTGTCGAAAGCAAATGTAAATGTAGCTTTGGCATCCTGAAAGTATCAAAGTACATCATTACTGTTCAAGATCATAAGAATATATTTGTTACCTGCAGCTGCAAATTATCTGGATCCAGTATAATAATTCCAGAATCCCTTTTTATCATACTGGTGACAGCAGCGATCATGAACTTCATGGAAAGTCCAGAATTAATTAAGGCTAAACAAGCTGCATTCAGAGTACAAGCCAGTAACTGAAATAATTTTCTATCTCAGACAAGAGACAAAGTGCAAGTCAAAATGTTATAATACTCAAAATTTTAATCGTACACCACCAGAGTCATTCAATTCTTGTACATTGATACAAATTGCAGTCCCAGGATGGAGTGTTACTAAGATGCCTGTTTCGCAGGTTTCTTTAATGTACACTTCCAGCATTCTGTCATTTATACCTGTAAAGCATAATGTCTATAGGGATGCTACGAAAATTTATAAAACAACAATGATTACACTATACTTGGGGGGCCTTTGACTGGATTATAGACAGCTTCTACGCTTGCTTTGTCATGCATCATCTTTTGTAACCTGCCTTCAACGGGACCATAAACTCCTGCAATGACAGCAGTGTCACCTAAAGCAAATACATGCATAAAGAATTAAAAATCAACAAATCCAGTTTAGGAAATTTTTATTATATTGTATCATTGATTATTATTAATTATTATTCCTTTTCACAAATGGTAAACATATTTTATTTTATTTTCAATGGATGTATTCCATATTTATACCTTGCATGAACATAGCTGATCCATCTGGCATGGAGAGCTGATTTAATTCACAATTCATTGGCCGTAAAACGCAGTTTTCTTCTGTCATTTTCTGATAATTCCAGTGTAACACGTGAATAAAGTGAGGTTACCGACGCCTATGAACCGAATTGAATTCAGAAGTCTTTGCGCGCTAAATTCAAGCTCTAGAGTCATTGCGACGTGTTTCGCGCCATCTGATGACACCAATAAGAATTACATAGCAAACATTAGCAATTTTCCCTTTTCCACACGAATTATCTTCATAGGATAATTTCAGATACGAATTTTATTATTATTGATACATACATCATACATAAGAGTAGGCATATTCACATCGTTAAATGGTATTAATTATAGAAATCCCCTTTGTATCATTTAATCATCCTCCTCGTCGTCTTCATCCAGATCTTCCATTGGGGACTCTTCTTCTTCTCCTGCTTGTGCGAGTATAAGTAACAAGTAACAACATGAAAATAATTTCAGGTTTAATGAAGTTTCGTTAAACTTACGTTTAATTAAATTTTACTCACCAAATGGTATGACTTTCGGGGCAGGTAAATGCGCAAGACGATACGCTTCCTCCTCGTCCACCGTAGGATCTGCAATTTCCATTATTTCCGGTCCGATGGGGTATTGGTCTTGTACGGGGGGTAGTGGAGGAGGACTGTAATTGTACACCACGTACTTGTTACCCCAGCCTATATAGATGTTTCCAAATCTCCTAAGGGTAATAAACGGTGTTGAAATCCTTGACATTTTTTTTCAAAGCGCCATTTCGTTGAGTACATCGATCGCATCCATATTGAATATCGTTCGTTTTTTTTACACGTACTTGTCATGAGTGAAGGCATAAGCCCCTGGCCAGATATTCGACCGTACCATCGCGACTGCGACATCGAGAAGGAAATTGGATGACTTTCGGACTGTCCAAGGTGGTATCGAATCCAAAATTGCATCCTCCGACAGAGGAGTCAGCAGTGGAGGTCCTACCTCTTTCTGCTCCGTTGCATCTTCGGTTTCCTCCTCCTCTTCCTCCTCTTCCAGAGCCTCTTCCTAAAATCGTAGTTCCATTTTCCCTCCAATAAATCAAAGGATATCGTGATAGTGAAAATTAATTTGGCCACCTCCCCTTCGTCTTCGGACTTTTTCGGATTCCACCAGACAGTTCGTCCTTGCTTCAACAAGAAGGGATTGTGGTGACACCAATTGGACATGGAGGGATCCACCAAATCCTTAATGGAGAGTGGATCGTAGTGCGGGTTCTCCGAGATATTCCCATCTGAAACACATTTCCCTTTGATATTGCGATGCAATTTCATCTGGGAAACCTCTTCGTTGCCGAAGGGAAAGGGCTCGTACCGGATTCTTCCTCCTCGTCGATTTCTTCCTCGTCCCCTGTACCGAACGTGAAGTACCCAATCGGCGATATCAAAGTGGCCGCACTGATTCGTGCTATTTGAGCGCGGAGATAGTTTTCTTCCTTTCCAGGAAAAGGCGGATACGTGAAGAGCTATCCGGAAAACAAGCACCATCATACAGAATAGCGAACTCTTGGAACGGCATTGTTTATCGTTCCTATTGCATTCGCATTTCAATATCACCGAGGACTAGATTAATTAAACCAAGAAATATGAGAAAATATAGAACGGCAGAATAGTGGTTAGTTAGGAACAAATTATTTATGTTTTGGGATGAATTATTGTTTTTCGCTCAATTTCGTTTTATCTCTCTAGTCTAGTGTTTGAAAATTGCCGGTAGAGGAGCAACGATTTTCTGGAACGTACGGGTGAATTTAGGTTTCCCGTGCAACAGTGAACTATTTGTCTGGCGACGACGATTTGCTTCGGCGTTACCAGAGGCAGTTCAACCCAGTCGTCCAGACCTGGCGAGTTGCAGACGAAGTAGACCTATCCGCAGAAATTGGAAAATATTCAGAGCGGAGCAACGAATGTCTTTCGTTAATTTTCCAAGAGGATTCCCTGCCTTTGCATTCGCTCCAGTCCCCGGTCGCTCGAGAGGGATTTCCGGCGGCAAAGTCCACGTACTCTTAGGTAAAGGAGGGAATACAAGATTGATTTGTATGTCTTCTTGATCCTCACCGGGGGTCTCCGGTGGTAAAACGGAGTTCACGGCATCCACGAGTTCGGCGTCCCTCTTCGCCCTCTCGTTGGCAGCATCTTCTTCAGTTTTGGTCGTGGCCAAGGCCTCGACCTCCTCTTTCTCCCTTTTCGACTGCTCCTCGGCCTCCATTTTCTATTCGAAGGGATATTTATGGAATACGATTCTTCGCCTGAACCGCGGTTCGGATCTAGACTCACTTCCGTTCTTCTACCCAGTTCCTCTTCCTTAAAGTCTGCCTCCACTACGTAGTAACTTTTCGAGTTCCCCAAGACTTTGCCCCAAAACCTGTAAAATAGCCGACATACATCTGCACGCAGGAAAAAAGATTTGGTTCATCGAACAAAAATCGTTCGACTGCATTCTTTTTTCCCTTTTCTTTCCCGTGTAACATAAATTCTACCGATTCAACCGAATATATTCCTGCGTGTAGTTAAACTCCCGGGCACCTTAAAAAGAGCGTCAAAATTTTTACCGCACGTTCTCGATCGGTCTCTGAGTAACGAGTTTGCGGATCGCCAGATTCAGAAGGACCATTTCGGCTCGTGGCAACCCTACGTCGGTTTGCTCGAAGTAGAACAACAGATCCAACATATTGGGCTTGCCCTTCTTCGCGTCGGTCTCCTCGTCTTCTATGGCCTTTTCTTCCTGCCCATCGCCGGCAGGCTTCGAGTCCTCTAGGACGAAGCGATTCACGGGTTAATATTGCACTACTCGATCGATGTTAGAAGTATTGGTCTCTGTATGTGCAAATAAACTCGGAAAATCCTAAAGGAAGTATCAAGGGACCAGCATTGAGGTACTTGAAACAGTTTCATTAGTTGCTTCGCTTCATGGTACTGAGGAGGAGGTACGTAGACGTCTCGCAGATGGTTATTTCTCGTTTTAAACCTCTCTGCTTTGACCTTCCTGCTGTACTCCTCGAACACATCCACGGCATTCTTGGGTTTCTCCGAGAGGATCCTGTTCAGAACCTCGCTCAGGTGGTCGTACCTAGAATCACAAATTATATGGTAAATTTTAACCGAGTCTCTCCTATCGACTTTTCTGATCATTCTCTTAAGGTGTTATGAAAGGGTTATTCTATATATATACATCGAAACGTCGTAATATTTATAAAACTTTTCTCCAAACTGGGTGCACCGAAACGTTAGAAATTTCAGCACATGATCATGGAGACTCTAAGAAAAAACACGATGTTCACGAAATTTCATTTTTTTAAAAAGTGTTCTTGGTTCTAGTCTGGGAGAATTAAAAAATTTTCTGTAAATAAACGAAATTTCATGAGAATCATGTTCTTCCTTAGATTCTCCATAATCACGTGCTGATGTTTCAAATGATCCGGTGCACCCAATTTAGAGACAAGTTTTATAAGTATTTTGATGTTTTGATATATATTTAGAATGGCTCTTTGATAACACCTTAATTATATGAATTTTTCAGGTACTCGCAGACTGTCCCCGGTTTCGTCGCTATGCTTCTGCAGGAACTTCTTCGCTCTGCGAATGTCGTGCCGTACACAGGGTGAATCGGCGGGCGGGACCTGGTCGAGGTCGTAGGAATATGCCATTCCAGATACGCGTACACGCGTCCTTCGACGCGTTCCTTTCCTCCCTGTTTCCAGATAACGTCTACGAACGTAGCTCAGAATATCTGGGGCATTCTCGTCCCTCGGCTGTTCTGAAGGTTCCGTCGCCATACTCGATGCGCTCCGACCGAGAGAGTCCTCGCCGGAAGCGGAGATTTCGTTGCCGACCCGAATAACGAGCGAAACTCGGCGGGACGCACGTAAACCGCACTTTTACGGGCGTAAAACGCGCGGGCATTTAATCGACCGAGTTAAAATTAACCAATGACAAACGATAACCGCGCTATCCGGCGGTCGTCGACTTCCGGCAGCGCCGGAGAACGGTTCGCTCGGGGGCTGCCCTCCGCCGGTGCGGCAGAAATAATTATCCTTCCCCGGAGGAATTATCGCGGAGCCGTTGCGTTAGGAGTGTGTCGTAACGCGTTGTAACGAGCGCCACTCGTCCAAATCGCGTCCGCGGGGGACGTCGACCCGATTTATCGCGGTTCCCCCGTCCCCTTCCAGGACCGCGTCGCGGCCTTTTCATTTCGGAGGGGCCAGGCTTAATTACCGCACGCGCGTCCGCTTCTATCGGCCTCGCATCCTGGATCACGTCCAGCACGGGTCTCTCCCCTATCGGCCGGCCCGAATAACCGAACCCCGTTTCCTCTTACGCCCACCCTTGGCTGATACCCCGGCAGGTCCCCCTTTCCGTCGTACCTGTTGCCGACGAGTCATCTCGAACTCCGCCAGCGCCGATCCTGGACTTATCTTCCAACGACTTTTTCACGTAGAATTATGCCTTCGTCTCGGGGGGGACACCATAGGGCACGCGGAGAAAAAGTAATTGCGAGGGATGTAATATAGGTATAAAAAGAAGAATAGGTCTAAAAATCGCAATTTTGCATACTATAGTTGTACGTCATCTTTTTAGGGTTTAGCGCCCTATTTCATAGCTCGTGTGGTAATGTTTAATACTAATTCACAGTGGATCTCGGTGTACCTACTCAGCGCGCGAGCGCCTCGTAAATGATTTTAAAGGGGGATAATAGATCTACAGAAGTTAATAGCGAAGAGAGATTGTTTCAGCCATTCAGCGTTCCATCCTACGTTATTTTACGTGCAATGTTAACATCGCGGTTATATTTGAAGGATGAGACAGATTTTTTTTATCTCTTTTCATCTTCGTTGTAGTTGTACACGCGGGACAAGAAAGCGGCTGGGCTGGCTGTTTGACGGTTAGTTTCCCCGTAACGTTCCCAACGCGTTCAGGAGGCTCGCAGTTTCTCCTCGGAGGTGTTGGAGAAACGAGGGAAACTCACGTAGCGTATGCGAGGAACGCGCTACGGTGGACGGGATGCACCTATGCGAATGCGTGCGCTCCTATTACGATGCAACCCGTCGTACCTCGGGTGCATTGCCTTCGGATCGAAGGAAAATGCATCGTCCATATTTTAAGATTCATTCAATAATTGTATAGAAAATAAATCGTCTCTTTTAATTATGATACTCGGTAGAGTTTTGCGCCATATATATATAAAGGCGCGAATTTTAGATTTTCCAACAATGGGGTAGCCTATCATACCTCAGTTGCCTGTCCTTCGGGTCGCTCTCGGTAATATTTTCCATTCGCTCAATAATTTTATAGAAAATAAGTCGTTTCATTAATATCTAGATTTTAAGCTTCGTTAGCAAAGCGGTCGTTAGTGTCGCGTAATGAGCATAACAAGCAACCAATCACTGCTTTCTCGGTTAACAAACCCAACGATATCTAGAGTCACGTCCGCCCGGACGTAAATACGCCAACACCGACACCCACCGTGCTTTGAATTTCTTTATTACCGAATGATCTGCTGCAGTATAAATTCCATAACCGTCGAATTCCTTCGTACTGGGTTTCTACGAAAAGCGGGCCATTGCGGGGAAATATAGGACCGATAAATAGCGCAGCGTGCAGGCAGCGGTTTGGTCGGGCACCGTTCCTAGGCTTATTAGCGGCGTCGCTCCGTAATCGACCGAATTTCGTGATAATTAATAAGAGGTGCGATTGCGGTCGCAGGGGGTGGGCGGGCGGACAGGGGCGAGTACATGGCGAGTACGGCGGAGGGCGGATTATTCGCCCGGGCGGAATCGAATAGCCGGGCGCAGTCGGTGGTGACGTGCTCGTCGCTCGGCCGCGACGTGGATTAATCAACGGGTGCGGATTAGTTTTCGGCTCGTTACGGCCGCCGGAATATTTCCGGGGATGCACAAGTTTGGAATTACCGTGAAAATTCCAAAAGACAACGTATCGCTGTCGGCCATCATTCGAGGAGTAATTGATTTCCTATAAATCGTGAAGAAAATGGATTTAAGGGGCTTCTCTCGGATTAACGGGCAAAAAATAAGATGGGAATTAAAAAAAAAAAGATACTACACGTTTTATTAACTTGAAACTTTCTGAATATATTTAACTACATTGTAGGACCATACAGTTGTATATTTGACGGAAAAATATGGAATTGTTTTAGAAAGGATCAATGAAAAGCGTTGATTTTTGGCAAAAGGACGATTCACGTTCTGCGTCGCGAATTTTCAATTTTACATGACTCGAAGAACTTCCAATCCCAGCAAGTGTAAGACATTCATTACACGTACCTGAAAAATTTCAAGTGTATTCCATTATCTGTTTTTAAGATATTACTGTTAACCATTGTAAAACACTTCGTTTCGTGAAAAATGCGTTTAATGTTTTACGTATACCGTTTTTGTACGAAAAATGTAATTTATAACACCTGCAGCGAATCAGCTATTCCAGGGCTATATTTACAAGCAACACTTTCCTATTGTTCCTAAAGCTTTTTTTGATCGATTGGAAATAAAATTGACTTCACGATTTTTAATACTAAGTCTTAATGGATGCATATGTATTTCGAATGATTCGAACGTAACCTGAAAATCCGGTCAAACTTCGCCTCGGGTTGCCGTCCAGTACAAGCGCTGTTATCACGGTTTTTTCCTCTTTCTGATAAATGCTCACGCTCGTACGATGAGCATGCATTCGGGGATACGTAGAATGGGCCGTTTGCGGGGGCGTTTGGGAGCATGAATGAGAGAACGAGAGAAATTCCCCACCAAGCCTCGTCCCTCCCCCTCTATCTCTCTCTCGTTCTCTTTCTCCTCTCTTCGAAGCTCGCTTTCCGCTCAGTTTCTCGCGACTTGTCGCGCGCGCGCGTTATTCCGTAGCGTTCTCGCCGGATCGGGAGGAACGGAGCACTCTTCGCGGGATACTTGAAGAAGGCGAGTACTCTCTGTACTCGTGCCCGAGGACCGCCGATACCGCCAGCATGGCCCATCGATTTATTCGGTCAGTCAAGTCACGCGCTAATCAATCACTCTTCTTTCTCGGAGACCTTTTTTCCACGAGCGGACAGGTGGGATGGCCGGCCGTACGGAAGCCGGTGACGGATAGCGGACGTACATTATCCCGAACTGTCATCGATTTATGAACCCTGCGATAGTGCAGGGCTGGTCCTCGATAACGCCGTGGAATGGAGGTTCGATCGCGTCGAGAGAGGTTGGGATCTCCTGCCTTTTCGCCAATGAGTTCCGAGCCTCTCGCCGGTCCAGATCTCCGAGATTAATAGGAGCTAAGATCCAAGACTCTAATTAGAAATTAAATAGAGTAACGTGTTCGGGACCTAATCCGACTGCTACCAATAAGGGTCGATGTGCCACGTAGTCTGAACTTTTGGAGTATCGATGTTCTTTTTGCGAGTTGCGATGGAGTCAGAGATTCCATTCCGTTTAATTATAAAATTATGTCGGTATTTCAGTAATTGGATAGAAACGAAATATACATGTAGAGGGTAGTTTTGGAGATTTATTGTAGGAAACTGCCTCTTTTCAAAGACCAGGAAGGAATCGTGGATATATACGCGTCTTTCTTCCTCTCGATTAGGAGTGCACCCGCAGGTGCACTTGCATCGGTGCAAGATCAATACCGTAACTGGTCGGCAGGCAAGAGCCGGCACTTACCGCTAACCGCTGATTAACGTTTAGCCGTGATCCGCGAGCTCGTTACCTCCGGGCCCCCTTTCGCGGCCTTTTACTCGCAATCGGCGCGAGAAATCCTCAAAAGAGGCATTATCACGCCCTTTTCGCAGTCGACTCGATTCTCATTAAGACGACCGCCCTAATTGCTCTCCGTCCCCGTAAATCGCGAGCCCCTGGAACGACCGATTACCCTTATCGGGCAAAACGGACGGATCCCCCGGAGACGTCTCGCAAATTACGACGAGAATCGCGAATTCCCCATAACCCTGGGAATCCCACGTGCGAGCGCTAATTTCCCATAATTTCTCAAATTCGTTTCAAGAAATTCGTTTTCAAACGGCGAGCGACCGTTCGCTCGAAATGTCGTACCTTGGTTCGTCGTCCCGATGTCGGAAAGTAGTACTAAACAAGGGCGAGGGTAAACTCGGATGCAAGGGAAAGGACGAGCGTAAGGACCATATATCCCTTTAACGTCGTCGTTGGAAGTGCCGGGCCCGTAGTGGGCCCGGGGTTGGTCAGGGGCGCCCGGGGGTGCGGGGGGCCGGAGGGCCCCGGAGCGGCGCTCGGCTCGCCCCCGACTCGGCCGCAGCCTCCGCTCAGTCAGTGGCCGGCTCCCGTCCGAGGAGGTGGTGTGCGCGGCGAGCTCTGTATTCCCGCCCTGCCGATCTAGGATTCCGGCCCCCGGCCCAGGAGGCCCCTCGCATCGGGAACCATGACCGCCAGGAACACGTGGTTAGTCCAATGTCCAATTAGTCCGGTGCATGCGATACTCTTGTACCTCTATTGTCTCCCTATAATTAAAACATCAATTGCAAATTAATAATTAACCCGTTAACAGGCCAAAGTAAGTAACTCCAATTGTAGATTTTTTAAATTGTAATTTCAGAGCCAAATTATATAATTGATACTCAAGTTTTTGTAGGTATCAATTTTCTTTACTTTCCTCTTTCTCGTGGAGTTAATCAGTTTAGCCCGTGAACGGCTCAACTGGCCTTCGTATAATTGCGAAACACTCCTCAAGCGATATATCATGTGTATTATGCGCGTTTGTATTTGCGTAATTTAATTTTTTAATTCAGATTCCGCGAATATTTCGGATTGTTTATTCGATTTGTTGACGGTGTAGTTCGCACCAGCGCCCGGGCGCTCATGAGTGCTGGACCGGTTTTGAAAAATGTTTGGAGGACGAAGGAAGCGATCCGCCGCGTCTGGACACCAGGCGCGGAGGATTCGCCTCTCGCCCTTTCGGGCCTTCCGAGAGTTCGGCAACACGTGAGTCCAGGGCTCGTGTAACGACCATCGGTCCAGCAGGCGGGAGAAGAGAGGACTTTCCCTCTGGGACTCGCGGTCTCACGGCGGGAAGCCTCGCGCTCTTAGACGCCTGGTCACACCTTCACCGAATCCCTAGATTTTTGTCCTTTGCTCCTCCCTTTACTCCTCTTAACGAGAGCATTTACGCTCCATAAAAAAAAAAAGATGCCTTAAACCTTGATCTCACGATTTCTATCAATTATCGACCTATCGCGACTCTTGTTCCATCACACGTATACCGTGATTCGGAGAGACGCAAGGTACAGATAACATAGTTAAATCGCGGACCGATTAACCCTGAAGAGCGCCCCCCCCCCTAATTGGGCAACTAAAGCCGCGATAAAATTTAATTACGGTGACCAGTTTGGAGGGCAGGGCCGTGATCCGAATCTGCCCGATGAAACCGTATATCAAGGTGACTATTACGCTTATGTCGAGTTGTTCGAGCGTGCCGCACGGTAAAGCATACCACGGTAATATATGGTATTTTTTGTTAGGACGGGGTGCTCGTTACGAGCGTCATACGTCGGGTCCGGGGAGCGCTAAATTTACCGCCGGCCGTACCGTAAATATTATCATGTCCTGCCGTGACCAGGGAAACCGCTGGTCACTCAATTTTAGCCCGGCGGTATTTTTTTCCAGATCCTTTTTCTTGATTTCGCGACATAGCGCGAGTAGAGTCCCGAGGGAAGTTTCCTAGCGGGGACTCCGCGAACGTTCGGTCCGAATCGCTAGTCTTGGAAAGGCCGCTACATATCGAATAATAACCACCTGTAGAGGATAAAGGATCGCCGCCTTGAGTCGTTTCTCTCGTCGGCACCGCTGCTCGTTTAGGGCCTTTACGGTGGCAGGACAATGGCTTATGTTAATTCCCGTGCCTTCGAATAGGACTTCCTTCGCATAGGTGCGATTAGCCGGTGCAAGATCCAGCCACACCGTCCTCGATAAAGACATCCCCGAGACCGCGGTTTTGTGGGGAGTCGGCTTATTTATCCTCCAGGACGAACGGTCACGCTCTATAAATCGAGTATACATGCCCCGGGAAAATTGCTACTCGCTCGAGCAGACGATAATGATATCCTACTCGATACCTTCGATTGGCACGGAACGATCGTCGTCGTACTTCTTGATTAAAGAACTCTTTTTCGACGTAATGTCGCGGCCATCTCGCGTCAGGTGAACGTGTTTATTGAAGCCGCAGTCGAAGTTTAAGCCCCATTTGGAACCTGCGGTTTCTAAGTAAAATTTACGCACGTTTAGTAAAATCCTATTTCAATTAGGTCCTACATTCGACCTTGTACGCCCTGTTAATTAATACGAGCTAAGTCGAGGGGTATTTCCTTAGGAAATTGTATATTTTAGTGCTCGAAATCACGTGAAAATCAGCTGGAATCGCAAGAAGGCCGAACGTAATTTATTACCGAATCGCATTGTTGATTATTATATTAAATTAAAAGCAATCGGTTTTCAATGAAGGAAAAATTGTTTTCACTGATTTCCAAGTGAATAGCTTCTCGAGTTAAGTCCTACTTTAGGCTTTCACGTAGACAAAATGAAAACCGCAGAAGTATCTACCACTTTTAAGGTCTAAAACGAGCCCACAATTATTTTTAAAATTCGTCAAATTATCCTTCTTTATATTACTTCAAAATCCGTGGGGAAAAAAAAAAGAAATAAAAACCTGTAATTGGAGGTTTCAAGTCGGATTAAAATTTTTTACTCGGGACTCCCCGCGGAGATCCCCGTCCTCATGAGAAACGGCTTCGGCGGTTCTTTGTCCTAAGTACGCGAAATGTTCCTTTTTTGCGTCAGTTTTCACGAGGAGCTAATCCGTGCCTCGGTAGGTATTCGGTTTCGCTCGTGCGTTATCGAATCCCTCAAAGGGAAGGACGAGGCGCAACGACGGCGAATCGAGGAGGGATCCTCCTTCGGCATTTTTTCTCCTTTACCCTGTCGTTCTTTTTCCTACTCTCGTTTGCTCGCGCGTTTCGCTCCGTCGAGTCGATTTCTCGGCGCTAACCGTGCCGGAAGTAATATCGCGGCGGGAGAGACCACAGGAATTCGAGGGTATTGCTCGCGGCCCGTAGGTGCGATTCTCCAGTATTTGGCGGGTTATTTCCGGTTGCGAGGTAAGCCGTTATTTCTGGTACACGCGAACGGGCAGCCTCTCCGCCGTCTGCTCGTTAGAATCGGCCTATTTCGTTCGTTCGGAGCTCTGGAACGATAAATTACTTGACCGCCCGCGTTTGTTACGGGCCTCGTAACCGCACGCGCGTCTTTGCCGCGGCCCAAATCCGACCCGTCGAAAAGCGCGCTCGACGTGGAATTTCTGCTCCCTACCGCACGGACTAACGAGAGGCAGAAGGGGAACTCCGTTTCCTCGCTTGTAGAAACGTATAACGATGGTTGATTTAAACCACTTTGATGCCACGTGACGGTACCACCCAGGGGCACAGTCGCGCGGGGTATCCTACAGGGAACCATAGGCCCCCGTTAAAATTCTGCATCGATTCGCAACTTTCATTGAATTTTCTTTTAACTTCTCTCTCTTTTTTTTTTTTCTTTTCTTTTACCTCATTACTTTAGCGAACTTCGTACTCTACGTACGCAACTTTCATTGAATTTTGTTTGACTTCTCTCTTTTTTTTTCTTTTACCTCATTAATTTAGCAAACTTCGTGCTCTAGCGTTGCATTTGCGTTTCACCCGTACTGTGGAAGATCACTTGCGAATGGTCTGGTGAAATTGAAGATCAACCCTTTTCGAGCGGAAAGCGTCGAGTGAGTTTGTGTTGCGACTTACGTCCAACGGGTGCCACGTGGAGGACATCTTTAACCCCTTAACGCACAGATTTAAAAAAAAAACCGGCAAAAAAAAATTTTTTTTTAATGTAAAAAAAAACACGAACATTGTCTTGGCAAAAAAATAAAATTCTGGATTATATTCGAGGGTGAAATGAAAAATTATAGTAGCATAAAATACAACGCCGCTCGAATTATCTCGAGTGTGCACAGTTTGGCCTTTTTAGCGCGCTCGAATTAACTCGAGCGCACAAGTTAAGGGGTTAAGCGCTCAAACATTTGACTGTTCATTTTGCATTATTTCTTATTAGCAATAGGGGCAGTTGTGGGAATAAATATGTAGGAGGCTCAGGAGCGATGTAGTAAATTCGACGTGGCAGAATGGTTAATCTCCTCGGTAAGTCTAATAGGACCGATTCGAGGGCGAAGACTTCTTCTAGAGGGAGAGGCAGGACCGACGACGACGGTTTGTCGTGACTAGGTCCGGTGGGTCTTCGGAGGATTGGTTGAATATGAGACGCGGTAACGATACCCGAGAGCGTGTAATTGTAAAATCATGCCGGGGGCTAATAAGAGAGGTCGTCTGGCGCCGCTTTGAAGTAGCCGGCTCGAGGCTAGTGTCCACCTTACGGCGAGGTATTTGGTCGGAGTGCACCGACTGCAAGGCCCAGATAAAGTGCAGCGGCGAAGGGGAGCTCGGGGCCGAGTTTGTACGCTAGGGGCGTTTATCTGGAGGCGGCCGAGCAGCGAGCACCGCGTATCGCCTCGACGCTCGTCGGTATCGTCGCTGATATCGTCGCCGGCCCCTTGTGCCGCTGCTCCACTTTTCATACTCTGGACTCTCCTCCCCATTCCACTCTTATCCGGACCAAAGGGAATTTACTCGGCTAGAAATCCGGAGACTCGGTCGGCCGACCCGGTCTCGACGGAGAGAGCATGGCTTTCCCACTCACGGGGGACTTGCGATCACGCCTCCGCACCGGAAGTACAAGATGGACCAGGAGAACTCGATCGAGTTCGGTTACATATCGGGCGCGCAAAATTCGACTTCGAGCCTCTCCATTCTCCCTATCTCTCGAAATGTCTCCCCTGGGCCTCATTGCGGGGAGGATTCCTCTCGGACGCGTCTAAATTAATCGCTTCGCCGACAATATGTGGATGGAAGACCATTGCTCCACTTTCCAAACCATGGATCCCCCCGTTTCGCACTTATCCGGGTCAAAGGGAATTCATTCGGCTAGAAATCCGAAGACTCGATTGGTCGCAAAGAGAGGATGTCTCCCCGACCTCCCGGGAGATTCGCGGTTACGCCTCTCCGCCGGAAGACGGACTACGAGAACTCGATCGAGTTTGGTTACACGTCGAGCGCAAAACGCGAGTTTCAAGCCTCCCGATTCTCCCTATCTCTCGAAATCTTGCGACCCAAACCCCGTCGCGGGAGGATTCCTCTCGGACGCGTCTAAATTAACCGTTCCGCCGACGATACGGGGATAGAAGACATTCCGCCGGCCCTTTCCTTTCCTCGAGTCGGCGGGACCCGATCGGATCTAAGAACCACCTCGGTAGCGCATAATTCGTTTCCGCTGGATCCCAGGGAGGAAGAAGGCGCGCGAGAGGCTCC